CCTACCGGGGAAGTCCGCAAACCCAAAGCAATATTCCGGCGACGAGTCGGAGCAGCCCAGGGAGGCGAGAGTTGCCTTTCCGGGGCACGAGAGGAAGGTCTTCACCTGAACCGTCAGTGAGCGAAACGGAGGAAACCCTCCTGCTGTCGCTCAAGATTCTAAGCAAAATGCTGAAAACTCGCAAGGAATCAGGTGCATCAGGGCTCTAATGGGCGTTTTCCGACTGTTGAAGATAGGTATGCTCTATCCTTTCCCATACTTAGGCAATTACTGACGAGGTTCTGTTAGTGTTGCGACGTCCGACGATACCGAGCCGGCTGAAGCTATGGACGAAGCGGCTCAGCTGGAGGCTCGACGCAAACGCCGGGAAGCCATCAAGGCCAAATACAGAGCTCAGGCGACGCCTTTACAACTGCAGGCTCTCCATATTGCTAGCGATAGGGGTTCAGCCACGCCAGGTGCCGAGGTCTCCACCAGTAACGCCCCTTCAGGTATGTATACTGTTCTTAGCGAAATGGGTTGTATCGTTGCTGATGTACTTTGCGCTCTAGATTCACAACCGTCGGCATCGCAGACGCCCAACGAGAACACGGGGGAATCATTCCCTGACTTCAAGGTTGGCAACGATGCTGATTTGTTTAACGATGGTGCCCCCGTAGATGGCACCGACAAAGATGAGCCGTCTGCGGCGGACTACGATCCCACTCTGGACATGAAAGCCGACAGAGAAAGACATCACGATCTCTCGGCCGCGTCGTATGATGAGACGCAGACTGTTAAGCAGGACGTCCTGATCCCGGATGCGCCGCCTGCGCAACACCAGCCCAAGGCCAAGGACCCGTACGACATGTTTGCGGAAGATGACGACGATATGTTTGCCGAGGAGACGCAGGATACCGCGCACCCTGCCCATGCGTCGGCCAAGTCCGCCGTCCCTCAGCCGCAAGAGTTGGACATCAGCATGATGGACAACTGGGACGACCCCGAGGGGTATTACAATGTCCGGCTTGGTGAGTTGATCAACGGGCGCTACCATGTGCAGCAGAACCTGGGAAAGGGCATGTTCTCGTCCGTGGTGCGCGCAACCGATTCCAAGACGGGTAAGTTGGTGGCGGTCAAGATCATCCGACAGAACGACACCATGCGGAAGGCGGGTCTTAAGGAGATTGGGATTTTGGAACAGCTCCGTGAAGCTGATCCGGACGATCGGAAGCATCTCATCCGGTTCGAGCGGCACTTCGACCACAAGGGGCATCTCTGCATGGTGTTTGAGAATCTGAGCATGAATCTGCGCGAGGTGCTGAAGAAGTTTGGACGCGACGTGGGCTTGAATCTGCGGGCGATCCGGGCATACGCGCAGCAGATCTTCCTGGGACTGAGTCTGATGCGGAAGTGCAATATCCTTCATGCCGACTTGAAACCGGACAACCTGTTGGTGAACGAGCAGCGCAACGTGCTGAAGGTGTGCGATTTGGGGTCGGCGTCCCCAGCTACGGAGAACGAAATTACGCCGTATCTGGTCAGTCGATTTTACCGAGCGCCGGAGATTATCCTGGGCATTCCTTACGATCACGCGATCGATGTGTGGTCGATTGGGTGTACCCTGTTCGAGCTGTACACGGGCAAGATTCTGTTTACGGGGCGGAACAACAATCAGATGCTACGATCGATCATGGAATGCCGGGGCAAATACCCGCCGAAGCTGCTGCGGAAGGGGTCGCTGACGCATCTGTATTTCGACGATATGCTCAACTTCCACAGCACGGAGGAGGACAAGATTACGGGGCGTCTGGTGACGCGGGTGTTGGATTTCAAGAAACCGACGCGGGACCTGAAGACGCGGCTGATGGGCAAGGGGGCTCGGGGGATGACGGACAGCGAGGCCAAGGAGCTGACACTGTTTGTGGATCTGCTGGATCGGTGTCTGAGCCTGAATCCGGAGAAGCGATGCACGCCGGCTGAGGCTCTGAAACATCCGTTTATTGCACGGCCGAAGGCGTAGATGGCGGGTGGAGGCGCATCAGCTGTGGTTGTACATACATATATATATATATATATATATATCTATATATGATGTTATAGTAGAATATACGGAGTATGTATCTGCCTAGTATGGAGTCTACCTGTACTGTATGGAGTAGGGAAAAGCCTACGTAGAGGTTTGTTGGTTGGGATGGGACGGGTGATGGATGGTGGGTGGCTCAGCCTCTTTGTGCGGCAAGGCGAAACGGTGCTACGAGACGCTGACAGGGAAGCGGGTGGTCGTGGCGAGAGTGGCAAGGGCGAGGGCAACGGACTGAGTCACGATCGACAAGGCGAGGCGGGACTCGAACGATCCATGGGAGAGGCTGGTTGATGAAGGAACGAGGAAGGCGAGAGACGGAGTAGAGATCCCGCCCGATCTGCTTTTTTGTTGTTATGATGGAGGATGGCGTCACTGGGGCGAATAAGGTGATAGTCTTTACTCTGTAGGGTTTGATGATGCGGAAAGGGTTGATATCACAGAGGCGCTGAGGGGGAGGGATGGATTGGATCGATCCGGGGTACAGATGGTTCGGAAGAAGAAGATGATGGATGGATGGATGGATTCTGTCGGGGCTCGATGCATGGGAAGCCTGACCTGGCCAAAAGCAGGAGACGAATGAGAAATTCTCCGGGCAGTGCAGGCAGTGTAGAAGTAGGAGAAGGAGTAGGAGTACCTAGTAACTACTAGTGCAGGCAGACAGTCAGTCATGACAGAGAATGCATGGCACCCGGACAGGCAAGGAGGGGGGAATGGATGGATGGCCTCGTCCGATGCGCCCGAGAGGCTAGACACGGGAAGCCTTGCAGTGGTGCATGGGCCCAGCCAATCCCCGCATCCGCTGGGCTGCTCGGACAGCCAACGTGGCCAAAATAGTGCGCCCAATCAGGGGGGTGGATTTGAGTTCTTGGTTTGCCTCACTTTGAGAGTATATTAAGGTATACTCGTACGGGGTGTATTGGTTTAGTAGACTGTATACATAATTAGAATAGAGAAAGACTATACTATACTATAGAAGTACATAGAGTAGGAAAAACTACGAATACTTGTGGAAAGACGGTGAGCAGAATAGTCGACCACTCTCTGGAAGTCTATTTGCATGAGCTGGCACCGAAGCCACTGGTTGCACATGGACCACCCGAGTGGCCAGGATCTCCACTGTCATCCTCACCGCCTCCTGCAGCATCACTCTTGATGATTGGTGCAGGGGCCCCTAGTCGAAGCATCATCATCGTTCCCAGGACCCACTCGATTAATCATCGTTTATTATGGTCTTATTAGTCTTATTATTATGATGATTATTATTTTTGGCAGTGGAGTGGCCACCCCCCCGACTAGTCTACTTCCTACTACTTATCCTCATCCGCTCACTACTCCTGATCCTCCTCTTATTCCCTCCATCTCCATCCTCATCCTTCTTCCTTTTCTTCTCTCTCTCTTCCTTCAGTCTTCCTTTCTCTTCCTCTTCCTCCTCCTCCTCTTCCTCCTCCCGGTCGGCTCTCTTCTTTTATAGCTTCTTTCTCTTCTCCTATTTAATATCCATCTTCAAATCCAATCAAACCTTCAGCTTAACCGCCTCGCCGCCCCTTACCGACCCCTCCACCACATCTCATACATCCACACCAACATCAACACTGCCACACCATAACATCCACCACCACAACCCAACTCCAACAACCCAGGACCAGGACATCTAACCATCCACCCTTCCACCACGGATTCTCTTCGACCCTCCACTCCTTATGGCTCCCTAATCCACCCGTCCCGAGGTGTATATATTTGGATTTCCCGTTGGCTTCTTCCACTCCGGATTAAAACAAACAACCCCCCCAAAGGATCTGTCTCTCCCTCCCGCGGATTTGGACTCCCTCAGGATCAAATTTTAGGATCGGACAAATCCCCCTCAGATCGGACCGTCTTCATGCTACCCCCCTCTCTCCCCTTCGGCATGTATCCCACCATGCTACCCACTCCCCCTCCATCGCCTCCTACCCTCCCTCGTTGCTATGCCCCAGAAGACCGCTTGGGTTGGCTCCTCGCCAACCGGCTGGAGCTCACCCGCGTCCTCGGCGTAGGCGCCTATGGCGTCGTCTACACCGCAGTTGACATCCATACCAATGTGATGTATGCTGTCAAGGCCCTCAACAAGTCTGGCCTGGACCCCCGACAACTCAAGTTCCAGCAGCGGGAGATCAAGCTGCATCATCTGGCCAGCCAGCACCCCAATGTCGTGTCCCTGGTGCGCATTATGGATTCCGTGGACTGCACCTACGTCGTTATCGAGTTCTGTCCCGAGGGCGACCTCTTCTCCAGCATCACCGAGAAGGGCCACTTTGTCGGCAACGACCCCTTGGTCAAGTGTGTGTTCCTGCAGATCCTGGATGCCGTTCATTTCTGCCATTCCTTGGGGATCTACCACCGGGATCTGAAGCCGGAGAACATCCTGGTCACCGACCAGGGCTTGACTGTCAAATTAGCCGACTTTGGTCTGGCCACCACCGATCCCATCACCTCGGATTTCGGCTGTGGTTCGACCTTTTACATGTCTCCCGGTATGTCGTCCTCGCTGCGTCTCTGATCACGAGCTAATTCCCGAAGAATGCCAGCAACCTAATCCCCGACCGATGTCCTGGTACGAGTCCGCTCCCAACGATGTGTGGAGCCTGGGTGTCATCCTGGTCAACCTGACCTGCGGTCGCAACCCCTGGAAGCGTGCCTCGCTGGAAGACTCCACCTTCCAGGCCTACCTGAAGGATCCCTTCTTCCTGAAGACCATCCTCCCCCTGTCCGACGAGATGATCTGCATATTGAGTCGCATCTTCGAGTGCGACCCCAGGAAACGGATCTCCATTCCGGAGCTGCGCAACCTAATTCTGGAATGCCCGCGGTTCACGGTGAACTCTGTAGCTCCTTGGACCCCGGTGCCTTGCCCGATGCCCTTCGACTTCTCTCCACAGGTCTCCATGCCCGTGGATGGCTTCAACACACAGTCGTCGTCCTCTTCGGACTCGTCCCACTACTCGGACTCTCTGGAATCGGCCGTGTCCGATGCCTCCTCCTTTACGGATAGCTATACGGACGTCAACAGTGTTTCATCCATGTCGTCGGTCGGCCTGGAACCAGAACCTCCGTACAAGGGCGAGTTCCCTCCCACGGACTTGGTGTGCAATGACATGCCCATGCCGCTGGTGATTCCGTCGCAGCCTTTTGCCCCGCCCATCCCGGTCTGTTAGTCCGATGAGCGCGGTGATCAAAACAAAACTCCTCTTTTGCTCTCCTCTCCGAGGATTAACGCAGGTTATGATTTACGCCATGATCTTGATCCCATCGGATCCTACCATCTTTTAATCTCGAATCTCGTCGACATTGCATATCTGGAAGCGTCTGTATCATTCCATGGACCGAAAAGCCTGGATATTGGACTTGAACATATTCGGTTTCTCTTTTATTTATTTTCCGGCGTGTGGATCCTACCTAGTCCGCCGGTGGACGCCTAATTGCCTTGGACAGGTTTCGGCCACCGGCGGGAGCCACCGCTTTGTTTCATTATTGTTGATGTGATATCATGGGTGGAATTCTGGAATTTTCAAGGGATTTACAAGGGATGATGTTTGCTATTTGTCTGTCTGGGTGGCGTTATTGTTTGGGTCTGGCCGCGTGTGAAAGAAGTTGAAGAAAATACCCCGAGAAGAACGCATTGCATGGCATGGAGTTGGACTGGAGCCGCTCTTTACTTTCTTTCTATCCTGTTATGAGACAATACGGAGGATGAGTCTGTGGATAAATACTGTGACCATCGCTAGGAGCGATGGCCTGTCTGCATACGATGTTAATAGAGATGACCATGTCTCTCCTGTCACCATATCTGTACATGAACATAACCCTACAAGCACACACACTGCTCTATGCACCATTCTACATGTTCCTCCCCCCAGTAACCCGAATCGTCTCGCCACTAACATACGAGAACAACGGACTCGCCACAGCAAGTACACTGCGCGCCGCCTCATCCGGCGTCGCCGGGCGCCCCAGCGGGATATCCGGGTACGTCTGCTTGGCCGGCTCGGAGCCGCCCTTCCTGCTGTTCAGCTGCGCGCCGGGAATGCCCAGCGCGACCTTGGTGCCGTCGGGGGTGGTGATGAAGGCGCCGTCCTCCTTGGCGGCGGTCAGGCGCGTCGTGACGAACCCAAAGGCGATGGTGTTGGCGCGCACGCCGAACGCGGGGCCCCATTCTTTGGCGATGGTGCGCGTCAGTCCGACCACGCCGGCTTTGGCGACGGCGTAGTTTGCCTGCCCGCTGCATTACTTAGTACATATCACACTGTAGGCTGAAGGCCGAAGGGAGACTCACGCATTCCCGTGGATGCCGCTGGTACTGCTGATGTTGATGATCACGCGCGGCTCCTTGTCCTTGACGCGGAAGTACTTGGCCGCCGCGCGGACGAGCTTGAACGGCGCCGTGTTGTGCACCGCCAGCATCGTGTCCCATTGTTTATCGGTCATCTATGCCGTGTCCGCGCCTGTTAGCCTCCGCCGTATAGCAACAGCACCGACGAGGAAAGGACTGGGCGCACCTTATGGATCACGCCGTCCCAGGTAAACCCGGCGTTGTTGACGATAATATGGATCTTGCCGTTGCCAAACGCCGCCGCCTTGTCGACCACCTCCTGGATGTAGGCGTCGTTGAGCACGTCGCCGACGACGGCGAGGGCGCGGTTGGGCGCGGCCGCGTTGATCTCGTTGGCGACGTTGTTGGCTTTTTCTACCAATCGTTAGCGGCAGCATTCATGTAGATAGAGCCTCTGGCAGACGTACGAGCATCAATATCAGCAACAACCACCTTGGCTCCCTCGTTGGCAAACAGCTTGGCGGTTTCGGCGCCGATGCCCTGGCCGGCGCCTGTGATGATGGCGACCTGGCCGGCGAGCAGACCGCGCGGGTAGTTCAGGTGGGCGTTGACCTGGGCGAGACGGTCGGACATGGTGGATACGAAGTAGGAATTGTTTACTGTGGTGGTGAGGGGGAGGAGGCAATTGGGGACTGACGGCGAGGTTATATGCAGACTGCAGTATGGTTGAGGGGTTTGCCGAGGTTCCATTTCAACCGAGAGCCGTCCGACGGGTGGTTGCAAGGTACAAACGAACATCACTCTATTGCCTACAGCCTATCTAACCCGGTACTCGGTCTATGCGCTAGTTGCACCGCGCTGCCTCCGCAAATACACCCCAGCGGCTGGAGGAGGGACTCCGTCGCGCTCGCATACCCGCGGATGATCTGCTGCAGCCAGCTCCCGTCCAGCGCCTCGCTACTGCTGCTGCTACTGCTCAGGCCCTGGCCCTCGGCCAGCTCCACGGCCTCGTGCAGCAGGCCCAGCACCTCCTTGCACTGCAGCAGGCGCCCGCGCAGCACCACCCGCCGCATGTGCCGCGCCTCCTCGGGCGCTGTCTCGTACTCGCCGTAAGCCATGGGCTCGGCCTCCAGCGACGACGCCGGCGGCCCGTGGCCGTGGCCGTGGGCTGCGAACTCGCAGCTCACCCAGAAGTCGAAGAGCTGCAGCACGAGGTCCAGCGTCGACAGCGAGACCAGGAAGTTCGTGTTGCCCTTTGGACAGCGCGCGCACCGCAGGAACCCCTGGCACACGGCGAGCGCCGTCTTGATCGCCTGCAAGCCCTGGTCGAAGCGCAGCCGCGCCGGGTCGACCACCATATGTCGCAGTCCGTTCAGGTGGAAGCCAAGCGCCTCGTCGCACTCGCAGCGCGGTGGTAAGGCGCCGGGGATGTGCACGGCCAGCGGGAAGCTGGCCAGGCCTTTCGTGATGAACTCCTTTTGCAGGAAGGTGGGCGATGTCGGCGACATCGACGCCGGCGTGCACATCGGCATGGCGGGGGAGAACGGGCCGCCATAGGTGGCCGTGTAGTCGATGGGCGTCTCATTCACTAGCATGCAGGCGTCGATTGTCGGGTGGGAGTCGTGCATCTGTGGACTCTCAGACAGCCGCGGCTGACTCGGCTCGCTTGTCTGCGCGTGTCAGTTTTCTCTCCAAGGCACACACCCCCGGGTGAACACACCTGGTACTCGAATCTGCGGTCGACCTCATACTCCGGCGGACACACCGGCTCCACGGCCTTCTTCGGCTCTCGCGCGCTGTGCGAGCCCTGCACCGGCTTCTCGTCCTGGAGCTGGCCCAGCTTTCGCAGCGTAGCTCGGTTCTTGCTCCCCTTCGGCTTGCCGGATCGGTTGGCGACCCGGTATCGACAAGGAAGGCCATGGCGAAGACAGCGGATGCAGGTGTTCTTCCCTCCCAGGTTGCATTTCACTTTCGACTGACGGCAGTTCTCACAAGCAGCCCGGAGCTTGGGGGTGTCGCCACCGCTGCTGGGGGGTTGGGATTCTGCGAACATTTATATCGGCGGGCGAAGATCGAGTTGATAGGTAAAGGTCTCTTTCGTTGAATGCACCGAGTTGGGTATAATCCACTGAGAATCAAGATGAAGCCAAAATTATCCCTGACGTCCCGTTCCATATATATCTCGAGTCAGCCGAATCAACATCGGATCTGGATTCCTGAATCGACGGGAACCGCATACGAAGTCAGCCGTTGTGAAACCCGAGAATTCCATCTGATCCACCTCGCATGGAGAGTCCGGCAATCGTGGCCAGTATCCGGCTCGTCGCTCCTCACGGTCGTCCAACTGACCTCCCCGGATCTTACTTGTCCGACAACCCCAACTGGCCGACTGCGTGGCTATCGCCCTCCGCGCTGACTGGATGTTATAAGCGGTAGCCTACCGAGTCTATGGCTCGCTGGCGTGGAGATGTTGGGAATAAGCTCAGGTGCAACATCGAGACAAGCACGACACCGCGATGACACTAAAGAACTTTATCGGTCCATGTCGCCATGCCCATCATTGTGTTGTCTGGCGTAGCATCCAATAGGGAGGCCGTCTACTGCGAAAAGCGGTGTTTAGTGGCCATGCAAGCCAGCACACCATGTGAGGTGTACGCCAATGCATGAAAAATGGAATCCGTCTCTCTATTTGCTGAAGCAAGCGGTGAACACGCAGACTTCCTGTCTGTGCTGTGGAATCCGGTTGAGATTGCCACCTCTGTCCATTTTCCCTTGATATCTCACCTCGGTTCCAGTGAGAATTCCAAGTGGGAAGGGTTGCAACGGTCAGCAGGGCCAGACACAGTCAGCACCACGTCATGTCGTATATTACATTAGATTGGATTGCTCTATTGGAATCGACTGTGACATCTCGACCTCACATCATCCGCTGTTCGTGTGATCCTCCCGCCGCCCAGGGCGAATCACAATCAGATCCGCGGGCAGGTCTCTGCAATCCCACTGTGTCTGTAATCAAATGCGCTCAGCAGCCCGGTCAGGTGAGCCACCGCGGCACACACCACCAACACATGGAAGATCTGATGCGAGCTCCCCAGCAGATCGAACCTGCCGGGTCGCAACCGTTCCGGGACGCGAGCGGCGTAAATGGCCGCCCCCAGAATATACAAAAGCCCCTGGAGGAGCAGCCAGCCCAAACCGATCTGGCGCATCATGAGCTTCCGGCCGTATAGCCGCAGCCCGTGGAGCACAGGAAACACCGCGGACAGGCCCATGCCGACGAACATGGCGGCGCGGAACGGGCGCCAGCCCGGGGTGCGGAACTGAGGAAGAACCGAGACGAAGACGCAGCCAAGACCGATGCCGCAGATCATCGTCCAATACAGCCGTTGCAAGTTTGGCATGCAGTAAAACCCATAGTACACACTGGGCACGAAGCTGCCCACGATCAGACCTACAATCCCGATGTAGTCGAGCGCGTTCCCGATGCGGGCTACCACTGGCGAGTGATTCGAGATGGTATGATAGGTGGCCGACATCCCCAGGCAGAACGCTGCTCCCGCGAAGAAACAGCTGAACGCCCCGATATCGCCGTGGGTGGCCGTCGCGTACCGCGGGGCCAACGCCTGATACAGTACGACGGCCGCGGGGACGGACAGCAGCGAAGGGAGAAGATGCGTGTAGATGTTGACCGTTTCATTGTGAACGTAAGTCAGCGAGTGTAAAGACCCCAGGAACGAATAGGAGGCGGGTCGATATCCCGAGTGGATGTGATGGTTGTCCCGTTGCCAGTGCGGCAGCTCGTCCCAGTGCAGGAGCTTTTTGATGACTCTGGGAGGCTGTTCGAGCACTGTCTCCGCGACCGATACCGCCTCGCTGGTTGCAGAACCAGAACCTTTTGGGCGGTTCTCAGTGGGGCGCCGTTGGCGAGTCGGCATTATTTCATATGCAAGATGCTCAGACGCTGCAGATAGAGGGAAGGACGTTGCAGATTTGCCAATGGACTAGGGGACTAAAACAAGTCAACAGCGAGTGGCCCTAGAGGGAAAAGCGAGATGTGTTCCATTTGACCGGGAGAAGCAACCAAAAGGAAAGTAATGTTGAAAGAGAACGTTGGGATGGACCGAGGTTGAGGCCGTTCACGATCTACAAAAATGGCCCCGTTGGGGAAGAAGGACAAACGCTGCAAACACGCGGGGGCCTGAGGCACCTCCGCCACCGCTTCCATCTTATCGACTCGCGGTTGATACCGATACCAACACACGCATGCTATCACCCATATTCATAGTCCAAGCCCCTGGACATGGCTCATCGCTCGATCTCAGGGAAACGGCCAGGTAGTCGATTAAAGCCGGTGGCAGACTCGCTGGAGTCGGTGGGGTTTGTCTCTAAAGGCGACCGCAAGTACGTCTGTTCGGCTTCACACTCCATCACTTGCATTGACTGATCCACGGTAGATTGCTAGACCATACAACGCAAGAAAAGTACTATGCTCAGATCACACAGCGTTATTTCGAGTTCTGTGCCCGTCACTCTGAGGATCTAGATGCAGCCTGGGCGTCGCTTCCCATCAGCGCCTCCGGAGACGCGACCAAGAATCCTCCGGCAGCTTTCCCCCAGACGAAGAGTGACAGGTCCACCAAATCACACATTCCGGCGGCATCCGCAGAGTTATCCACCCTCCTCTTGTCCCTCCGAAAGCTTCGGGAAGCGGTTCTCGCGACGGCGTCCACAATTCCAGTCTCCTTCTCGCAGCGCGTGCACCTCTTCTCCATCAAACTCTCCATTCAAGCCAAGCACCCTCCCTCATACTTCCCCTCCCTGCGCTACGTCCTTGAAAAGCTCCACGCCAGCTCACATCCTTTACCGGAACCCCAGCTGCGGGACGTGATCTCATACTTGATTCTCGATTATGCTTGTCGACAGGAAGATCTGGTGGCCGCGTTCGAATTGCGCGCACAGGCGCGCAGTCGCTATTCCTTCCAATCAGAGACAGTCGATCGGGTGTTGACGGCTCTGGCGCATGACAACTGGATTGTTTTCTGGCAGGTCCGCAGAGAGGTGGACTCTCCAACGCGGGCAGTGATGGACTGGGCGGCCGACCGCGTCCGAAGACATGCGTTGAAAGCTGTCGGTAGCGCCTATCTTAATGTTGGTGTGCAGTGGGTCACAGAAGGCTGCACTGGAGACAAGGGCTGGACATGGGAGGCGTTGGCCGAGAAGGAGAAGCTCGGATGGGAGAAAGAAGGCGATAAGATCATTATTAAGAGGCCAAGGCTCAAACAGGCAAAGCCTGTTTAGCCAATGAAGGAACGACATAAGGAGCGCTGCTGTCTTTTGTTGGATTGTATTGTTATCATGGAGCATCTATGGCGTTGGGACAGTGTGGCGTTGGATCCTGGAGCATAGCATTAGATGTTCATTACTATAGCAGACCATGCAGAATAGCCCACAGAAGACTTGGATAAGCCACTTCATATGCAAACAGATTGAAGTTGGTCCTGCAACCCCTGTGTTGGAGCTTAGAAGTCGGCGCGGCATGTCCAGAGGGCCAGGCGCTAGGAGTGGACTCTGGTTTCTTGATCCGGCCATCCTGTTGGGTTAAGGGAGCCGTTGCTTCTGTAGACTCAACTGGCCCGACAGCGCCTCTCGTGTCCCCTTCACAACTTGAAATCGGCATTCGGACGGTCCAAGTTCGTATGACCAGTCACAGGCTGTTTGGAAATGACGTCCACGAGTTCAGCCTTCATGTTCGGAGACTTGTCTGAGCATAATTCGTAGACCGTAGACAGGTTGAAAACCAAACTGCCGAACGAGTTGTTTTCCCGGACTAGTTCTTCTAGCACTTGACGGGCCTGTAACAGATGTCAGCATCAACAGCGGCTCATCGAAGGTCGAGCTTAGCTACCTCATTCAACTGTCCCGTATATAGCAGACATACGGCCAGGTTTTGAGAAATCATGCTCTCATCAGATCTCTTGGGCTCTCTTCCCAAAAGAGCCCGCCACCCCGCGACAGCATCGTCGTATCGGCCTTCAGCCATGCTTAGGAGTGGGGGGAAGATAGAATGCTCCGCTTCGTCCGGGTCGCCGACAACTTGCTTTGCTGAATGAAGATCTCCAATGAGAAGATATAACAACGCCTTTCTTAGCTTTGCCGTCTCCGTATCCGTACTTGGTGTCCGCAGACTGGACAACGACCTCCTGGCGGCGTTGAGATCTCCCATTTCGATCAACGCATTGACGCTTCTGATGCCAAGATCAGAGAGCCTTTCTTTCCAGATACGTCGTTCTTCATCGGTCAAGTCGGGTCGCATGATCTCTCTTCGCGCTTCTAGTCCGATCTCATACAGACCACCGATTCCACGGCGCGAATCACCAAAACCAATGCTTTGAAGCCGAATGGCGAGGACCCGCAGACACCATGGAACAATATGACGGGCATAAGTCGGATGCTTCTGCGTATCCCCGGATTCCGAGACCTGAGGCCCTGGCTCTATGTAATAGAAGGCCGAGCTCAAGTCCTCCAGAGCTTTTGACTCCTGGGCCGCAAGAACGGTGTTTCCTGATAGTTCTAAAGATGCCAATCTTGTATAGAAAAGCGCCAAGATCAACTTGACGTCCGTAGGAGAGATCAAAGAGGATGTTAGTATTTTTGCGCTAAGATATGCCGAGAGCAGAAAATGGCCCTCTGTGAGAAGTCTCTCGAGAGAGGCAAGACATGACTGGAGTGATTGGTCCGAGGTGGGAGCTAGAAACTCCGAACGCAAAGCAGGTGGAATGTCAACTTGCGCAAGTGGGTGATAGATATCATATCGGAGGAGGTACGAGAGGTCTTTTTCGATGCCCGACTGAGAGACATCTGGAGCGAGAGGGTCTAACGCGCTGAACGAGGCACCACTGCATGTATCCAGGACTTGGGAGGTCTGCATTTGCGAGAGAGGCGATGCACTTGCGCCTGGGCTCAGAGGGCTGTTACGTATTAGCAATGAAGCAAATACTTCAATACACAATTATACTCATTGTACTCACTCATCCGGTTGGTCCAGGGGGCCTCTCGTTGAGCTCCGAGGGCGTGACGCTATGAACCACAATCAGCACGTTCTATACGGGGCTGCGACCACGGACCATTCTTACCTCTGGAGAGGTTACGGCTATGACCCTGTGAAGTAGAGTCCATTATAGCAATCAAATGGGCCAACTGGGAAATCTCAGAGTCGAAAGACACTTGAGCTGCTCGATCGGGGTAGACATTCTGCCCCGGGCGGTGAAACCGCAGATGAAACAACGGGGCGGGCGGTGAAGGGATCGACCTGATCTGGCAAGCTGGCCCATTCTCCATGCGGGCAACTGTCAATCGCGTCCCCGTCAGTCCACCTGCTTCTTCCTTCACTAGCCACACACGCTGTTTGCGACCATCTCTTCGTCTTTCTTCGAACGTACTCCTCTCCGCACTGATCTCCATCGAGTCCACCTTATCGTCCCATCTTGCCCATTATGACACTCGCGGAGGAATTTCGCTCTCGGAACTTCAGTATGTACTTCCTTTATTTACCCACAGGACCAGCGGGCGAACGAGCTAACAGCTGCCTCGACCAGGTATCTACGGTCAATGGTGTGTATCCTCCCCATGTCAAAATGATATTGAATGCCCTCATTGTTTCCCTCGAATCAACCGGCCTTCAAAAACGTCTTGCAAATTCATAATGGCTGCCTGGAACTTGAACGGGTGTGCTTGGCGCTGTTTGGATCGACATGACCTCAACCGACGAAGGCCTCAACACGACCGACATAGTTCTTAACACAAAACTTCATCTGCGCCGTACCAGGTTCTAATGACTTTCGACTAGGACCGGCGTGATCTGCATTATCCTCTGTTTAGCCCTCGGCATTGCCAACATCTTCTCGTTCAACGCCGTGCGCATCGTTTTCAGCATCCTATGCCTGTGAGTCTTATTCGGCGCCCGCACCACTGGCTTTCGTAGCACTGACTCCTTCAGCGTTTCGGGGTTGATCCTCATTTTCGTTGAGGTTCCCTTCCTGCTCAGGATTTGCCCAACTTCGGAGAAATTCGACAACTTCATTCGGCGATTCACCACTAACTGGATGCGCGCGGCCATGTATGCCATCATGAGCGCCGTCCAGTGGGTCAGTCTTGTCTCCGGTGCATCGGGTTTGATTGCGGCCGCCGTCTTGCTTCTCATTGCCGCTCTCTTCTATGCTTTGGCTGGACTGAAGAGCCAGGACTTTGTTGGCAGCAAGACTCTGGGTGGACAAGGAATTGCGCAGATGATCGTCTAGGATGAGGTATCTCTGTGCATGAGGCATGACCATAAGGTATGGTGAGGTTGGTCCGAGACTCCAGAAGAGTAGATGCTAATGGCTAAAGCCCTCCATGCGATCAAAACATTCAAGCGATCGATTATATTGCAAAACTAGAAAAGGAAAAAAAAGTTCCGGGAGGAATGGTTATATTTGTGCGAAACGCGGCATGATTACGAGCTCACTGTGCTATTTTCCATACGGCTGAACAGTCAGTCCTTGTACTTCTATCTCTGTTGGTTTGGGGGAACCCCGTTGCCGTTGAAGACTTGATTTGTGGGAGTTCTGGTCGAAGCCACTCTAGACATCCTGCTGGACTAGGTAGTTCTGTCCAGTACCGTTCTGCTTTTGTTGTGCTTGTCCACATGTCTTGTATCTTTAGCAGTATATTCAGCGAATACCCTATTAGCATCCTGGTGATGAATAAAATGTTCAGGGTGTCTGGGTTCTTGATCACTTGTATCGTCGCGGGTTTTATGTAGGTCCGTCTAGTATGCTAGAGCTTGATGCATGGCCATAATGACTTTGCCTTTTTATACGGTTTCAACGTTGTTCTCGACTACTGTCTGATTGAGCGTTATTGCAGAAGCCCGGCGATGGGCGCCTATGCCTTATATAGATGTGATTTCTACCTAGATACAGTAACCAGGCCACACTTGAGAGACTATTATGTCAAGATTTAACCATTCACTAAACGCCGCAGTTCTATACCGCTGCAACTTGATAGAAGTAAGGCTAGCTATACCGAGGAAGGTCTGTGTTCGAATTGTATTGAGCATCTACACATGAACAGAGCCTATAAACATTGGCAGTGCCACGGCCGAATCAGCATGGACCGCGTTGTCAGGACCAGGCTTGTCAAGGGAGCCTACAAGGTCCTGAGGTCCGAACTACCCAGGTAGTATCTGCGACAGTACCAGTCAGGCATCTCAATTAATGCTACAATCTGGTGCAGTAGGAAAGTCGGATGCTATCTGGAAGATTCGTCCTACGTCATAGTCCCATCGACCCCTCCGAGGGGTTAAACTAAACTAACCCCGCGTTTAGCAGGCCGGGTGATACTGGCTGTACGGGGTTATTACAGCATCAGGATATTACGGGGATACCTTAGGTAGGTACCTAGGTACCTACTGTCTTCCTGATTACCTGCAGGTTCCTGGACGGCTATAACATCAGGACGGACGGATGGGAAAGTTTGCACGGGACCCAGGAGCTTGGAAGGACAGTGGTCAACCGTGGTAATGAGTGAGGTTTCCTGTTTCTTATACGCAGGTCTGTGTTGTACCTATAGGTGATCCGAAATATATCGACATCGATAACCGGGCCGGTGGAAGAAGGGATATGCATGTCTGGATGGGTGTCAATATGATCACGTTGCAATACCTACCTAGGGTGTATTTCACCAGCCGAGCCGAGCGAGTTTATTTCACTGGCTCTGAGTGTTCTGATGTGAGGCGGATGTCTGTGTTGGTGCATTGCCCAGAGTCTAGCCCTAGGTTGGGTCTTATCAGACATCGTCGGTGGGAGAGATACTTTGTAAAGACACCGACCCATGCGATTTGAGTTATACATTGCTGGCTCCGTGCTCCATTACACTGAAAGCGATCATTATCATCCTTATCGGGCATATACGCCGATCTGAGCCGTAGGCTAATAAGAGCGTACGGGGTAGTGCTGGCGTAATGGACCGAGCAAATCCAGACGGGTGAGGTTCAAGTTGGCTGCACTCATCCCGCAGGACATGGATGTATCTTCCTTACCAAAACGGGTGTAAAGAACGTCCCACCGCGTGGCGGATATCGTCAGCGGACGAATGTGACAGGATCACAGGGGACTGGTCGGTTCTCCACGACAAGGCTGGAGTGGACCCGTGACCACCGGTCCTTCCAGGTCACCGAGACTGCGTGGATGGGCTTTGGTGGAAAAAGCAAAGGCATTGTCCATGCAATGCAATGGCATGGGAGGCAACGATGGACGTGTCTTTGTTTGATACCCTGCCAACCGGGAAGACTACGAGTCAGAAGAAACCGGAAAGGAGGAGGAGAGGATGCGGTGGTTCATGATGCAATTGAAAGAATGGTCGGCTAGCTAGTATGAGAGGGGTGGCCACTCAGATACGGGCCGATACAATTAGGGCTCCTGCGAATGGACAGTTCCTGATGGACATCTCTGATCGTTATTGCGATGCGCACAGCCACACGAGGGGTTCCTCGATCTAGATACATAGTAGTATGTAGCTAGATAGATGACGGTTCCTAGAGACGGGGAAGGGAGATGGGGGATTCGATTTTCGTGGCTTGATACCTAGGAACACTACCTACACAGCCCATACAACGGACCATGGTCTGGGCCTGGATACGGTTCTCGCACACAGGTCTGATTGGAACGCGGCGAGGGATTTGATTTTCGGATGATTCCCCTTTCCCGGAGAATTCAAGGGCATGAAAACGCTGAAACAAAGAAAGGGGGAGGGATTTAATTCTGAAGATACGCTCAGACGATCGAAAGGTCGGTATCCAGAAGACTCCCAATAATGGATCGTCCAGATCATCAACCTTCCCCTCCCTCTGGACCCCCCGTTATTCCCGGGTCTTTTTCTGTTTTCTGTTTTCTTTTTCAAGATTGGTTTCTCCGCTGGACATGGACGGACGGTGAGTGATTATTCCTGCCTCGGAAGATTGCTGATACGTAGGATGAAGAATCTGAGCCGGACGGCCACTCAGAGGGCACTCTGGTGCCAGTGATCTCCCGGGAGAATCTGCTAACCTGCTAGCCACACCACTCGCAGTTGAACAATGCACAGCATACCTGGATCGAGAGAAAATGCCTCAAGGGTACTGAGTAATGCGAATACATAGTAATAAATGCAATGCAGTGGCCGATTGCTCCCCTTGCCCCTCGTCCGGGTGATGCTGCGGGGGAGTATCATTGGCCGAGAGACTAAGAATATTGAATGATAACATCTACTGAATACCTCCTAGATACATGAGATGAACTGACTCTAAGGCATTGATATCCAGACAATGGACTATACTCCGTACTCTGTAACTGCTAAAAATACCTCAACAGACCCCGATAAGGAAAGAAGAAGAAAAAAGCTGAAAAAAGAAGGCGGCCCCACCGAGGCAAAAATGACCATACTCTGTACGAGTATTACCGAAGGCGTAAATGCAACGAACCACGCTCGTTGGCTCACAGCCCATCATCGGTAACGAGACGGTCACGACAGGGCGGAGACGGCGGTTCGATAGCGTCAGAGCACGTCACGCGCCGGGGCGGTGGGCCGTGGCAGGAAGCAAAGGCGGTTTGGCGGGATTTACGCCCACCGCCAGCTGCTACTAATAGAGTCATACATCATCATCGTCGTCGTCGTCTGCCTCTCCCTCTCCTCTAACTATACTCTCCATACCTAGGTCCTGACTTGCTGCAGCTTCTTCATTGACACCTCCTCCCTCCTCTCTCTCTCTTCTTCTCCTGACTCAATCCCATCCTATCCCCACTTCCCATTCCCCTCCATTCTCCATCCTTGTCAAATCCCCTTCCAATTGCTCCCCTCCAATTCCCCTCAGGCATACTTGTCCACCGTTGGAAGCCACTCTCCTGTGCAATTATCACCGCCGGTAAGCAAATCATCCTCTCCCTCCTTATCACCGCTGCAAATTTCTCCAATGTCAATCCTCCCCCTCATTGGTCTTGGTGTCAAAACGCCGTCTTCAGCATGGGACGAGGCGGTGAGCGCAGGAATGCTACTATCGCCTCGAATCCGTATCTTATCTTCCCCTGACTCAACTGGACACGGCTTCCTACCACCGGAGAAGGCCCAGTGAGGAGTGTTGTTCAGTTGGATTCGGCGACGCCTGGTCTTGTCCGCTGCACTGCACTACACCAGCTCCATTGACGCCTAATTGCCCCCCCCCCCTAACGCCACTTGTTCACCGTTCCACGTCGTGGGCCCCATCAGTCAACACTAACACTTCCTGCAGAAAAGTATAAAGCCTGAATCGATTCATAGACCCTTCCACCATGACGACGCAAACAGCCCCCGTGGTCCCTCCTCGACCGTCAAGGTCCCCTCACCAACAAGGCCTCACCCCAGACATGCCGCGGATCCCGCCTCGTCCCTCTCGTCGCGCAGAACGCTCCGTCTCTCCGCTGCGCGATAGCTATGCTCCTTCTCCCCTCAACGGACCTCCCAACGGCTCGATCCTGCACCATCACTCCCCCGCGGAGGTGCCACAGCGCCCTCCCAGTGTGACAATACCTTCTCTAGGCGAAGAAGGGATCGAGTACGAAGATCTGGATGTCAACAACCTGTCTGATGGCCATCACCCCACCCCCGCCGAGATGCGCAACGTGGGCAGCGATCTGAAGCTTCATGCGCCAAGACCGTCCTTGCCTACCTCCAGCGCCAAGGCCAAGGTGCAGGCAGTGACCCGGACCGACTCTCGTTCTGCGGCGGCGGCAGGCCTCGGTCGAGCTGCTTCTCCGGCCGCCGATGACTCCTCGGAACGCCCCTCTCGCTCGTTACACTCCAGGGCTAGTGGTTCGCGCGCCGACTCGTCGATTGGCTCGACGGATCGTCGCCATTCTTTCACCGCAGAGGAGCATGGAATCCCCGAAATTGGCCAGCGAGTGCCCATGTACCCCAACGCGGGTGATGTACAGGCTCCGTCCCCCAGCCCATATCAAGTAGAACATGGAAGTCAACGATCCGGTCGTAGTCACCATCGCTCCCGCAGTGGTCGCGAATCTTCCTTGCCTCCGGGAAGTTACGGTCTTCACGGACATGGCGTGGCTCCGAATGACCGCTTCGAGAAGGCCTGGTATGAAAAGCATCCCGAAGAATATGCCAAGGAGGAAAAAGGCCAGTATGGCCCTGGGGTTGGCACCCCCCGCCCCGATTGGGCTCTGAGCAGTGACGATCTGAACAAGATCGTTCGGGGTTCTGCCGTGACTGGTTCTGGACTCGGTGAGTTGTTTAACCGTTTCTCCTGTTCGTAGATGAAAGGATTTGACTAATTCTATTGTTAGGCACTTCTCCTGCTGTTGACGGAACTCCAGAGGAAGAGGTGGGCTACATTGCTTCGGACGAGTACACTCAACGCCTTGCATCTCCCGCACCGGATTCCCGACGTAACTCGCGCCCAGTCATGGAATCTCCTCTGCGCAATGAAAAGACATCTGCTGCGGAACCTCAGCCCACATCGACCGAAGCGAAGGAAGAACCTGCTGTGATCCACGTTGATGAGCCCTACCACCACCTTCATCATCCGGATGGATTTGCTCAGACCCCAGACCCCAGCGAGCTTGTCCATGCTCCCGGGGAACGTGAGGAAGATGAAGATGAGCCTATCTTGGCGGCTGATGAAGTGCGCCCAGAGTCTGCCCATCAACATCCTGCTATCTCTCCTACTTTTGGCAGACAAGGCAGCTTCGACTATGAGCGCAGCCGTACTCCCAGCGTGAATCACAGCCGTTCCAACAGCCGAACCGCGAGCCACCACGGTAGTATGCCCACGCTGGCACGATACGATTCCCGCGAAGAGCGTGACGCACATACCCCGCTGGAGGATGTTGAGGAGTATGAACCTCTGTTCCCCGAGGATGGTACACAAGGAAAGAAGCCTCTGCCGGCCTCAGAGCGTTTCAAGCAACGCCCAGACCTGCTCAAGCACCGCTTCCCCAGTGAGGATATCTGGGAGGATTCGCCGAACAGCTTACAACTTCATGCCACCGTGTCCACCCCCGATGAGAGGAAGCATGAGGCTTTCGAGACGCCGGAACAAGAATCCTTCCGTCGTAGCCATGTGCCCCATCTCGATCCCCATAAAGTTGCGTCTCAGATTCTGGAGTCGGAAGACCAGGAGGAGAAGGTGAAGGTGAAGGAACCTTCGCGGTTTGAGCTTGCCAAACAACGCTTCCCCAGTCGTGATATCTGGGAGGACGCGCCGGAAAGCCATACGCTGGTCACTACGATAGAACCGTCCGACGACGTTGACAACAAGAGCCCCATTGTGCCGACAAAGCCTATCATCCCATCTCGTCCTCAGAAGCGCGCGCAACAGGGTCCTCCTGTCGACGCTTCAGCCAAGCCCGCATCACCTACTGAAAAGCGTCAACCCCCGACGATTCCGGATCGCCCCAAGCCACAGATCCCCGCCCGACCCAGCAAGCCAGCTGGTCTGAACGGAGAAGAGAGCCAAGATGCCACTGTCAAACCGAAGCCAGCAGTGCCCGCCCGTCCTGGCGGGAGCAAGATCGCCGCTCTGAAGGCCGGGTTCTTGTCCGACCTGAATTCTCGTCTACAGCTTGGTCCACAGGTGCCACAAAAGCCGCAGAAGAAGGAGGAAGAGCCCCCGGCAGAGAAGGCACCGTTAAGTGATGCTCGCAAGGGACGGGCTCGTGGACCCGCACGGAGAAGACCAGCCGTTGAGACCGCCACCTCGAAACTCCCAGCCATCCCGGAAATCCAGATCACGGAGTCGTGGAATGTCTGGCAAGTGTGCGAAGATGGTAACCTCGTCGTCGGCAACGGGCAGAAGTCGGAGCAAACTGTGCCCAAGCCTGCTCCGGAACACCCTACCATGGCGCCCCCCTTGTCTAAGAACATGGCCGGTGAACCGACAGACCCGCTGTCGTCGCCTGAGCAGGAAAAGGAGTCGCCAGTCATGACGGACAACAAGCTGCCTCCGGCAGACCAAGTCCTTGTGCCTGCTGTTCCGCAAACCGAAGCCGAGGTTCCGCCGTGTGCGAGACGCGATTCGAAGCCAACCCACTCTTCTTCGGAATCCGAAGTAGATGATGCCGCTGAAGCCATGGCGGCCTCTGCGGATGGCAAGCGGACATCGGAAGGTGATATCGGTGAATGAAGCGCTGGCTGGATGTGTATTTAGTTTGTTTTCCTTGTTATAAGTGATCTGTATTTGCCCATTTCCTTCTCCGTCATGCTGGCTCTGTCCATCTGGAGCCAATTTCATGGAGAAGCCTGAGGGGTTGGTCCATCCGTTGGACTGACCCATGGTGTTGTATCTAAGGTACTGTTGCTAGGTCGCTTTTGTACATTCATTTGGCATGTGCATGTCGATGCGCTGCATGGACTACTTGTTAGGACTAGAGCTTTCAATTCGGGGTATCTGAATGAGTAGCAACATACTACGCAACATACTTCTACACTTAGTATGGTTCTGCAGGAAGGCATACCACATTGTATTGAAGATGCTAGCGCAATGGTACGTAGTACCTAAACTACCTAGGTCGCAGCAAAAGCGGAGAACAAAACAGAATGTGGCAAGGAAAGAGTATGGAATGAGTTGCAATGGGCTTGGCTGGGGTTTCAATCAATCTTTTATGAGGGCAGTGATGCATTACGTCTGATTGCTTCATCCTTAGAACACTGAAAGGGCAGGAAGAGTGGTGGAATGAAAAAAGGGAAATATTTCCTTTTGTTTTTCTGCTTGTTTTTGGGATTTCTGCGTCTTATTTGTTTTTTTCTCGTTTCATGGGTATCATGATTTTGATAAATGGCTGCATCTAAATAACGCGTGCAAAAGCACAAATCCGGTGAGGTAAGGCCTCGAGCGGGCCGTCACCGATTCCTAATGATAGACAGTCGCACTGTGCTCAATCTTAACTTGGAGCGCACTGAAGTTCAGATGGAGGGCAGATTCTTCAAATTGCCCTTGCCATCCTTGATCCATTCGGGGTCGACCAAGCGCTCCCGCTTTGCGTAAAGCTGTTTGTATGCACCACGGATGGTGCTGTCGCTGACGTGGGCCACCGTGGAAATTTCCTTGGCGGGTTTGCCGTGGCCCATGAGGTAGGACGCCATGTAGATACAGGCGGCAACGATAGATAGCGGAGACCGACCGGCGAGATCGCCCTTGGTCGTGACGTGATCCGCCAGCGCCGACGATACACTCGTAACCTGATAAGGGAGGTCGAGCAGGTTGCAGAACCGGTTGCAGAGATCGCTGGGCCGGGTCGTCGTCGTTGCGGTGTAAGTGTCGTTGGGATCGGGGACGCCGCCGCTCGAGAGAACGGCGTTTTGCCTCTCCTTGTTCTGGGCCTGGAAGAACTTCTCCAGAGCCTTGTAGATACGTCCGATTTCCTTCCGGCTGACCTTGGTCACGGCGAAGATCTCCTGGAAGGTACGAGGAACATTTCGCTGCCGACAGGCGATGAAGATGCATCCGGCGATGATCACATCTTGCGACTTGCCCTTGAACGCCTTGGCGTCGTCCACCGTCTTGAACAAATATTTGGCTGTATCGGCCACGTTCTTCTGAATGCCCCATCCATCGCACAACGCACCGATTTCCTTGTAGGCCGCAAGCAGCGCCTTGTTCGCCTTCTCGCTCGACTGCTTGTTCTGGGCGCGGTACAAGTCACGGACTCGACCGGAGCCGCCACTGGCAATCTGGGTTTCCAGTTGGTCGCCGTTGAGGAGAGGGTTTACCGCATCTCCAACACGAGACGGGTCGTCGTTGTTCTGGTCATCGTTGGAGAAAGTACGCCATTCGGAGTGCATGTCAATTTCTCGATCCGCCAGCACTAATCCACATGAGCCACACACAGTCTCATGGGAGCCAGGGAACTCGAGGTTCGGCGGAACTTCCTTGCATTCTGGACAGATGACATGGGCGGACAGATTCTTTTTCCACTGAGTCGGATCCTGTTGTCTCCCAGGAGCGGCTATAGCGCCCATTTTCTTCACAGACGTACTAGAGCGGATCCGTTCGCGTTGTCGGCGAGCTATCTTTCCTGGCGTGATGGGAAGATTGTGTTTGCGAGCACAGAAGCGGACAAAGAGTGGCGAATACAGGTTGTCGGCGGTATGTAACTCGTTAGACGGGATTCCGAGGACGAGTGTGTCCTCGATGTGATGGATAAAGGCAGCAGCGGCGCAAATCACTGAGAGTAGAATGCAAGCTACGTCTCTGCGTCACTGCCTTTCATAATCATGTTAGCATGAATGCGCCCAAGTGAAACGAAGACGAGTTCATGTTGGAGGTAAGAGATTTGGGTGAGCTAGGAGTCTTCTAGTGCTTTCTGGTGCTTTCTCGATGATGGGCATGATTCCACCGAACAGGAACCCGCTGGCCATCAACGTCTCTTCACAAGCTCACGGGGGAAAAGATTGAGCGAGTATGACGCTTTACCTTTTCCAGGGAGATATCACACTCCTGTGTCGTGTTCAGAGAACAGTCCCCGGAGTAAAGCACGTCACAGGAAGAACCGAGCCAGAGGAAGTCCTGAAAACTTCGACTGCCCAAGACTCTCGAAGCCTAGCTTGTCCGACCGCGATAAACCAGTCAAGGTCTCCGTGAGAGAAAGCGAACGAGCGCGGCGAGTCTCACGAAAAGGAGGGGTCGTTGAACCTGACAGAAAGCTGCTGCGAATGCAAAGATCGATGGATCGAAGAGACGAGCAACGGTGAGTGTCAAGTTCTGCGACAAGAAGGCGTGATGAGGCGAACGAGGGAGGAGGGAGAGGGGGGGTTGAAAGGAAGAGAGATGAAAGAGAGAAAGAGAGAGAAGGGAGGCGAAGTTCAAGGAGTTGGGCGGGAGGGAGAGAAAGCGAGAATCGGGAAGAGCCGCATCTGGGCTGAGTCAGCGGGCGTGCCAAGCCGAAGCGTGCCGAACGTCCAACTTCGAACTTCACGGACGAGAAGACGCCCATCAACCGCTTCCCTCTTTTCCCCTCCGCTCTCAACTCCACGTTCCCCCTCTGCGACCATCCCCACCGCCGCGATGATGTCCCAGTCTCTCAGAGCGTCGGTAAGTCTCTCTTTCCCCTTTGGATTACCTTTCTTCATGTCCCCTCGATGGGGTGACTGACCGTCCCGCCCCTTTCATAGCGCTCCCTCTTCGTCCGCGCCTCTCGGCAACAGGTTTCGACGGCCGCTCGCCGCACTTTCCTGACCTCCGCCGTCCGTCAGGGTATGTCAACTCCCCCTATCCACCTTGGTCGATCTTTGCGAACGGAATATTCCGAGAGGAGGATAAAATGAAACGGCCTCGGCGGATGACGGTCGCGATCGGATCACCGCCTGGTTAGCGCAAAAAGTCTGACTATATCATTCTACAGCCGACCCCGTTCAGGAGCTCTACCTCCGCGAACTCCGCGCCTACAAGCCCTCCCCCGTCAAGCCCGGTGATGCCGATGCTCACGTCCAGAAGTTCGCCATCCCCGCCGCCCCCAAGTCTCCCGAGGAGGCCAACCTCGCCAATGAGCTGAAGTCCTACGAGACCCAGGAGGTGGAAGTCGAGGGCCAGGCTGCCAGCGGCGAGGCCGCCCCCGTTGAGGAGAGCTGGTTCGTCGAGGAAGAGGAGGAGGCTCCTGCTGCCCACTAGGTTTATTCCCTTTGACCATAGGGGCTGCAAAGAGACTCGCTATTACCCCATAGAGAGACGGTCTCCTGGTTGTTGAGTCCCGAAAGGAACTTTGTAAATTAAACCTACCTGGAGCTATGAAATTTCTTCTTTTCTTTTCTTTTGTCGATGGTTCCTGAGCTGTTCCTTCTGTATCGGAATGACTATGGTAGTTGGAAGCGACCATGTCGGAAGAACGGGATTGATATATCCCCGCCGACCTCCACCGAGTGATAAAGGAAACAAGAGATGATAGAATTCTGCATTAACGAATGTCCCCATCACCTCTGAGTACGGAAGTCTTTGGAGCACATGGGCGGTGTCTGTTCCCCTCCCGCCATAGGACTCGCGGTTCCGGTGTAGGTAGGTACATCCAGGTGCCGTTTGATACATCTACTTCTTGTGTCTCAGAGACGAGTTCCTGTACCCCATTCAGGAAACTGATTCGTCTTCGGTGGGCGAGCAGGTTGATCACCATTAGTCTGTCGGTGGGACGCCAGGGGGTCATCGGTAGTGGTTTGCCCGACCAGTCGGTATGACAGCTCCGGATGCTTGTGCTGTGCTAGACCGCGACCAGAGGGCTTCTTTTGGACTTCTCCTCGATCTTTGGATCTGCATTGGGAGGTTCTACGCCCTTCGTTGGGCTTCTCTAATTTCCGGGGCTGCGATCGACATGGATAGCAAGTCGATGGGAGGCGCCTCGATCAACTCTCTTTCGGCACATGGGTCGATCCGTCTCGTTTGGCGATGATATGACACGATGACGAAGGGTGCGCAATAAGGTCCAGGCTTGGTGCATGCTGCAAGGGCGATCACTCGAGTGGGAGGTCTGTCCTGGGCTTTCCTGCTGGAGATATGGATGTACAGCCATGCATGGGCTACGGAGACTGGGCGAGTTGGCGGGTGTCTCACGAGATGGCGATGGACGTCTAAATAGGCCGTGGGCATACCAATGGCGATTGAAATGATGGGCTTGGAGCATCCGGGATCCATTCATCATGGAGACCGAGAGGAATGCGGACAGACGGTCGTCAGTCGTCAGTCGTTCACAACTGTCATGTACTACATTCCGGGGAGCTAGCACCCAGGGAGTCGGTTGTCGGTTGTCATCATCGCTTTCATTGTTGACCATCAAAAAGCAATTGTTTTTGCCACCGAGTGGAGGATGGGTAGTTAGTTCCAATTCGGACGCCTTGTTCGATCTGTTCCCTTTGTTTGCTTGGTCATTGCTGAATTGATATGCAGCCGATGGAAGGATGCATGATTATGCTCGTACAGATGACGTATCAGAAGGCGGGAGGTTCGGCCGGCGTGGGAGACGATCAACGCGCTTTGCACCAAGATGAGGACACCGGAATGTTTGGGGTGTCTCCTCCCTGGGGATGGGGGTTGAAAGAGGGGGTGAGGAGGGATGGCTGCGTGGACGAGTAACCCACCATTCGCTTGAAAAGACCACCGAAAGGAGGTGAGCTGATGGCGATGGTCGTAAACGCAACGCTGGACGCAGGAGGCTGTTGCCCGAACCGCCTCATGATTCCTACGACATAATCATAACAATATCTAGGTAATAATAATAATATGCAGGCGGGGTCCGGTGCAATTTTAGGACCAGGATTCGGAGCAAGTGGGACAGATGAATCGGTATAGTTAGAAGTGATATGCTCTGTAGATAGTACATAGTTTATGGATGAAGCCTTGCATGATGGATGTCTTGGGTTTGTGGAAGAACGGAGTGAATAATTAGTATAAACATAATAGTAATGATAATAATAATAATATAAAGAAAACAATCATATACTCCGTAATATAATATAATATCATCAAGATCAAACCGCAGCGTAATACGAGATGACCGCAACCGTGGATCGGGATGGGCGAGTTCCGAGCAGACCGGATAAGATAGAAAAAATAATAGTGAAAAAAAAAAAAATAGGAAGAGTAAAAATAAACGAGAAACCATCAAAAGGATCGATGGAAGGAACTTTAATTCTCTGCCAATCATGAGTGCCACCACCGAATAGAAAATAATAATAACAATAATAACTAGATAATCATAATAATCATAATCATCAGAATTATCCAAAGAATAAAATCAAAAATCGTCCCAAGGTTGAATCGAGGGTTCCTGACTGAGCTCCTCCACTTACTACGTACCTTAGTTACTTCCACTTACTCTTCTTCCTCTCGTCTCTTCTCTCCCGTTGATCTTCGACCCTGCGCCAGCCTCAATCGTGGCTTCTCCGCTCTTCCCCAATTTTTCTACTCGTCGATCAACCGCCGACCTTCTCTTCTTCTTCTCTTCTTCTCCCCTTCATCATCGCCAGCTCTGTTGATCTGGCTCGGGGAGATCCTGTCAATCCTCTCTCCTCTCTCCTCTGACTTCTAACCTCTGACCTCTGACGTGGTTCGCTTGGTCCCTGAATCCTTCCATCGGCCTCTCCGCCTGTTGAGGTGGTGAACCTTGCAGCCTTGCAGCTCCCCGGCCGAATTACCTACATCTACCTGCACAGCCTACCGACCGACCGACCGACTCATACATACCTACTACCACCTACCTACTACTAATAATCCATAATCATATCACCGGCCGCAGGCCCATACCTACCTCCCTAATCCTAATCCCTATTCCTCCACGCGTCGGCTCCAACTTCCATCCTTCATCCCTTCGCTTCCTCCTGTCAATCCGCCCTCGCTCCGGTCTTCAATGCACCCAGTCACAGCTCCTCCCTCGCACATGGTCTGATCGTCCACCTGTTTGCTTCCTCGCCATCTTTGCTTTCCCGTACGTGGACGAGCTGGCCTCTCCACCGTCGAACCTCTCGGTCCGTGGGGAGATGTACACATCGCCAGGGTTCTTCCTTGTCGTGGACCTCTAGTCCCTCTCCCCTCCATCCACCCGCCTTTCTTCGTCCTCGACCATGTCTCCTCCCTTTCCTCAGATCGTCACCAGCAACCATGAAGACGAAGATGCCTTCCTTTCGCGTTCCGCCAGCTACAATCACCTGCCCGACCTCGTCAATGCCGACTCTCCCACTCTCCGAAGGACCTTCTCCGACCTGACCAACCCCCACCGCTCCGAGTCCCCTTCCAAGGAGGATGTCGCCGCGGGGAAGGACATCCTGCGACGCACATCCCTTCGTTCGAAGGAGAAACCAACCATTGCCGTCTCCCGCTTCACCGTGTCCTCAGAAGATCTCACCGATGCCTCTGACCAAGAGATCGCCGACCCGGCCCCCAAGATTCCAGAAACAAGACCTCCGGAGCCCGCCGCCCGGCCATCCAAGTCTCGCACCATGTCCGGCCGCTTGGTCAGTCTCGCTCGCAAGCCCTGGTTATCATCGTCTCCGTATCGGTCACCTGCGGACAAGGATTCCAGGACGCGACGAGACCCATCGCCGCCGCGGTCCCAAAGGAATTCGGCGCAGCTCGAATCGGTGTCTGGTTCCGAGCCAGACGCCGGGAGCCCCTCTCGCAAACGAACCATCCTGCACAAGCGCCCTCGGCGGCCGATGGTGGCCGTGGTCACCCAGAGCCGCGCAGAGAGCCCCAGTAGTCCGAGTAGTTCCTCGCCTCAGTCCTTAGGGGGCAAGGGCTCGTTGGAGAAGCTCAGTTCGTCTCTCAATGTGTCGACCCCCGTCCTCCCTCCGATGCCCAAGGGAGCCGGGAGTACTGGAAGTTACTCGGCCAGCATTGACTTGCCGCGGAAGAAAGATGAGCTCTGGGGCGTGTTCCGGAACCTCGAGGCCGACTTTCAGAAGTGAGTATCCCGTAGCAAGTGGAGAGTAACGCGGAGCTAACCGGGCAATACTAGGTTTCAGACCAAGTCCAGCGCCTTGAAGGCCAATGTCATTCGTGCTTCCCTCTTACCGTTCCTCAACCGTCACCATTCTCATCCCTCATACAAATCTCTGAGGCCTGAGGATCTAGATCGCCGGGTCAACATCCTGAACAAATGGTGGATTGGATTGCTCGAAATGCTCAACGGTAAGCACAATCAGTCCATCTCCGGAACAGATAGGCCAGTATACCTGGAGGCCGTCGTGGGGATCATGACCCGACCAGAATGGAAGATTCCATTCCCATCGCCGCTGACCGGCGGGAACTCTCCACGGCCTCTAAAGCCCGCATCTTCCATCTCAGAGGGATCGGATTCCTCGGGGTCCGACTTCCTGATCGAATCCATTCATCATAACATCCGGAATATCTTCACGCAGAACCTCCTCTCCCAAATGGCCTTCGTAGTAGAGCGAATGTCCATGAGGCACGCTCCTGCCAGCTTGGTGGCCTTCTGCGGAAAGGCGTGCGCGTATGCATTCTTCTTTTGTCCTGGTGTGGCAGATATATTGGTGCGGCTGTGGAACACCCCTCCGAACATCTTTCGCCGCGTGTTTGCTCAGCCGCAGGTAGGGAGGAGTAGTGATATGCGGGCCTTCACTCAGGACCTCGCATTAAACTTCCCACCGGCACTACGCTCGCTCGCCTTTCATGGCCATGCCGCATTGGTGCGATATCTTCGTCAGAAGCCCGATGTCCCGCTGAATACCGCTCAGATCCCGTGGCAAAGCCCTTGGGTCTCGCGGTGGTGTGGGCGCGACACCGATCTTTTCTTTGTTTTCGTGAAATACGTCCACATTCTCTATGCGGACGCCCTGCCTCTCGACATTGACAAGGAGAAACGGGTCCTGGCGCCCGGTTTGCTACCCATTCACTCTCAGATCCTCGTCGTTCTGGAGGATGTTTTGTACAAACAATCGGCCCCGCAAATCCCAGAAAGCTCCCACACAGCCGCTGCGATCACTTTCGATGACTTCATTGAAGGCGCCGACGCCGCAGTCTCGGCTCTTCCGCTGGGTGCGGCAAACAGTCACCGGTCAATGGCGGAGAATCGCTTGATCATCCTCCTTCGGGATTTCCTCTCCGAGTCGTCCGTCGAACCTACACACGCGCGACTACTGTATGCAGAGTCCTTCTCGTCCATTATGAAGACAGCAGCCCAAAGGACATCGTTATTTGATCACAATGCGTGCTTTTTGCTGTGCGACTTTGTGGAAGAAGTGATCCCCATCGTTACGCGCTTTTCTCAGTTGGTTGATATCGACTTTTTTGACTGGAAGTTCTGGCTGGAAGTTTGCGGGCAGATGATGCAGAGTCACAACTCGCTGACCGAGGTCCGGGTGTTCTCGTTTCTCTACGGAGTGTGGAACACATGGACGCTTTCTGAGGAGCGGAAGGCGGATATCTGTCTCCGGTTTCTTTTGGAGGAGAACCTGTTCTATCATTACTTCAGTCACTGGAGTCCTATGGTTCGCGCCTATTTCCAGCGCCTCCTTTGTTGGCGAGTGGGTAGATTCAATGGAGACCCGTCACCACTGGATTCGTAAGGAGCCCGTCCGAGTGAGTTGCTTTTAAGACTGACCATGCTAACTTTGCCAGGTTAATCTACGAAACTATCTGGAACAGGCTCCAACGCACTTGGCGCTATTACCTCGCCTTCCAGGCAAAAGCGGAAGAAGAAATGTCGATGCCCCTATCTTCTGCTCCTTGTTCGCCGGCTCCTGGACGTCGGATCATCATTATCCGATGTGATAACCACCTCCCGCCATCCAATCTGTTCGTCTCGTTCGACCGAGTTGTGCCCCCAGCTCCGCCAGACCAAACCGGACTCCCCGGCCTCGCGAAAGATTCGTCCGGGGATAGTCAATTGTTCCCAAAGAAGCGATGGAATCTCCTCAAGGCTGTTTTTGGTGCCTCCTCCAGTTCCAAATCCAGTGGTGATGTCTCCCCAACCAGCAGCTCGGATGAGTCCGAGGCATCTGTGTCTGATGCCATGGCGGCTGCCGACAAGTGCTTAGATCCGCACTGGCGGCCTCGCAATGCGTCTGGCGAGCTTGTCCCTCCGAAGATGGTTCATCAACCCTACTCCTTCCGATTCTCGCTGGAGTGGATAGATCGGCCCCAGTGGCCGAGCAAGAACAAGCGTCTATTCACACCGTGCCTCCCCGTCGCGGCCCAGTTACACCTCCAGCTCCGTAAGTCCATGAACCGGCCTGAGGGTTCGGACACAACTTCAACATCGTCGACATTGGATATCGAAGACGAAAGCAAGAGCGAAGCAACTCTTGACGAGCAGATGGCCCTCGACCCTGCGGTTGGCGAACCAGAGAAGCTGAACAACAAACCCGATCCGAAGCTCGCCCTGAATGACACCCTTGCGGGCAGCAAGTATGCGGGCCGGGCGCTGGCAGAATGGGCTCAGATCGTCTCGGAGTGTGACAGCTTCTTTGCCCGACGACGCGACGAGGGGGTGCCGTGTGACCGGATGGTGGAGACCCCAACGCTGGGCGTGGAGAGTTTCCGGAAATAGGCCAGCCCCGTCAATCCAGTTCGACAGCATCTACGCACCTCAATGTCTACGTGCAACCTTCCTATATCGAAACCGAGATCAGCTTGACTTCAGCATTCTGCATAGCGGGAACCGTGTCACCTACCTACCTGCCTACGACTATAACAACCCCCGGAGGATCCAATTGCGCACACTCCCCCCGTGCGCTCTAATCCGAATACCAAGGGTAATGCATATTTTTTAATCGCCTTTCTTCCTCCATTGGCCTTGACGTGCTGTATATATAGAACATGGGGTTGATACATAATCAGGAGTATAAAAAGGATTTTGTTTGTTCAGGATAATTGCATTGTAAATGGTCCTTATCTCCCGGGTGGGTTTGTCTACTTTGGGTTTCGTAGCTAAGGAAGATAGCTGAGTCATTGATTTGACGGATGGACCTGGTGGGGAAGACAGTACTCAAGGGGACGAATACTCTGAAGTAAAATATGTACCTTCGTTGAGAAACGGAAGTCCTATACTATATATGTAAACCAATCGACTCCAGTTCCACCTGCAATCAAGACATCAACTGACTCTGTCACCGTCAATCTCGAACGGAATACCAGAGGACAGCTGAGCCAGGGCAAACACCCTAGTATATAAGGTAAATAGACCGCTGAACGCCATGAGAAACCGAGGAGAAGGTGAAAAAGACACACTTGCAGGCATCCATGAAATGAAATGGTGAGAACCAGTGTTTTGAAACCAGATAAGACAGGGTAGAAAGAGATCGCTGGGATGAATGGGTTGTGTCCCATAGGTATGGATATGGATATGGATAGAATCGCGGCATGCATGCAATGACAAGAGATGCAGTGAGAGGTTCTATGACATGATGGCGAGAGTTCTTTACAGCGGGCAGGAGACCGGCGATTGCTGTGCCGGACTCAAGGATGACAGAAGGACTTCAAGGTGAAGGAAAAAGACAGAAAGGCAACGTCTATCGTTTAAAGGGTCAAAGTGGAATAGTGATTTTAGTCGTGGAATAACTTATCGCTCGCTGTGGTGATGACTTCGGAGACACGGTCAACCCATTCTTGAGTTTGCGTCCAATTGCCGGCATCGATGCTGTCGCGAATAGCCGGGAACAAGGTCGCATCGTAGCCAGACCACAGCTCGGGGCCGAAAATGACGTGCTTAAATTGCGTGCGGTTAGGGACCTAGATTACACGTGGTTAGCAAGCAGCCTGCACATCCTGCAAGGAAAGAAACTCACCCCTCCGTCGACCCGGTCGTCCAGGAGATTGGTCTCGAATCTAGCCATGGCTGCATTGTGGCTTGTTCGCTGCATCGCCATCACGTTGTTCTCAAACCCGCCGGAACCCCATACAGCGTCATGCCACAGCTGGGCGAATTGCTGGAACTTTGCGGCGTCACTCTGGAACTTACTGGCCGCGTCGTACAAGGGCTTGAACGTGACAGAAACGTCTCGGTCGGTCTTCGCGTTGGAGGGCTTGGACGCAATCGGGACATTTTTGGACTTGGCGTACTTCTCCAGGTCGGAAACATAGAAGGCGAGGTGCTTGGCGTAAATCTCCAGGTCAAAGGGCAAGATCGGGTTGTCCGCGAATTGGACGAGGAGTAAACCCCAGAACTGGCCCAGAATCTTATGATACTGGAATCCGGGGTCGCCAAATTTGGCCATCCAGTCGTAGTTTTCGTAGCAGCTGTGGTAAGGGAATGGTTCACCGACAAAACCAAAATCAATGCTGGAGGTTCCGGCGATGTCCTGGAACGCCACATAGTCGCTCCCCGCGCCCAGAGGCGCGAGTTTCTGTTTCTTCTTCTCCCAGATCTCTTTGAGCGTCTCGTTGGTGATGGGATCTGCGATACGTCCGAGCAGTTGCGTAACCACGCGTTCAAACACGGGGGATCCGGAAACATCGAATTCCCTGCCTGCAACGCCGACATCAACATTGAGATATGCGTATGCATTCTTCTTAAGAGCCTCCAACTCCTTTTCCACATGCTCGGTCGATCCAACAAGGTTGTACTCCTCCGCATCCCAGCTGACAAACTCGATGGTGCGGAGCGGACGCCACCCGAAGGTAAGGAGTTCGCCAAAAACACGGGCAACTTCAAGGAACACCGCGGTGCCACTCCCTGGATCGGCGCCTCCAAGACACCAGGAATCGCGGTGATTGCCCACGATGATCTTCTTGTCTGGTTCCTCCATGCCAATGATCCTCCCGATCACATTATAGATGGGTTGCCTCTCGACTTCGTCTTGCATATTCATCAGGTTCACCACAGGAGAATTTTCATCACCTGTCCACCACTGGTCCACGTGTGGCACACCGCCGACCCATTTGGCCGGCACCTTGGAGCCGTGGCCCTGGAGGACCTGCAAGAGCCTCTGAGCGTCGCGCCAGGCGATCGGAAGGCTCGGAATGCTGTTCAGGCCCTGGCTCTCCTCCGGCTTGAGGCGCTTCTTTTCCTCCGGGGTGGAAGCGAATCCGGGCGTAAGCACGTCTCCGACGACCCAGGACATGAGGCTCACAGCACCGCGCTGAACACCATCTGCGGGCATGAAAACGTCCCTCCGGATAGGCAGGGCCGCGAACGAATCCATCCTCGGAAGGGTCGGAGTAGATGATACAACCGACAGCACCAGCAAGTTCCGCAGCTTTGACCTTCAGCGCCCGATCGGATTCGGTTCCGTAATAGCGCACCAGTGCGATGGATCCATTGAGGGAGACGCCTTTGTCAGCAAGATGCTGGAAATCTTCGCGAGAACCGTAGTTTGCGTAGACGAGGTGGCCCGTCACATTTCCGGATTTCGAATGGCCGTGGAACACGGGGGTCTGCTCGTCCTTTTCCTCCAGGGCGGCCTCCCAGGCCAAATCGGGTGGGTCGACGATCGCGACCCTCCTGCCGCCGGGCGTGGGGTAATTCAAGTATACTTGGAACTCTTCCATTTCGATCTGGTCGAAAGCAGCGTTCCGGAATTCTTGTTCCACCCATTCTGCCAGTGCGTAGCTTCCTTCCGTGCCTGCCATGTGCGGGAACTTGGTGGCCATGCGGAGATTCTCAGCAATGTTCGTTTCGTTGATGTGGCCCTGGATGAAGTTCTCGACGGAGGCGGCACTGTAGGACTGGCCCATGATAAATCGGCTATTCATGCTGAAGATATCGGAGATGAAAAATACATATACAATGGCGACGACTAATAAGAGACCGAACAGACGCAACATGATGATGCAGCCGCGGTGCTGCATATCGGATCGGGCGGCGCCCAGGTTGATTGTAAAACGGAAATTGGGTATCAGGCGACGAAAGGGCGAACCGAGGGACGAGAGCGTTCGGGTGAGGTTATTGAAGGGCTTGGAGAAACGGGAACGTAGGCGGGAGCGTTGGGATGGTTGTTGTCCGGCCGCATCCTCCACGTCCATCTGCGCGAGTTCCCGCTGCAACTCCTCGAGCGAACCCCGTTCGGAGCCAGGGGCGGAGGAGTCGAGGTCATCGAGGCTGTTTCGAGCGGACTCGACGGTGGGGGGTTGATATCCTCGGCGATCCGGGCGGGAAGCAGTGGTCGCGCTGGCGTCGTGAAGGAGACCTTGTCGTTCGGCATCGTCGCTGACTTCTTCGGAACCGAGGCGCGAGCGGGATGACCCTGGACGAGCGGCGACAGCTTCTTCGTAGGTAGGGATTGGAAGGGATTCATATTCGAATTTATTATCGTTGCCCATGGTGGACGAGATGGGGCTCCGGGGAGCCGTGAGCGTTGAAGAGGGTCACAGATGGCGGAGTCCGCTGGATCATGATCTGGAAGGGAAAGGAGTGGCTGTGGCAGACATGCTCCCTGATGTGGAGAGACCTGGGGATCAGGGAGGACGTGGGAGACTGGCGTCTGGACGAGGCAAGAGTGAGGGAAAGACAGGCACGCCAACGAGAGGGAACGATACCTAATCCCGAACGGAGGTCAAGGGGGAGTGTGGCGGATGATGGAGTTCGTCGTAGTTAGTTGGTCTGTAGTAGTAGGAGTAGTCAGTAGTACGGAGTAGGAAGTTGGTTCCTGAGGAAGCACGGTCTTACTAATTCCCCCCAGATAAGTCATGGCGTGGCGCCGTGACCCACGCTCGGCAAGACAAGGCAGAAGGGTTTTGTCGTGAAGAGGAATTTCCGTTCGAGAATCATGGTGATCGAGACGAGAAATGTAGAAGGATCGAAAAGAAGGACGATGGTTCCTTAGAATAGTCCTGGTTGATCGGGTTGGGCATTACCTAAGGCGTCCGACTTCACCTACGACGATCACTTACGGGGTATATATATATATATATATATATCTTCTTACTCTGAACCTTCGACCACTGCAGGTTGACAAACAAGAAAGCCGTTGATTCCGCACATACACATGAGAGAGAAATACATGTACATATATGGAGAAAGAGTGTGAGTGAGTGAATGAGTGACAGACGCATTCCCTATATCTGTTCTCCTAGCCATCAGGATAGACCAACTGAGTTGCATAATCCTACTCTGTGTTACAGCATGCAGATGCCTACAAACCAAAGACCAGGTAGGTGCCTAGTACTCATGTCAACTGACACTAGGAGAACCTACAGCCAGGAGCGAATTACCTCAACCACCTAAGCGAGCCATGATGGAACATTATTGCGTACTCGAGGCATCTTCATCATCCAGGTGGAACAGCATCCACCGGGATTCTAGTTTCAGCTGGTCCAGGGGATTTCTTCCGCTTTTGCCTGGATCGATCCACATGATAAGATTGATTAGCAGAGGGATTTTCTACGAACACTGACGGGAGAGTGGGAGAAGACAAAAAGAAATAAACAAAATTAAGCCGATGTCGCAGTGGTCCCATCGTCGAAGTGATAGTATTACACTGGGGCCAGAGATTAGGCGGTCCGGCCTAAGCCGAAAGAGACCAATAGAGATGCAATTGCGGCGGAGGAAGACCAAAGACAAGGCCTATAGTAGATAAGATAGAGGCGCAGCACAGCAAACATCACACTACCACTACAGAAGTGTCGGTCAGGCCTCGGAGGAACCGGTCTGGGTGACGATGCGGTGGCTTGGTGGAATGAGGGATTCGGGTGGACGGATGCTGGTGTTACATGAAGGTGAAACTAGATACATACTAGTAGATTAGGAGGGCGGCGGTGGTTGCCTTGGTAAAAGGAGAACGACTTAAGCTTAAAGTTGATGCCAACCTGCTTTAGGGAATTTCCATACAAACTCCTACTACTACTGATCTCTGTAGGTACATCATGCATTGCGCTGGAGAGAGCAAGTACAGAAACCAAAATACGGGGAAAGGGAAAGGGGCAAAAAGAGCTCATCGAAAAGGAGAGGCTGCGTGTGCCCTGCAGGCTGCAAATTCTGTTGAAGAATTTGTCTGGTGGAAAGGAGATTCTAGTATGGATCGTACGGTGTACATTATATCCTGGAGACAGATGGATGGAGTTGCACCGCAGTGGGGAGCGTTACCGTACCATAACCCTCGCCGCATCGCCGCCAATGCTGATCTAATCGACGCTTTAACCTGGTTTAGGAACAGAGGGTCTCAAACCACCAATAAAAGCTACTTAAACCCTCGTGCTAGTTGCTCCACCACAGGCGCACTATGTCAGGATAGGTCGGGTAACTTACGCGGTAATCGCCGTACCGCCAGGGCAAGAGGTTGATCAGTGGTGGTCTGGCTCCTACATATACCAACTCCTGTTCTCATACCATCTCCTCTCTCCCTCGACTTCTTTCTTTGCTCTCTAACTCTCTCGATCTCCTGCTTCTGCTCCCTTCCTCGCTGTCTTCTTACATCCTCCTGATTCTCCTCCATTGTGCTCCTGGTGCTTGACCTTAGCTCTCCTGCATTCCACTTCAACTTTTTTTTCCCCTATCATTATCGATAATCTACCCCTCTACTCCTTTCCACCACCACCATGGCTGCTCGTCCCCAGAACATTGGTATCAAGGCCATTGAGGTCTACTTCCCCAGCCAGGTATGTCTCTCTCTCTCTCGCTCTCCAGTGTATTTTTGTTTCTGTCTAGAAGAACCTCCTACTGACCCCTTCTAGTGTGTCGACCAGGCTGAGCTGGAGAAGTTCGATGGCGTGAGTGAGGGAAAGTACACCATTGGTCTGGGCCAGACAAAGATGAGCTTCTGTGATGACCGTGAAGGTGCGTGGTTATTGTCCTCTTCCTCTTAGCCCATGCTGTCCCTGAACTCACCGCTAACCCCTATGCTCCATTTAGACATCTACTCCATGGCCCTGACCACCCTCTCCTCCATGATGCGCAAGTACAACATCGACCCCAACTCCGTGGGTCGCCTCGAGGTTGGCACTGAAACCCTCTTGGACAAGTCCAAGTCGGTCAAGTCCGTTCTCATGCAGCTCTTTAAAGACTCCGGAAACACCAACGTCGAGGGCGTGGATACCGTCAACGCTTGCTACGGAGGCACCAATGCCGTCTTCAACAGCATCAGCTGGCTCGAGTCCTCCGCTTGGGATGGACGTGATGCCGTCGTGGTCTGTGGTGACATTGCTCTGTATGCCAAGGGTAATGCTCGCCCTACCGGCGGCGCTGGCTGTGTTGCCATGCTCATTGGTCCCGATGCCCCCATTGTCTTCGAGCCCGGTCTCCGTGGTTCTTACATGACCCACGCCTATGATTTCTTCAAGCCGGACCTCACCAGCGAGTACCCCGTGGTGGACGGTCATTTCTCTCTCAAGTGCTACACCGAGGCCGTGGATGCCTGCTACAAGGCCTACGCCGCTCGTGAGAAGACCCTGAAGGCCACCAACGGCACCAACGGTGCCACCCACGATGAGACCAAGACTCCCCTGGACCGCTTCGACTACATCTTGTTCCATGCTCCTACCTGCAAGCTGGTGCAGAAGTCCTATGGCCGTATGCTGTACAACGACTATCTCGCTGAGCCCAACCACCCCGCCTTCGGCGAAGTGGCCCCTGAGCTCCGGGAGATGGAGTACGAAGCCTCCCTCACCGACAAGACTGTCGAAAAGACCTTCATGGGGTCTGACCAAGAAGCGTTTCGGCGAGCGTGTGCGCCCGGGTCTGGATGTGGCTACCCTTTGCGGTAACATGTACACGGCTACGGTCTACGCCGGTCTGGCCAGCTTGCTCAGCAACGTTACCTTCGACCCTAGCCAGCCTAAGCGTATTGGCCTCTTCTCTTACGGCAGTGGTCTCGCTGCCTCTATGTTCAGTGCGAAGATCGTGGGCGATGTCTCCTACATGGTTGAGAAGCTGGACCTCCACAACCGTCTCAACGCCCGCACCGTTCTGCACCCTCAGGCGTACGATGATGTAAGATTCCATCCTCCCCCTTTTGACAGACATCATACTGGGCTCAGCTGACTGGAAATGTGTTAGATGTGCCTCCTCCGTGAGCACGCCCACCTGAAGAAGAACTTCAAGCCCGCGGGCAAGACCGAGACTCTTCAGCCCCACACCTACTACCTTACTGAGGTCGACGACATGTTCCGTCGCAAGTACGAGGTCAAGGCCTAAATAATGACTCACGTTTGACGAAGCCTGTTTCCTTGACATGATCCATGTTTAGACGGTTCCTAGATTCCCTCCAGTGTCGTGATGTTGTGTGCGTTCATAGATCCGAGTATGGCATGGCTCCGGGGAATTCTTTGCTGCACCCTTCTTTTCCTTTTCTCCATCCCCGCAATATTTAGTGTGTTCAGTCTTCTGAAATGGCGGGAGGGAAATGGTCATCTCCTGGTCAGGCGCTGGGATGATAGATGATGGACAAATACGAATGCTCTTTGGTCGATATAGGGGCACTGGAATGCTTCTATTCTCGAGGGATTCTCTTGCCCATCTAGTATTAATTTATTTAATGGAATATGTTCAAATATGCCATACGTTGCTATCTGCTGTATTCGAGCCGTTCCCAGTCGTATTCTTCAATAATATTCCACGGTTGCTTAGTTACCTGACTGGGACGTGCTGACTGAGCCGAGGCTCATCAACATTCACAAAACGAAGTCTACCTACTACCTACACTACGGACTGGACATTTCAAATTTCCTCGAAGTCACAACCACAGAACAATCAGTGCTTCAGCTGCATCTAACCTTTGATGCCCTCACTTACCATGCTTGTCTACCCAAATCATCCGCAACCGGATCTTTGCTTCTCGGTGTGCGCCACTCCCACCAGTGGCTATCCTGACCAACGGTGACTCCATCATGTCGCTAGAAAGCACCGACTTTGATTCAAACCTTCCTCAGGATGAGATTCTCGTCTTCCCACTCCCGATGCTTTGTCTGCTTCAATCAAGCCGAGTTTGCTGCAAGCTATTGGAAACCAGGAGCCCCTCATCAACCTGGGCGCCTACCTGGGCCGTCACCGGCGCGTACTGCAACAAGCTCCCTCCCCTGGGAATGTATGTATTCTTAGAACATCTCGCGTCCTGAGACTAACATGCATGATTTGTAGGATTTATGGATTTTCCAGTCTCTCTGATTGGGCCGGGGTGGTGCATTTTCAGTCCTTTTTCGTGCTCCGTACTCTGCCCGGCGCTTCGAGCTGCGAACACATCCGGTGCCCTTCTCAGGGTCTGTGGAGCTTCTGTTGCTTGCCGCCGACTGATGGAATTTCCAGGCGTCTCGCTTCTAGTGGGAGCAGTTCTTAATTTAGCTTCAAGCGTGCTCAGAATAGCTCGAAACACAAGCGTTGCCGATTATAGATCCATCCCCAGGCCAGCACGAACCCTTTCCCGATTCAAGGCAGTCGGAGATCTTCACCAGGCGTGCAGAGCTCAAGCAAGATGCAATATTTAGCAACATTTTGACGCGCGACTGCAAGATGAAACAGCCCTATCTACTTGGACGGGTCCAGGTTCGCCTGTTTCGCGTATCATTCAGCAGCACATCGGCACCTCATGCATTGATCGCCTGTCCTGTCCATCGAAGCACCAAGAATGGCTAGTGATCTGGCGTCGAGATGGAGCTTCCTCCATGTTTCATGTTGTCCTATTATTATTCTTTCGATCGGATGCTTCGGTGCCCCTGGGTCCTCCAAAATCGTGTGGGTGCTTGTCCGACGAGCATTTAATATCCAAACGATTTCCGGTTCCCTCGCAGAACTCGACCTTACACACTATGACTCGCCTGCTATACCCTGCTCATCAGTGAGCGTGCGTGCCTGTTTCGACTTCTTCATCTATTTGTGTTTCAATTCACCCATTGGCGGATATCCTTCGTTACGTCTTAACAGGAAGCTGGTTCTTCCAATTCGTGCTCGACTACCTCCCTCATCTCCTACCTGTCTGCTCTCTTTTAATCGTCACAAGATGTCTCAGGAATATGCTTCCTACCGGCCAAGAACGCCCCCGCGGACGCAATGGGACGAGCTTGTCCGGACGGCCCATGCCCGCAATACTTCCGAGTCTTCGATTTATTCGAACGACTCATCACCCTGGTCTGCGGCGACCTCAGTGACAAGCCCTGTAGTGGAGTCGCCTCCCTGCCATCATCATGGCCAGGCACTTCTTCCCAAGATCAGGTCGCAGGACGTGGTCATTGAGCCGCCGCCGGTGGGTGGCCCACAGCGTCATCGGCGCGTCCTGTCAAACACCCGCAATCCTCCTGGGTTTCTACCTTACCCTCCCAGTCGGCCCTCCATGCAGCGCACAGTCGCAGAGACTACAGAGAGATTTGCGCTGGCATCTCCAATCTCGCCTATGTACCGTGCGGACAACAGATCAACGCTGTCGTCCCCGGTGGACCTAACGCACAAGCGCAAGACCTCGGGAGGACATGCCCGGTCTGGTTCTTGCTCCAACATCGACGAGGCTGCCTTGGGTCGATACGGCTGTTCTCCGTACCGCCCGCTGTCGAAATACTCTTCTCAGCCACAGGGCTCACCTACCGCACCTGTCACTCCCGTCACACCAAACATCATCGTATACCCACCCCATGTGCAGTCTCCTGGGGGTCCAAGGGCTCAACCGGGAGTGCAATTGCCACTTGTGCTGCCTGGGTCCCCTCACAGTGCTACGCATGTTCCGAGTGCTCAATGCTCCCCCGTCACGCTGGGCCCCCACGTTGAAAGCATGAGCCCTCAATCCACCACACTGCTCTCGTACTTGACAGCGCCCACGCAGGCGATCAATTTAGTCCGTAATGTAAGCGTGGTCCCCAACCGGGGGTTGCACGACTACTTCTGGTGGGACATCCGCAACCTACGCAGCTGGACCTCGTTTTCGACCGCCACTTTCAACTCCATCAACGGTCTCACCAAGCTCCTGAAGACCGCCATCTCATCCCACCTGACCCCTACCGCCATGGTGCCACCTTCGCGCCTGGCTCCCGAGTCGGAGGCCGCCCTGATCAACCTCATCTCAGACATCTACGCACCGCGCGTGAACGCCGCCATCGCCGTGTCCCAGGGCGAGAAGCACTTGACCCTGTATGCGGCGCCGGCCCCGCGGCTGTCCGCGAACAAGAACCACGGCGGAGCGCACTTCCTGGCAAACTACTCGTCCGACACCGAGCGCACCAGCACGGGGCTCCCACGCGGCCGACTCGTCGGCATCGTCAAGAGCTTCGATCGCTGGAACACGGGGATGCGCAATGAAGCACCTCACCGACGCGTGGAATATCTCAAGGGCCTGGCGCATCTGCAACGATGCATGCGCGAACACTCCTGCCGGTACGGGTTCATCATCACGGAAATCGAGCTGGTCTGCGTGCGAGCCGGGTGCGACGAGGGTGATGATGTGCCCTATTTTGGTTTCCTGGAGGTATCTGCGCCGATTCCCACCAACGTCTCCGCCCGTCCGTTTGAAAACAACACCCATCTGCCCCAAAGCCACAATCCCCTCCAGTCGCCCGCATCCCCGGACGGCTCGCTGGCTAGTCCGTCCTCCGTGTCGGACGCGTACCCTGTTGCGAGCGCAGATTCGCTGAACGTACCTATGACGGCCAGCCTAGGGCTGTATTTCCTGCTGATGCTCTCGAAGGCGGTCCCACTGCCGTCGCAGCCGTCGTCGCATCTGAACGTCGGCGGGCCGGGTGCGCTGACCCGGCAGCGTGTCCTGCCCGAGGGGAAGGACAAATGGATCCCGGAGCCGCAGATTGGGGAGCGGCGCGATGCGAAACGGGTGCGTGGGTGGGTATGGCCGCAGGATGCATGGCATCGACGGGAGGGCGGCGGAGCATCTCGTGGGCGTGGCGCGGTGGAGGGTCGGATGAAGAAATGGCATAAATAGGGGACTTAGGGGGGTTTGGGGGATTTTCTGCTTGCTTTTGGCGTTGGGAATTGACGATAATGTAGTAATCTATACTATTTCGTGCACAGTCGTTCGATAAGATAAACTGCTCTCAAGGTCCTCATCTGCACGCTGTAGATCATCCATCCATCCACCTCCATCTTCCATCCATTCCATCACCAGCCAAGAAGGACCTTGCGGCTTCGAGTACCCTGCGGAGGATCATGTCACGTTGGAAGTCTATATAAACATGCCGCAGGGCCACTCGCCCGTCTCCTTCCGGAGACCATCGCATATAGATCCAGACATAATACAACACCAACATGACCGAGAAACCTTCACCCTCCTTCCCTGACCTCCTAGACGTCATCATTGTCGGAGCTGGTCCCTGCGGTCTCGCGGTGGCAGCTCGACTCCGCGAAGAAACGCCGTCGGCCATCTTCACCGACGACGAACACCAGCGCTACCACTGGATCAACAAGCACAGCGGCCGCATGGCGCTGGTGCAAGCGCACCGCGGCAAGATCAAGGGTGTCAAGGCGGAGCGATGGCAGAGCTACGACGCGCGCCGGCGGTCGTCCGCCAGCAGCAGTAGCAGCGGCGACGGCGGCGGCCGCCGCTCGTCGACCTCGTCGGCACCGTCGCTGGCCTCGTCGGTATCATCAGCCCCGGACGTGGAGGGGTCGGAGCGCGGAAGAGACAAAGACGGTGATGACGACGACCATCTCTCGACGCTCGTGCTGGACGGCACCGGGGACCGGTGGATGGAGCGGTGGAACCGGGCGTTCCGCACGCTGGAGATCAAGCAGCTGCGGAGTCCGATGTTCTTCCACGTCGATCCGGGGGACCGGGACGGCATGCTGGCGTACACGCAGGAGATGGGGCGCGAGAGGGATCTCTGGGAGATCTCCGGGTGTGTGGGCAAGGAGTTGAGCAAGCACAAGAAGAAGAAGAAACAGCAGCGGCGGCCTGTGTGAGCATTCCCTTCATGTTTTAGACCCCCATGGGTGTATAAGTGTATACTGATGTTGCATGACAGCGCTATCGGCGACAACGAGATCGACGAGCGAGACCGCAAAGACTACTTCTCGCCGTCGACGGAGCTCTTCACCGACTACTGCGAGAGCATTGTGCGCCGGTACGGCCTGGACGCGCCGGGCCTGATCCAGCAGCGCGAGGTCGTAGACATCCAGTACGACTTCCACGCGGAGATGTCGCCCGCGGACAAGATCTTCACGGTGACGGCCGCGGATGGCGCGCGGTTCTACAGCCGCGCGGTGGTGCTGGCCATCGGGCCCGGCATGACCAAGGTGTTTCCATTCCCGCTGAGCGCGGACGAGCAGCAGGGGGCATGCCACAGCACGGAGATCCGGAGTTTCCCCAGCCCCAACGTGCGGAACAAGATCCAGCAGCGTCGGCCGACGAACCTGGTGATTGTTGGGGGCGGACTGACCTCAGCGCAGATTGCGGATATGGCGGTTCGGAAGGGAGTGAGCAAGGTGTGGCTGCTGATGAGGTCGGATTTCAAGGGTGCGTATACCCCGTCTTTACCTACGGGCATAGGCTCTGACGACTAAACAGTCAAACACTTCGACATCGGGTTAAACTGGATGGGCAAGTTCAAGAACTACGAGAAAGCCGCCTTCTGGTCGGCCGACACAGACGAGGAACGCCTGGCGATGATTCAGGTGGCCCGCAACGGCGGCAGCATCACGCCGCGGTACCAGAAGATCCTGAAGCAGCACGTCGCCCACCAGCGGGTGTCGGTTCACACACGCACCGTCATCCGCGAGCGGACCTTCTGCGCAGCCACGCAGACCTGGCATCTTACCACGGACCCGCCCATCGCGGACCTGCCCGCGGTCGACTACATCTACTTCGCCACGGGGATGGCGGCGGACGTCAACACGATGCCGCTGCTGCAGCGCATGCAGCGCGACTACCCCGTCGAGACGAAGCAGGGCCTCCCGTGCATCTCGGATGATCTCATGTGGCGGGCGGACGTGCCGTTGTTTCTGACGGGGCGCCTCGCGGCTCTGCGTCTGGGCCCGGGGGCTCCCAATCTCGAAGGAGCCAGGTTGGGGGCGGAGAGGGTCGCGTGGGGCATGGAAGAGGTGCTTGGGCGCAAGGAGACGGATGAGAGTGATGTGAGACGGTCGAAGAAGTGCTTCTGTGGCTTGGGGAATCGATATGGGGAGTTGGCTGACGTGGATTTGTAACTTTGGCGTAGTAGTATGATGGGATAGCTTTGGACGACATACGTATCCGTCGTATACAATGATGGAGCTTATGCTTAATTGGATAGTTAATGCGTGTTGACATACTTTGAGCTTATGAAGGTTGATAGCATAGCCTCAATGATAAAGGTCCTAGCGTATAACGGAGAAAAGTCATCTTTGTGTATCGTACAGAAAGATAATCTTGTTAGCACAGCCGGGCTCTATACATGCTTCCGCCTTGCCAAACGAAACCCAAGAGCCCAACCAAGACTACTACTACTACTACCTTAATGGTAGACTAAACGATGCTGCCTAACCGTTAGAGACCAAGACCCATCATCCACGACGACTTACAGCCTCTTCTCACTCTCTTCCTCCCAACTCCAGCTCCTTTGATGGATCCCAACATGTCAACGCAGCCGACGGAATGGCATTCTAAGCCTCAATCCAGACTCAATGCGGAAGTCGGTCGGATTCAATGTCCACCTTGCGCGCGGCAAATTCGTCATCCCATCTCAGTCGACCTCAGCCCCTTCATGAAAGTCTTGCCTCGCACCATGGCGAACCATGTGGGAATTGAAAGAGAATCAGCTGAGACCATGGATCTTCTCCAGAGAGAAAGACACCCACATCTACTCTATTAGGGTTTGTGGTGTCCCGTGGCCGGTCGATGCAGAGCACCGCCACACCCGCCACAGTTGCGCCACAGTTGAATCTGCCTAACTATGTACATTACTAGATGATCTCGCGTGGTCGGCAGGCATGTGAACCGCCACAGATCGGTCAGCCACAGTGGCGCATCAATCCTTGATCTTATTATTTGATTTTATTTATTTTTTTCATTCTAATTATTATTCTTCTTCTCTTGCAAGGACAAATCTAAAGCAAGCCGCAACGTCATCATCTCTAGCGTGTGGAGGTCAGACGAATGGGAGCACTGCGGGTGGTCGACTATCCTGGCTACTACTAACTATTCCGTACTATACTCACTCCGTCTCCCTCACATTACACCTCCTTCGGGCTTTGGATTGATACTGGGGATGTTTTGCATTCTGCAGAAATCATAATGCTCCTGTGGACTGGTGCTTGCCGCCGTGATCGGCGGTGAAGTGGACAACACTCTACGCGCCGACTGCATGACTCTTCCAGCTTCTGACACTGTGACGGGGGAAAGACCCGACAACACGAGACCCATGGGGCCTCATTCAGCGCCTAGACTGGCCAATTCTCTCGCTCAAATGAACAGTGTTCTGGCCGGAGCATCAATTTCCGCTCGATTTCTGGGCAAAATTCCTTCCCGCCTGGGTGAATCTGATATGTTTGCCCCCCCTAACTGGGTCGAATGAGGCTGTGCAAGAGGGGGTAACCGGGTCACCCAGGTAATGCTACCGACCACCTTCGCCCTCTCTTCTCACGTCAACCCGTATTCGTATGGGTTCATGTAGGCTGGAGCCTCTATTGCGTGGGCTGGAGCGCTACTTCGCCCGATGACTCTTGCGCCTGTCTGCCTATCGGTCTACCTCAACGTCTACCTAGCTGTGTACACATCGGAGCATATTTCCTCTACTGCCAGATGAACAGCTAACGATGATGTGATTGGCGCCTGCACTTCATTTCGCAGACTTTACTATTAACTTTATTGGTTCTTGTACTGCACACGCCAAGTGACAAAGGGAGGCTGTGTTGAGATCATAAAACTGCTGCGACCCCTCGACCTGCTCACTGGGCTGCTGTACCTAGTCAACGCTCTTGTTTCTATCATCATTCTCGTCAAATCAGAACGAGTGTCGGTCCCATCATGCCGACGCACGAGACTCCTCAGGGAGGCTTCAGGGATCCTTTTGGACCGGACGGGGGCGAGGTATGTGATACCCTGCGTCGGCGGCAAACGCCTCGACTCTATGCATCCAGACTGATATAATGAGCCACAGCAACTCTCCCCCCGACCGGGGCAACACCTGGGCATTTCACCCGCCCCATCATCGTCTCTATCACCCAATATGGCTTCCATACCTGATACAGCCAGACTCACCGTGCATTCGGATCCCCCGCGAACATCGCACTCTCTGGACGGGGAGACGCTCCGTCCGCGCGCCGATTCCAATGTTTCCAGCGCAAATACCGCCATCAGGTCGCGAGCGAACTCGGAGATTTCCCAAGTATCGACCCAAGTATCACCACAGATAACATACGACGAAATGTCGATAGCCGAGGCTCTAAGACCCGATCCTCGCAACCTGCAAGATTTCCAGGTGGAAGACAACAAGTTTGCCTTCTCACCCGGCCAACTCAACAAAATGCAGAATCCAAAGTCTTTGGCCGCTTTCCAGGCCCTAGGAGGCTTACCCGGGTTGGAGCGAGGTCTGCGGACGGACCTGACGTCGGGCTTGTCGATCGATGAGACTCGACTGGAGGGAGAGATTAGCTTCGAGGAGGCGACCGCCCGCGAGAAGCATACAAAGAAAGACACGTCACCGTCCGTCGAAATCTCGCCAGCAGGGCCCGAAGAGCAGTTCCAGGACCGCATCCGTGTCTTCAGCCAGAACCGGCTACCCGCACGCAAGTCTACGGGCTTTTTGAAATTGCTCTGGATGGCTTACAATGATAAGATCATCATTCTACTAACCATAGCTGCTGTGGTCTCCCTTTCCCTCGGCGTCTATGAGACCGTGGATGCGGGCCATGGTGTCGACTGGATCGAAGGCGTTGCCATCTGTGTGGCGATCGCCATCGTTACGCTCGTGACCGCTCTCAACGACTGGCAGAAGGAGAGGCAGTTTGCCAAACTGAACAAGCGGGTAAGTCCTTCAAATATCTAGCCGCCGAATTACGATCTAACCGTTGCAGAATAACGACCGCGAAGTCAAAGCGGTACGCTCGGGCAAGGTGGCGATGATCTCCATCTTCGATATCACTGTCGGTGATGTGCTTCATGTTGAACCCGGTGATTCGATCCCTGCCGATGGGGTTCTGATCTCGGGCCACGGAATTAAATGCGATGAATCCTCTGCTACCGGAGAATCGGACCAGATGAAGAAGACCGATGGGCATGAAGTTTGGAAACAGGTCTCCGGAGGCAATCCTTCGAAGAAGCTCGACCCGTTCTTGATCTCTGGCAGCAAGGTCCTCGAGGGCGTGGGCACCTACCTGGTCACCAGTGTTGGTCCCTATTCCACTTACGGCCGCATCTTGATGTCGCTGCAAGAGTCGAACGACCCGACGCCTCTGCAGGTCAAGCTCGGGAGACTTGCAAATTGGATTGGCTGGCTTGGTTCTAGGTAAGTGGCATTGTTCCTGTTGCCAGAGAAGACACTCATAATATGTCTAGCGCCGCCATCATTCTATTCTTCATCCTGCTGTTCAAGTTTGTCGCCGACCTGCCGGATAACCCCGGCAACTCTGCTGCCAAGGGAAAGGAATTCGTGGACATTCTTATTGTGGCGGTCACCGTGATTGTCGTTGCTATTCCAGGTTCGTCACGACTTGTTTGCTTCGTAACGTCCTATGCTAACGCAATTTAGAGGGCCTCCCGCTGGCCGTGACCCTCGCCCTCGCCTTCGCCACGACACGCATGGTGAAGGAGAACAATCTCGTCCGCGTTCTGCGCGCCTGTGAGACCATGGGCAACGCGACTGTCATCTGCTCCGATAAAACAGGCACATTGACCCAAAACAAAATGACGGTCGTGGCAGGCACGCTGGGAGGGAAGAGTTTCAGCCAGAGCCTACCAGAGCATCGTTCTGACGATATGGCGACTGCGGCTGAGGTCTTCAAGCAGTGCTCGCCGAAGGTCCGTGATCTCGTTCTCAAGAGCATTGCCATCAACTCAACTGCTTTTGAGGAAGAACGGGATGGGCTGAAGGAGTTCATTGGAAGCAAGACCGAGGTGGCTCTCCTGCAACTGGCCAAAGACTGTCTCGGTATGGACGTCACGGCAGAGCGAGCTTCTGCCGAAGTCGTCCAGTTGATTCCGTTTGACTCTGCTCGCAAATGCATGGGCGTCGTATATCGAGAGCCTACTGTCGGCTATCGCCTGCTTATCAAGGGAGCTGCCGAGATCATGGCTGGCGCTTGTTCCGCCAAGGTAGCTGAGGTCGATGGTCCGAATGACATCGTCACCGATACGTTCACAGCTAAGGATAAAGGTGTTGTGCTGGACACGATCGAATCTTACGCAGGCCAGTCTTTGCGTACGATCGGCTTGATCTACCGAGACTTCCCCGGTGTCACCAACTGGCCTCCCGCAGGCATCCAACGTGCGGAAGACGATCCAGATTCCGCTCTGTTTGAAGATCTCTTCCGTGACATGACATGGGTCGGGGTCGTGGGAATCCAAGACCCTCTCCGGCCCGAGGTGCCCGCTGCTATCAAGAAGTGCAACATGGCCGGAGTGCAGGTGAAGATGGTCACTGGTGACAACATAGCGACAGCCACTGCGATTGCGTCGTCTTGCGGTATCAAGACCGAGGATGGCCTGGTTATGGAGGGTCCTAAATTCCGCCAGCTTCCTGACGATGAGATGGACCGGATTATTCCCCGTCTCCAAGTCCTAGCTCGTTCGTCTCCAGAGGACAAACAAATCTTGGTGGCGCGTCTGAAGCACTTGGGTGAAACAGTGGCTGTCACCGGTGATGGTACCAACGACGGCCCGGCCCTGAGGACGGCAGACGTTGGCTTCTCCATGGGAATCGCGGGCACCGAGGTCGCCAAAGAGGCCAGCTCAATCATCCTTCTCGATGATAACTTCAAGTCTATCGTGACTGCCATTTCCTGGGGCCGCGCTGTCAACGACGCCGTGGCCAAGTTCCTCCAATTCCAGATCACCGTTAACATCACCGCTGTTATCCTGACGTTCGTGTCATCGCTCTACAGCGATGAAAACCAGAGCGTTCTGAGCGCCGTGCAGCTGCTTTGGGTGAACCTGATCATGGACACCTTTGCCGCTCTGGCGCTCGCAACCGATGCCCCTACCGAGAAGATCCTCCACCGCAAGCCTGTGCCTAAGAGCGCTTCGCTCTTCACGGTGACCATGTGGAAGATGATTCTCGGACAGGCCATGTACCAGCTGGGGGTGACCTTCATGCTGTACTTTGGCGGCTTTAGCATCATCGGACGCCAGCTGGGCGATAAAAACCCGCAGTTGGTTCTTGACACGATTGTTTTCAACACGTTCGTGTGGATGCAGATCTTCAACGAGTTCAACAACCGACGCCTCGACAACAATTACAACATCTTCGAGGGGATGTTCAAGAACTACTGGTTTATGGGAATCAACTGCATCATGGTTGGCGGCCAGGTTATGATCATTTACGTCGGCGGCAAGGCTTTTAACGTCACAGAGCTGAACGGGCTCCAATGGGGCATCTGTATCATCTGTGCTATTGGGTGCGTCCCTTGGGCGGTCCTATTGCGCACCATTCCCGACAGACCCGTCGAGATTGTCCTCGACTATGCTGTCCGGGGTATCACATTTGTCACCAGCCCTATTATCAAGGGTCTCAGATTCCTGACGGACAAGGTGGCTATGGCTACACGACCTGTTAAGCGGGCCGCCAAGCGTGTCTTTGGCAAACGGACCCCGAAAGCTGAGTCTCACGCCGATGAAGAAGAGGCTGGCATGATTGATCTCAAACCGCAACAATCTCCTGGGACACCGTCGAAGCCCGCGGCAGCGCCCACGGCACCGGTGGTTGTTCCCCCAATTACTATAACGACCTCTTAATGAAGCTATCATATGATACGAAGGTCATCGCGACATGTATTGTATTGGTCTACGGTGTTTGCATTGGGAGGTGGGTGGATACTGTTTTGCATTTTTGAGTGGAGCGTTTGGCTTTGGCAATTGGAATTGTACTTGTACTTGAGCGACTTATTAGATTTCAATATGAGGTTCTGGTATAGAGATGACTGCCAGTAAGCATGTTGTGCTGTTGTATACCTTTAGTGCGCGTGTTGATAGGCTCCGTTGCTGCCTCAGGCCCAATCTCCGCACCGCCCACATCATCGTCGTCTCCTCCACCACCACCAGCTTCTTCTCCTTTCCCCATACAACACTCCTCTCCAATTCCCTCTTCTTCCACAAGCAACACTCCGCTATACACGGCATTCGTGCTTCCGCCAATCTATACGCTCCACCACATTCGCATCGTCCTACCATCACACTTCCCCGCTTGACATCGAACTGGTAACGTCGCCGCCTGACACCACGACCCAACCTATATAGCTACCTAGCTAACAGATCCTCCGATGCAGACATTGATTGTCCAGCATTATCCTCCAAGGCCGACAACCAACCGAACCCACCTACTCCGTACACCTACAACCACACTTACAACAGCACCTCCTGACCCCACCGCAACCATGTCTCAAATCAACTACCGCACAATCAACATCGACGCCTACGACCCGGAGTCCTCGGTGAACTTCCCCATGGAGACGCTCCTCCCGGCCACGCTCCCACCCCCCGAAACCTCCAGCGACGCCGCCACCGTCGCCAGCCAGGTGCGCCAGCTCCTCCGCAGCGGCGACTCGGAGGGCGCCATGCGCCACGTGCTGGACACCGCGCCGCTGGGCGGCGACGACCGCGCAAAGGAGGTGCACATGGCCACCGTCACCGAGGTGCTGCAGGGCATCCGGCAGGGCGAGATGACCCGCGTCCTGGAGGGCGTGTGTAGCGGGGAGGGCGGCTCCGAGCGGGCGGACTGTCTGATGAAGTATCTGTACGTTGTCCTGGTGTGATCTGTGGCGCGGAATGGAGTATACTCAAGTTGGAGTTGAATAAGTGCTGACGTCCGCTAGGTACAAGGGGATGGCCTCGCCGGCGGCCGGCGGCGGCGCGCAGTCGCCCCGCAAGTCGGTCTCGCCGCAGAGTACCGGCTTCTCGCAGATCCAGGCCCGCAATCTCGGCGAGGGCGGCAGCAGCCAGCAGATGAGTGTGTTGCTGAGCTGGCATGAGAAGCTGGTCGAGCTGACGGGGACTGGATCGATTGTGCGGGTCATGACGGATCGGAGAACGGTCTAATCGGGTAGGGCGAGGAGAATAGAGAACCTGGCTGGGGTAGATTCGTTTGGCGTGTTTTATTCTGTTGATACTCGATTTACTTCGTCTTGTCCATGGATGATATCCTATCTAACCGTCCATCTGTAGTATTATACATGCGCAACGATCGTTGCATTAAACGAACACTAGAACGAAATGCAGCTACTGGTTGGAAAAGTCTCCCCCACCCAGGAGATCCTTCAGATTCATCTCGCCGCTTCCGCGCTGCAACGGCTGCGCCTGACCCTCGCCCTCCTTCCAGCCGATCATGTAGATCAGCCGGAACGTCGCGGGGATGCCGCGCGCGCCCTCCTCCATGTGCAGCTGACGGTAAATAGCCTCGTTGGCGAGCAGGACATCCCGCGAGATGGGCCCGAGCTCGCGATGCAGGATAGCGTTGTTCTCGCCCATGGCCTGCAGGTCCTGCATGAGGGCAAAGGTGTCCGGGAACTCGACGACAATATCCTCGACGTCGACGGTGAGCATCTTGAAGCCGGCCTTGTTGAGCAGGCCGCCGACGTCGCGGACGTCGGCGAGCGGCGAGACGTGCGGGCTGACGCCGCCGCGGCGCTCCATGTCGGCCAGCTGCAGCGAGGTGCGCAGCTCGAACAGCGTGTCGCCGCCGAACATGGCCGCGATGAACGGGCAGTCCGGCTTGAGCATCGAGTTGACCTGCGCCAGCAGCGAGGGGAGGTCGTTGATCCAGTGGATCGACAGCGACGAGAGGACCAGGTCGAAGGTGTTGGGCGCGAACGGCAGCGACTCCAGGTCCGGGACGACCTGCCGCGTGATAGCGAGCTCCGAGTTGAACGGCTCGTCGGCGTCGCGGTACAGCAGCGCCGGCGACGTGTCGATGCAGGTGAGCTTGGAGATGCGGTTGGCCAGCGGCGGCGAGCTGGGTGTGTTCGGGTCTGGGTTGGGCGTTGTCAGGGCGCGCGCGATGTTGCAGCTGTTGGCGCCGAGGTCGAGCACGTTGGGGAATTCTCGTTTGATGTCCTGCGTCGTTAGATACTAGCTAGGCATGCGTTGATCCTCCGAAGAGTCGGGCGTACCAGTAATCGCTCACACAGCCGCATGGCCACCTCGTCTTTGATGTAGTCTACCTTGCGACTCTCCTCAACATTCCGGGCCGCGCGGTCCTTCTGGATGTGTTTTGTTTTCCGATTGAAGACCTCGAAGACCGGGTTGCCGGGCGCTTGGCTGGCGAAGGTCCGGGTTGCGGTATAGGTGCGCGGTGAGACCACCGCGGGGCGGAACAAACAGCGGAGGGACATGTTGTAGCTAGAGTGATTGGAGATGGTTGAATTGGTTTATAAAAGGGAAGCCATTCTGTCTTGTAGAGCGAGAAGAGGTGTGGTGGTGGTTGCAGGAAGATGAAAAGTGAGCGGAGAAAATGCGGCGTGACGTCTTTCGCTCCGCTGACTTTCTCTCCGCATCGCAGCGCGTCAACATCTTCTCCTTCTCGCTTCACATCTATCATTGGAAGCCCGTCTGTGCTCCCAATGGCTTAGGCTGTTGATTTCAGTCTGCGCTCTATCCAGTACGATACGGCCATCACTCTTTGATTGCGTCTCCCTCCCTGAACATCGCTAACGCAACCCAGTCCCCCTCATAACACGCGTTGAACCGACACAATGTCCCGTCCCTTTCCGTACGCCTACATCTCGTGTCCCTGCGCCGACACGCCTGTCCCAGACCCTGCGCGCAAACGAAGATCAAGGGAGTCACCCCACAAGTCCAACCCGGAGCAACCACTCCCCGAGCTTGCAGACGAGACCGACGAGGAGAAGACGTTCGACCCGCGGTCTCCCCGGTCGAATTTCTCGCTATATCCACCCGAACAGCTTCTCTACTGCGAGGACTGCCACCAGATAAAGTGTCCGCGATGCATCACAGAGGAGATCGTGTGCTGGTATTGTCCCAGCTGTCTGTTCGAGACACCTAGTAGCATGGTGCGGAGTGAAGGGAATCGGTATGTCTACCCAGTCCGATCAATCATACCTAGAGCTATTCTTACGGTCGGTTCCCAGATGCGCGAGGAACTGCTTCAATTGCCCAGTCTGCACGGCGCCACTGGCCGTCACCACCTTGGAAAATGTCACGGGAGGGGGGAGCCAACAAGGCCCCTGGGTGTTGTCCTGCGGGTACTGTATGTGGACGACACTCGATATCGGGATCAAATTCGACAAGCCCACCAACATTCGCACCCAGCTCGCCAAGCTGACCGACCCGTCGCGCGGCCGCCAGATGTCCAAGACGTTCGGCGAGCTCAAGTCCCCTCTCTCGATGTACGCGTCCATCGACGAGCAATTCGCCTCCGCCGCCACAGAGAGCAAGCCCGACGAATCTCACGAACAGGCGCCTGAACTCCTCGGTCCCGAGGCGCGATTTGCCGCTCTCAAAACCTTCTACAAAAACCAAATCGCCGAGACGTCCTCCTCGCCGACGGACCCTCTAGGCGCGGACTTTGGCGCGGGATTCTCCTCGCCCGGCGCGCTGAACCGCATCATGTCCCTCTACGCCTCATCCTCGCGGCTCAGCAGCCTCTACGGCGGCGCCAACAAGAAACCCAAATCCAAGCCGCCCGTGATGCGCGAGGCCCTCACCGCCAGCGAGGGCCTGAAGGTCCCCGCGCCGGACGCGGAGGACACGCTCATCAAGCGCATGGTCGCGGACGACTGCGGCTGGGACGGGATCGCGTCACTGGAACAGCGGCGCGCGCAGGCGCCCGACGCCCGGTTCGTGGAGGACCTGCTCCCGCTGCCGGTGCTGCTGCGCACCAAGCGCTCCAAACGCTGCAAGTCGTGCAAGCACATCCTCGTCAAACCCGAGTTCAAGCCGCAGTCGACGCGGTTCCGCATCCGCCTGATTGCCCTGAGCTACATCCCGCTGCCCACGCTGCGGCCGCTGGTCCCGGCCGGGCTGTCCGCGCCCGCCCCAAATCTCGACGCCCTACCCCCACTGAAACCCGTGCAACTCCTCCTCACCCTGAAGAACCACATGTTCGACCCCGTGCGCGTCACCCTGGCCACGCCATCCGTCACGCCCGGCCGCGTGGCCTCCAAGGTCACCATCCTGTGTCCGCAGTTCGACATCGGCGCCAACAGCGACGTGTGGGACGAAGCGCTGCAGGGCGCCAACGCATCCGGCGACCAGCGCCTCTCCCGCGCCGGCGGCCTGGGGGCGTACGAGAAGGTCGCCGAGGCCGGGAAGGTGTGGGACAAGGGCCGCAACTGGACCACCGTCGTTCTGGAGGTCGTCCCGGGTACGTTGCCGGGGGGTTCCACGGGGGCTACGGCGCGGAAGCGCGCACGACAGCCCGGCGGGGGTAGCACGGCGAGTGAACGTGGCGAGGACAGCAACGATGACAGCGACGAGGACGATGATGATGAGGACGAGCTCCCTGCGGCGCTGGACTGGAGCGGCCAGAGCCAGGATCCGAATCAGCAGTTGCAGCCGGACGAGGATGTCCTGGAGATCCCGGTCTTTGTGCGCATGGAATGGGACTCGGACAACCAGATTGACCAGGAGCAGTCGCGGCAGACCTCCGACACGGTCAAGAGGGAGCTGGCCTACTGGATGGTGCTGGGGGTGGGCCGAATCACGCGCGAGATTGTATAGGTTTTCTGTTGTATAGACTGTTGTGCCATACATACCCATTTCTTTTGGTACTCTGTATTAAGACGTAAACACTGCATCCATATGCTAAACAGCCGATAGATTGATAGACGATGGCTACATCTACGAAAGCAAGTAGAAGATGAAATTTTTTGTTTTTTCAACCACGCCGAACAAAAGAAAAAGCCCGGACCATAAAAAGAGAAGATCATGATTGTTATTATCACATCACATCCTTTTCATTCAGGGGAACCCTAAGACCCTTCCGACCAGAAAAGCTACCCACGCGCAAGCCCATCGGAAAGGAAGGATGCCGTGCAATGCAAACGCCAGGATATATTCCAGAGTTCCGCTGCCCATCATCCATGCGCTCTCCAACACGCCCCCGCCTCGTCCCTCTGTTTCTTTTCAATGCATTCTGTTGATTCTTCGTGTGGTGGTTGTCGCGCAGGAGGGAGTCTAATCAATCGCAGATGACAAAGAAACGAAGAAAAAACACGAACTCAAGGACTTCCATTTTTTCAATTAAAAAGAGACAGAGGGAACTAAAACAGACCCGGAACCACCAATTTAGTAGTCAGCAGCACCGCTCTGGGGGAACTCGAAGACGACGGCACGGCCGGTGAGACGACGGTAGACCTCGCCGTAGGCATCGAGGCGGTGGTCGACACCGCCGCGCTCCTTCTCGTCGAGGATGACCTTGAGGGTCTTGGAGCCGTCCTCCTTGGTGCGGATGCGCTTGCCGACGATCTCGACGGGGTAGACGAGGTCGGTGAGGATGGCGTCGTGGACGGCCGTCAGAGTGCGGGAACGGGGACGCTTCTGCTTCTGGTTGGTGCGGGAGTTGACAGAGCGCTTGGGGCGGGGCAGGATGCGGCGCTGAGCAACGAAGAGGACGTGGCGGTCGGAGAACTTCTTCTCGAGCTCACGGGTCAGACTGGGAGGTGTTAGCGATGTTGTCTCGCGGGTCAAACGGCGGGTTCCGTGCGTACCGCTGCTGGATCTTGTGGAAGCCCTGGAGGAGAGGGACAGGGACGAAGATGATGACGGCCTTCTTGCCGTGGCCGACCTCAACCTGGAAATGAATCCGTCAATGAATGTTCGCGGCAGAAACAGAGGATGTCCGGTTGCGCTGGTTCCGCGCATGAATCAGAATTTGCCTGCTCTCCCATCCCATTCGACCTGACTTTGTTTGCGTCGTGGAGAACTCCTGGACATAGACGTCCCAGAGACATGCTCATTCCCCAATGCCTGCCTCATGATATCCCATCGCATTTCCGTGACCCTCCCAATCCCATTCTCCCACGCATTCTGATTCATGCAGCGAAACCCAACGCAGGACTCGGGCTAGCTTCTTACCTCACGAGCAGACACGAACTGAAGGGGGCGGAGGGTGGCCTTCAGGTCGGTGGTGTTGCTCTCGAGGTCGAACAGAGCACCGGCGATCGCGGTCTCCAGCTCGGAGGGGTTCTGCCGAGACGGCGAGTTGTGGGCGATCTTGTTGATAGCAGCCATGATTGCAGACGAGCGACGGGTAGCTGGCTGTGCTGCGAAGGTGCTGCCTTTTTCTTTTGTCGCGTGGGTGGTTTTTTTGGTCGTGGGAAAAGGAAGTCGACGCACACACAAATTGGCGCTGGAGTCTCGCTGGTGCCGTGTGGGATTCCGCCGCCCACCGCCCTCGCTTAGACACGCGCCTCTAGTCCCATTTGGGCCTAGCGGGCCCGTTTAGGGGAACCCCCGTCACATGATCTCCCTGCCCTGCTTAGTCATTACCGTAACATTAACCAGGCAGTTAACTATGATAACTCTATAGTATTGAATGAAGTTGAATGAAGTTGAATCAATCCAATATACACAGGAAACGCCCCTCCTCCAACTTCAGAGGTCCAAACAGCAATTACTAGGTACATTACAAGGACGGCCACGCTGCAATCCCAATCACTTCAACCAGCGCATCACCCTCAACAAGCACATCCCTCCTTCGCCGTCGCCGCTCCACGCTCGCCCAGGTTCACTCGTGCGTCGTCGGCCGGACGGCCACCGCCCAGCGTAGTCTGACCCGTTCCCGCGCCGGCGCCGCGTCCACTCTTCAGGCTGCTTTCCGGGATGGCATTCGCAATCGCCGTAAACACATCAACGACGTTCACGCCGGTCTTCGCACTGGTCTCGAAGAACAGCAGGCTCTCCTCCTCCGCGTAGGTGCTCGCCTCCCGGGTGGAGACCTTGCGTGCGTCTCCGGGGGTCGCATCGGCCTCGTCGGCATTCTCCCCCGCCGCCTCATCCTCGCCCTCCGCGGCTCCAGACTCCTGCTCGTCCTCAGCGGGAGACTCCGCGGCGGCGCCGTTTCCGTCGTTCGTCAAGTCCAGCTTGTTTCCAACCAGGGCAATCACAATTCCGGGGCTCGCTTGTCGCTGCAGTTCGGCAACCCAGTGCTTGGCCTTGGTGAGCGAGGACGGCTTGGTGACATCGTAGACTACCAGCGCCGCCTGGGCATTCCGGTAGTACATGGGGGCCAGCGAAGCGAAGCGCTCCTGGCCGGCGGTATCCCAGATCTCAAACTTAATCGTGCGGGTCGGCAGGGAGCATTTCTGCGTGAGGAAGGCGGCTGCACGCCAGAACAAACCGATGACATCAGCGTCGGGCATCTCACGCAGGCGCATACCGCGCGGGGATAGCGGATCTTACCTCCGATCGTCGGTTCCTTGTTTTCTTGGAAGTCATTGTTGACAAATCGTAGGACCAGCGAGGACTATCGAAGAGGAGAGGGTTAGTTCCGGCCCAATTTCTCCTTGAGTGACCCCTGTACAACGACAGTGGTATGGAGAATATAGGATGTCAAATGAAATCACGGGAATGAAAGAACCAAGCCCGTACCTTTCCCACGGCGGCCTCGCCCAGAAGGACCAGCTTGACGCTGCTACTCGGCTTCGGAGTATTTGCGCTGTTTGCCTCAGACATGACGGGAGAGCCCAACAGTGGCGATGCAAGATCAGGCTGTTGTGCAGGAGGTGCCAACGCTTTGGGTGGAAGAACGTCAACTCGAGAGGGGCGGTTCAGGTCCGCAAGAAGTGATGTATGTACTCAGGGTAGCCTAGAGCCGACGTCAGCAGGAACACGAAGGACATGAACGGATGCAAGCAGGGGTCGGACGGCCCGATACACGAATGGGGGCAGATAAGGCAGACGACTTACCAGCACCGAGAGAAAAGGCGGTGGACAGTCGCAACGTGGTGAGGGAGATAGTGCAGAACGATGATTGATGGCGATGAGATGGCTGATACCCAGCAAGAGGCGGAGAGGAGCGCTGTCCTTAGTCAGCCTGGCCGTTACCCGATCCGGTCGCCCAGTCACGGGATCCCCACGGGACTTGGATGGGTACGGAGTACATTTATTATTCGTCCGTCCATCCATTCATCTGGAGTACATTATTCAGTCCTCTACACAATCGATCCGACTCAAAGCCAAAGTCAATCACCTGTGATCAAAGATCTCCCTCGAACAAAGCTGAACGCCGATCAACCTTGTCGCACCCCTTCCCCTCATGATTGGCGCCCATACCGCCACAGCCTCTCCAGGATCTCGACCACTAACTCATGTAAACAAAAGAATGGCCACATACCAGTTTACCCTTCGATGACGTTCCAGTCCTCTCCACCAAGCATGACTGCCAGGCTGTTGGGGAGGCCCTTTCGAATGGTATCCTGTCGTGTTCCACTGCCAACGTTGCACAGCATGATTTGTGTTCATTGATCCCGTCGCTGCCCAAGAATTTAAAAATATGCGCCTGCAGGACGTTGATGGGCGACTAGGGTCTCCACCCAGATAATGCTTGCTCTGAAAAATAAGCCAGCAAATCACCGCATCCGCTGCGGCCTGTTCCTACGCCATTTCTTAGTCCCCGGGGAAGCCGCTGTCAATGAACTCCAGGCAAATCGGATAAAGCGCTCTTTAGAACGTGGCTCATTCAGTACTGTACAGACTAGAAAAGCAACCACAGACATAATGGGCTCAAAAACAATGAGTAATTGGTATTAGGAAAAAGAGAAAAAAGGAAAATGACCGCGAGGTCCGAGGTTCTAGACTTGGTATCAACCCATGTATCCCAAAAAAAATATGAAACCCATCCGTCTATGCCAAACGCCAAACAGTATGAAAACCCAAACAAGTCACAAAATTCGAAACAATGACTTTTGGTCGACAGATCGTAAAACCCAAGGTTGGGCCATGCCACCGATGAAGAAGGAAAAGGCGAAGGCGATATCGAGAGCTGTTTGGAACCAGCAACGATCCTGGACTTTCGACGCCGGAAAAGCCGTATTAAAAAGAACTGTAGACCCGAAACCAGCAAGGTGGCCAACCGCGAAAAGAAGATGGTAGCAGAAATGTAGTGTTACAGAGGCTGGAAAAGCATCCCTGTTAGCCACGCACACGACAACACCCGTGGGAAGGTTCCGAGGCAACTTACAAATGCGGACTTCGTCATATACACACGTGAACTCCAAGGCCCATGACGCCAGTCAAGAAGAAACCACAACTTTTGTTCGCTGAATTGAAGAGAAAGCGGTATCGCGTGGTTGAAAGGTGTCCCAGTGGTTCATCACTTGGGCGGTGGCGGCGGCGCACCAGGCTTCTTCACGCCCGTAGTATCATATGCGCCACGTCCCATGTTGCAAGCAGAGAGATCCCGGAGAATCATCTTGGATTCTGTACGGACAGCCATGGTCAGAACGATGGTCGTGGGTGGTATGAAGATAGGCAGAAGACGGTGTTCCAGGGACAAAAAAACTCGCGGCAGGATTTCAAGTATGAAGGAGGAGACTCACAGGAGTATTAAATAATAAAAGTGGAAAAATAAATGGGAATTAAAAATAAAAAAAAGCCCGAGAATGATCTAACACTTGAGGCGGTCTGATAATGCGGCGTGTAGCGAGCGTAGGATTCAGATACCTGACCAGGGTGGAGTGGTATTGATGCAGACAGCGGACAATGCAGGTGCAGTTGAGATCGGAAAGAGGCGATCCCTTTTAAGAATGTCGACAACCCGGGGCGACACAAAAAAGGACGGCTGCTGCAGCACAGACGGCGGCCACAGTAGATCTGTAGGGCAGGAATGTGATGCCGAATAACCAGGTCGGTCTGTAAGAATGGAGGTGGAGCACCACAAAGAGTCGATAAGTCTTTTTTCTTTGCTGACTCGTCCCTGCCTCTTTGTTTTTTCTTTTTCTTTTTAGACCCCGATGTTCTTTTTTAGATGGCCTTGATTTCTCGGTTCAGGCGCCTCAGGCGTTCTTTATTCCAAATCGGCCTGATTCCGTCTCGGTTTTGCTCTCCAAGAAATCTCACAATCGTAGCAAACAGGCGGGTTCAATCCGGGACATGCAGGGTGTAATAATAATATCTGGAGTTCGGTCAAGAGCGCGATCTGACCCGAGACCTAGTACCCGAGAACAAGAAAAGGGACTGAAGTGGCGGCAAGGGGGAGTGGTTTAAGCCAGGAGAGTGCCGCGGAAGTGTACTCCGAAGGATCCGATCCAGGGAAATCAGTCCAACAGGGAAACAAGCTCGGCGGGTGGATGGTATCGCGAGGAATCAAGGGGACGCCGATGGGTAACGTCTGTGGCAGAAGCAGACGGGAGGTCGTACGGAGAGGGAGGGAATGGCCGAAAGTCCAGGTACGGAGGGAGGAGCGGAATCAAGATGGAGGAGCAGCGAGGTGAATGATGAAGAAAGGAGGACGAAGGAGGAGAAAGGGTGAGGCCAATGGAATTAACTTAGGAATGGAAGGATGAACAATTCCAAGGCCAGATCTCGAAGGGGGTCCATTGATATATGTACGGAGCAAATGCGATATGGGATTTTTTTCTAGTGAAGGAGATGGCAACTCAAAAAGAAAATAGTAATAATATTAATGAGAGACAGTGAAAATCGACAGGGAGTGTAATTTTAAAAATTAAATCAATAATAATAATAATACGGAGTAAAATAATAATTAATCAAGGGAAATAATCTACGGAGTAGTGACAGCATGGAGGATAAAAAAAGTTTAGTAGGAAATAATCCAGAATGATACAGTACAATTTGGGAAAAATAAATAAAAACCATTCTGTAGAAGAAAATTAAAAAAAAAATTAATGAAAAAAACGAAACCCACTTAATCCATCGACCATCTGTATCTAGCATAGTGCTCCCGTCCCAGAGGAGAGGAACGCGAATGCTGGAGTGGAGGAGGGTGGGTTCGCTCCCTTCCCCCTTTCTTTCTTCTATTCTGGTGGCTTCCACTCTGCTTCTCCCCTTCCCAACGGCCAAAAGTACATACTTTACCTAGGTACCTACGGAGTACTTCTCAAGACTCGCGGCCTTCACGCCATGCTCAGCTCAGGTACCTATCTAATCTATAAGCTCCCTCATTGATGGATCTATCATCTATCATTATTCCAGACCCTCAACATGATTGCCCTTTACCTACCTCTGTCAGCTGTTGAGACTTCTCACCCACCCTCTGTTTGGCCACGTCGTCTGATATTAGATCACCCTGGGTTTCGGACTTACCCTATCACATTCTCCCCGTTCGCTGACCAACGATCAAAATCCCGCGTCGAGCTGACTCTAGCCGCGGGCTTTTCCTCGGGAGTTGGTTGACTGGGTTCCAGTCCGACAGGCCCGTTGTACGGCAACGTACGGAGTTCCAGAAACTGAAATAGAAAAGGATGCTACAGGGTGATTCCTACTGATTCCTACTTGGGCATGGTGGCCTACCCAACTATCCATAATGCCGACAGATATAAGGGAATTATGCTCGGAGCTACGACTAGGCGCAATCCACTCGTCATTTTCCCTTTCGGCGCAAACGTAACAAAAAGACAGGCACAAATTCGAGCTCTCCACTCTCGACCTTCACACCAAGTACGACTAGTACCCATTTAATATGATGAAGCTAGGAACCAACCCCGTGGACTGGCTTCATGCAGGGTGGGTGGAGACCGCAGCAGCGGCTCATCAGGAACCGCGGATGGTTCCGAACCAGCACCAATAACAACGATGGGGCCCATCCATGGTTGTCTGGATGCTTCTCTCGCGTGTCGCCGGTGGATGGTCTCCGTCAGGGGCATCCAGTGATCCCCCGAAGCCCTACTTGGAAACCCTTAGTCCTGCTCCTAGTTTGACCCCATGTAGTATGATCTCTGGAAATCCTTTCGCGAGCCCCCATCTTGGTACGCTTCTTTTCTTTTTTTGTCCCATTTTTGGGCTGGGGATTACTCGGGTGTTACTGTACATGACCGTTACTGCTGGGTCGTCCATCGCGGACACTAACGGGGTAAAAGGGTAAGGGAGAATTGAAGGTGCCCCGATCCAATCATACCTCGGCCCTTCAACTTCCCAGGAAATCTGGAAAACAAAAAGAAAAAAAAAGGCTTGCATGCATGGATGCATGGATTGGCTGCGCTATCCTGATTGCCGGCCGATGTTCTACGAGATGTGGCGTCGTCATGTTTGGTAGATGCTGGATAGGTTCCGTCCCAACGTCTCTGCCTACCTTACCTACGGAGTAGTTACTACTGTAGGTACCTGAGTACCTGAGTCTAGTTTGATTGGGGTGAGGACCTCGGCGGCCTTAGGCAGTTGGACGGGCTCTGAACGGCTGGTAATTCAACTGAATGGTATGAATGGTAATACGCAAAATCCTGGGAAAGCTACGAGCCAGACTGGAGACTGGAGAGAAGCTAGAAGCTAGGCCCGGTGGAGTGCGCTTCCGCTGTCCTATCGTGATCCAGATCCAGTGTTTATTGAATCGATTATCCTGGTGTTTGGGCTCCACCGGACCTTCGGGATTGATTCATGTCATCAGGAGACAGGTGTGTCTGTCAAGCGCTGGGTTATCAATCCCAAACTGCCGGATGGAATTTGAGGCGCATCGTTGCTTTGTCCACCGCCACCGCAAAGACACAAAGTACCTCCCAAAAAAAGAGTCCCTCAATCTCCAGAGACAAATCGATGCGTCTCTCCATTCGAATTAAACTTCTCCGCCGGTCACCAGGGAAAATCCCACTGGGTAAAAGGGGAGCCAGTGGAGCTCCTAACGACTACTCCGTGCTCCACCGCTACCCGCCTCCGTTACGTAGTCTTGTACCACCAACATTGTTCTCGCGGCCTTCTAGTCCTTCTAGCGTCTGGCGCCAACTCCCTCCGGTCATCCGATCCCATCCAAGCAGGGCGCGTCTTCCCAAACCCATGGCTCCTCACCCTTCCAGATGTCTTCCACAGCCCTGTGCCGCAGTGGGTTATTTCCCCTAAACTTTTCTGGGGACGAACGGCATCGTGGCTCGATGGGGTTGACTCCCGGACGTCGCATCCGAACCTAACGACCAGGAACCACCGACGCAGGTACGCCGTACAGTAATTTTACTCTTCTCCACCTCCCGTGTCTTCCACACGACTGAGCCCTCGCCACAGACGGGGCGCGGAATCCATTCCAGCGGAAGATCGCGGCTGAAGGGTCGGATTCCGCCGCGTTTGGATAGAGAAAACACCACCCGCCACGCGGAGCCAGACGTGTCCATCAGGTCGACCGCTCGTTGTCTGAATCCACTTGCTCGCTACCGGTAGGTTTCTCTCTTTCCACGAGCCGTTCGAGACCTCGGCCATCCTGGTTGTTTCTTCCCTTTTCTCATTCGGCCTGCGCGTAAGCGGGTTTCATCACATCATCACATTTCTCGGATACGTGCTTTCGTTGGCTGCCACACTCGACGGGCGGAGAGAAAATGGATGTAGAATGCCGGCGTATTGGACAGAGCAACAGTACTTTCGATCGGGTAGCTGTCAAATCGAAACAAGTCAAGCACGGCGGCTGTGTGCTGCTTCAATTAGACAATGTCGCATGTTTGCCGCCGTGAAGATGACAGGTAGACCAGCTGAGGATCAGATCGTCGGGTCTCGATCCGATGCGTGCGCGTCAATCGTACTTTGTCTCTCTCGATCTGATTCCATGGAGGAATTGGGGAGGCCAGGTTGTGATACAAACGGGGGTACCTGGTAACCAGCCGTACATGGGAGCTGAGGTACCGCCGGGAAGCAGATCTTGGGTCAGCATCGTTAGTATTCCAGAAACCTTCCAGAAGTCCCATCCGGCCGGTCCTGTACCATGGTTCCGACGCGGATCGTACCATTGATCTTATTGCAGTTTATTATTTATTCATTTATTCGTTGTGTTATCCCCTTCTCTAGAGGGTCAGCGGTGGGCACCGAACTGATGTTCATCATTGACACCGTGACAGACTATTGGGGGAAGCCTCTTCCTAGAAGGACACTAGAGAGCAACCGTTGGCCGTGGAAGTCGGTGGTTCCGCTTCCGCCGAAACCTTAGCCTGGACGAACTCCCCTGAGGTTTCAACAGGTTTGGCCAAGATCCTACGGTTTACTACCCATCAAGCTATTTCAAATAGATGGTTGGATCATAGACTGTTTCTTCTGAATTTGTTGGCAAAAGCAGAGCGAATGGACCAGTCCAATAATGAGCAATAGTGACAGACCAGCCGACATGGATGGTCTCTCGGACCAATCGACCTGTCATCCACCTCCGTTCCGGGACCTGAGGGCCCCCCTATTCCCAGCCCTGCTTGCACATCATTCCCTATGGCTGGAGACAAAATAGATCCTAGAGCCGCTCCGCTTGTACCTGGTGGACGTCAATGTATCAACCCGCGCACGATTCATGCCAGCGTGCATCCCCAACCCCCGTCCCTCCTAGGCATATTGGCGTACCTCCCCGCCGGCTCGCTGCATTAGTCGCAACTGTTCCGCGACCAGCCCGGTCCCGTTGAAACAAGCTTGGTTGGAGGCCAGCAAACCGGGGGGCCTGGACTTTGGGTGCTGACCGCGCATGAAGAGTATGCAGCGCAGCGCAGCGCAGCTCTGCAGCCGATCCTCAGCCACACAGCATGCATGTGCATCGGATCCGCGGGATCGGGTGTGAAACATCAATGCTAGGAATGAGAGGGTCTGATCGCGATGCAGTTGATTCGCCTTGCAGAGGTATGCTGGTTATTCCTCTCGCGCTGGCTGTTCTGCACTCACGCAGGGAGTGTAGGCAGTCAGTCAGTCGCTATCGGCGATGGTAGGTTTAAAACATGTAGCATAGTAATTTGCCAGGATGCTGGCGAATGGACGGATGGACATGCCGACCGGGATGACCTTGTCGTGTTTGGCTGTATGGCTGTTCTCATTGTCGACTCATGCGAAACAAAAGTACTCAGGGAGCATGATTACCAGGATGGTTGGACAAGAAGCGAGAGAAGGATTCACCCGGTAACTATGTCTAACTACCTGGGTACTCATCAGTCATGGACACGTGCCATCACCGCCAGCCTGGAGAGACCCCCAGCCAGCTCTCTCTTGTAACCAGCCGTCTGGTAGACTATTGGATTCCCGACGATCATCTTTCCTTATTCCGTGTTCTGTCCCATCAAATGGGGTTAATGATAATAAGGCTATAAAAATCCAGCATGCATGCTAAATTTACGGGGAGAATTGCTTTGTCCCGTCGGGATTCTTGACCCAGAGAACTAGTTAATTAGTATTTCCCCCCGGAGGAAAAGATGGACTCCCGATGGGATCCACTATGGAGTACTTCTGCCTGCAAACTTCCTCTGGACCTTTTCCTGAACGAGAAGAATCCTTTCGATGGAGGCTCACATGCACAGGATCCGAGACTAACTGCCGCGGAACTGCAGCCGAGCGATTTAGTGCCGACAACTTCCTTTCCTGCTCGGGAACTGATCGGTGGTCTAATGCTGGTCGACCCCATCGATGACGGGATACCCTGGCAGGATCGAAGGCGTCGACAACAGGCGTCGTCATGATTACCCAGGTAGGTACTCCGTGCGAATTTCTTCTTCCTCCTTCTGGACAGCTTCCACGACCGAGAAAGCCCCCGGGAGACTTTCGTGCCAGGATCCAGATCAGGAAGATTAGATCAATAATGCTCTCTGATATTAATATCCAACCCGACGAGTCTGGGATGACCCACGGAGCAATCGCCGACTAACGCATCCACCCGCGGTTCTGGAACCTGGAACCGCGTTCCCTTTCTCCTGATCGGGTATCGAGCTCTCTCCTGCTGGTTGCTGGGGAACGATTATTGCTGGATATTCCTCGGGGAAAGGATACCCCAACCTTCTCCCGCAAGCCGGTCCACTCCGTCTGGGTGATCATGTCTCGACTACGGGCGACAGCGTGCATCATCCCCCTTGGCTTCTTGTCAACTGGACACCTCGATTTTCCATGCCGATCGGCCATCATCAATCGCTGGTGTCGTCGAGACCGCCGATGACATTACAGGAGGGGGCAAATTCCTCGGCTTTCGTGCCTCGAGAGGGGCAAACCCACAGGTAAATTATGACGATGGCAGAAAAAGAAAGAATCCTCAGCCTCAACCTCAGCCGCATGAAGAATCGGGAGATCCTCCATCCTCCGGGTTTCTGGGATCCAACCCAGGGCCTGAACGCCGACAAGGGATTTTCACCTTGGCGGCATTGGCCATGATAATCGTGCATCGGGCTGCAGCCGGGGAGGGATGGTGGACGAGGAATGTTAATCTCCCTAGATTGGTACTTTGTGCATCCGACATGGTGGACAGACAGGTGCAGGGTCACCCCCGGCGGAGTTCGGTATTAGAGCTGGAGTCTGCAGTCGATCTACCACCCTGACACTTTGACCCATCGATCAGGGAAATCACGTCTCCGCACCCATCGATAACCAGCACGATGTGCTGCAATACGCACAGGACAATGCGTTGACATGCCCATCCGCCCAGTCGGGGGGGCTCCTACCCAGCAGGTGGCGGTGATGTCCTCCATCGAGGACATACGAGGAATCCACTGCGTCCTTCCTGACGCGAGGGAGACGGCCCATGATTGACAAACAATAAAGCATCTTCAATCCATATTCGATTCATCCCTTCCATGGGGTGGGGAGCCGTCCAGGAGATTTGATTTGCCCGGATGTATCCCGCCGATCATGACAAGCTTGCCTCTATCCAGGTTTCCGGTGCCGCGGAAGGACGGGTTATGCATGGAGGATCAATGGGCGCAGTTGACCCGTCAGTATGTGCTATGCTGTGCTATGCTGTGCGGTGCTGTGGCTGTACGCGGGATGAAATGTATGCATGTATGCGGTAGGGGCCGCCATGATCTCTGCGCACTGGTCCCGAGAATGTGGGAGAGATGTACATACGTCTGTGTGCAGAGAGTGGAGTCTGCTACTCCTCACATGCGGCACAGAAATAGGGTGGCCGAGTACCGGTCACTCCCTTCCATCTGCATATATTCTGCTGGGGTTCATGCGGAGTCTCCGCCACCAGACATATCGGTCTACTGGCATCGATGGTTTCCTGAGCGTCCGGTAGATATTCCGGTTACATCGAACTTGGCCCAAAGATGAATATTCTCGAGCTAACAGTGTTAGGAGCCTGATCGCAATGTCTGAGTATCTACCTTTTATTTGCACACGATATCTAGCAGAGGAGTTACCATCCTGACGTTCCCACCTGCACAACCTGCACTCGTTTATATTGCCGTTTCGCTGTGGAGCTTTTTCGTGCCGTCATCTAACCCCAAGGCATCTACAAGTCTAATGTACTCATCCCTGGAAGGATGCACTACCCATAAGTCGAGAAACAACTATGTGCCATCTCATACTACATTGCCTCAGCGTCAGCCACCAATCGACCAGGATGCCAAATACTAGCAGACTCACCTGTTCATCGGTCTGACAGATCAGTACGCGCGGGCCATTGCCGCCCTTCTTCGAAATGTCCATGATCGCTTGACCGTCCGCAGGCCCTTTCTCATTTGCAGCATTGTCGATAGCGAATCCCAGACACTGCGCCTTCTCGATAATGGTCTTTCTCAACAGTGTGCTTTTTTCGCCGATGCCGCCGGCAAACACGACTGCGTCAACCTGTCCACTCAGCTTGACGAAATAGCTGCCAATGTAGCCCAGGATGCGGTCCACGAAGATGTCAAACGCTAGTTGATGCTCTGCGGAAGGTGGGTTTTCGACGGCGATTTTGGAGAAGTCCGTCGTGCCGGTCAGCGCCTTCCAGCCGGACTGTTTGTTGAGAATATCCTCGGCCTGGTGTGCGTTAGCGATATGAGTATGACAGTAACGGCGGAAACCTCGGGTGACATACCGTGCTGATGTGCATTTCCTTGGTGCTGGCGGGACTCAGTTTTCCGGCGTCGTTGGTATAATGGAACACCAATCTGGGGGAATTGTGTCAACGGACAATTCTCGCAAAGCATGCACAGCCATACTCACGATGGGTCGATACTCCCGCTACGCGTTGCACCAGGCAAGCCAGCCAGGGGGGTAAGTCCCATACTATCCAACCTGTCAGCCATATCCACGACGTTGTATGTCATTGAGGGAAGATTGCATATCCGTACGTAGTGTCTACCGATTTCCCTTCCTTGATTGCGCACATCGATGCACCGCTTCCAAGGTGCAATGCGAGCAGGTTGGTCTGGTCCGTCGGCTTTCCCAAGAACTCAGCTGCAGAGCGCAAGATGAACGCGTAGCTGATGCCGTGGAATCCATATTTGCGGAGCTTGTTTGCCCGCGCAATTTTCTGGTTGATGGGATAAGTGCGCACAAATTCCGGCAGGGTCTGGTGGAAGGCCGAGTCGAAGAAGGTGATGCTCCTGACCGACGGGAGATCCTTCCGGCACATGCGGATGATTTCCAGCGCGGAGTAGTTATGTCTTTGCAGTCACATCTGTCAGTCTAGCCGTTCTTCACACGGAGATGGCTTGTCAACGTACAATGGAGCCAAATCCTCGAGCTCCTCCAGTTTGTGGTAGGTCTCGTCATCGATCATCACTGCACGGTCGTAATCGCCTCCGTGCACGACCCGATGGCAGATATACGCCAAGTCGTCGGTGCTGGCGACCTCGGATAGCGCAGGGTCCGATAAGCAGCGCTGCAGGAGACTCTTGAAGGCAGCTTGGGGGGTTCCCAGCTTCTCATCGAGCGTTTCTTTGTGGGTGTTGGATCCGCAGGTATATTTCAGCGTCTGCGGGGGAGCCGTAATTCCTGAAATCTGTGCATTCGCTATCTCCTTGGGCGTCTTCTCGAACGTGTAGAACGTGAGCTTGACGGATGATGATCCGGCATTGACGGAGAGGATCGACTTGGGCGCCATGTTCGTGGATGACAGACAATTTCGGCAGATAGGAGGAATGGGAAATTGGCTTGGTTTTTGTTCCAAGGTAGTTTCGGACGTCACATCGTCAATGATGTTCGCTGGAAGAATATCTATGACGTACATACTTTGGATCTATGAGATAAGATAGGATCACGTGTGTTGGCCAACTATATCCATATTACTGATTTTGTACACTCTTCACAACATCCTCCGTTCGTTTCATCGCATTTAGACATTTAGAACAATGCATAAGATAGATTGGCTCGAGAGGTAGAAGATTCAGGGTTTGTAACTCTGGAATACCCTTACATAATCCACGGAGGAGCGCTGCAGGACGAGCTTGCAGGACAAACTCACTTCATCCCACACTTCACCTCATGTAGCTCGCTCAGCGATCATGGGTTCGCAGGATGGTCTCTCACAAGATCTGGATCCACGTAATATTGACATAAAACGGGAAATAAGTCGCTCAAAAGCTTCGACAATCTTTGAATTACTGATATGCGGGAAGGCTCACGTTATGAAAGTCGTGAGTATAATCTCCCGATCTTCTGGACGACACTGACGGATTAGTTCCATGATAATGGCGACCCAGGCTACACCGAAAAGGGCCGAGATCTGAACCGGTATCGCTGCGAGTTGAACGCCTACCGGAACCTCTATAGATTCGGCGTCTGTGACCGCGGCTTTGTTCCCTTCTTTCACGGCTGCATCGATCGACTTGATCCATCGGCCTTTGACCCCGAGCTGGAACATTTTATCAACGATAGATATTTTCCGAGGGCAATTGTTCTCGAGTATTTACCGAATGCTGAAAGATTGAATTGTGTGAATTACTCTGAAGACCTCTTTCGTTTTGCGGTTGATGGTATCAAAGAGATACACGGTGCCCGTGTCCACCACCATGATATTTACCCGAAGAACATGCTTGTTGTGTCTGGTAGGAGGATTGTATGGATTGATTTCGACGTTGCGACAAGCTTCGATAGTATGGGGCGTTGTGAGGCGGCATATTGTGAATATGAAGTCGACCTCGTCAAGAGTTTTGGGAAGCTTTTGGTACGTGTGTCTGCGTCGCCGTAAGTATCGCATGCTAATCATCACGATCTCCAGAAAGAGGACCAGAAACAGGGTCTGCCCCCTAACACGAAGTACTATTGATCCAGAAGCTCGGGCCACAAGTAGACAGAAATGAATATACAAGAGCCCTAAACGGCACTCTCATATAGAAGATGTGGGACTGCGCTATATGATAGATCAGCAAGCTCGCTTTTGACTAATTGAGAACTAAATGTTTTTATTTCTATTAATTGCTACTTCATAGAATGCAAGCAACCCGGCAACCCGGCAGCCGGCAGACTGGAGAAGGTGAGGCCAGTGATGTCAGCGCTCTCATTGTGACGTATAGCCGGCGGAACCACAACAACATATTATTTCAAGGTCTTCAGGGATCTTTCTATGTGCACAACATTGTCTGATCAGCCTATCTTGCGACTTTGTTCTACTGATTGCTCGTTTCCACTCTGCGTTCTTGGCCGATCTCCATCGCAAATAACCTAACTCTAGATCGGCCAATTGATCTCTCCGTTGATCTAGACAATCCTCGAACTACAACATATACATATACACCATTGATCATGCCGGGCGAAGTCATCGATCGGCCCAACCCCCAGGCGCCTCCGTCGCATATTCCTGATGTGGTACAGCAACTTCAAGTCCAGCTCCAGCGTACGAGCCTGGACCAATCCGCCTGCGATGCATTGATGAAATTCCGCCGGGCGGCTTCTTACATCGCTGCTGGTGAGTTCAATGCATTGGCCATTCACACACTATCGGAGCTAACGGCTTCGTTGTACAGCGATGATTTTCCTGCAGGACAATGTGTTGTTGAAGCGCGATCTTATCCACGACGATATCAAACCTAGGTTACTTGGTGAGTGATATCTCCTTTGCTTGGAAAGGTCCATTGTGTCCATCCGTGATGCTAATTGCGCCGTCGTAGGACACTGGGGAACGTGTCCGGGTCTGATTCTGGTATACTCGCATATGAACTATCTAATTCGACAGCACAATCTTGACATGCTTTACGTCGTGGGACCTGGACACGGCGCACCGGGTATTCTAGCTGCACTCTGGCTAGAGGGCTCGCTGGGGAAGTTTTACCCGCATTATTCGCGCGATGGCGAAGGCCTCAAGAGGCTCATCTCGACTTTTAGTACCCCTGCTGGGCTGCCCAGGTTAGTCATGCCTCTCCCAACAGGATCGCAGGAGAGCTAACGATCACCAGCCATATCAACGCGGAAACACCCGGTGCTATTCATGAGGGTGGCGAGCTGGGGTATGCCCTTTCGGTCTCGTTCGGCGCGGCCATGGACAACCCGGACCTGATTGTTACCTGTGTCGTTGGTGATGGAGAAGCCGAGACTGGTCCAACCGCCACGTATGTTATCCGTATATTGACTGTCGCCGGTTTACTGACTAGAAGCTAGGTCATGGCATGGGATCAAGTACCTTGATCCTGCCGAGTCAGGAGCCGTGCTGCCGATCCTCCATGTCAATGGATTCAAGATCAGCGAGCGAACCATCTACGGGTGCATGGACAATAAAGAGCTTGTCACGTTGTTCACTGGATTTGGATATCAGGTTCGCATCGTCGAGGATCTCGAAGATATCGATACCGATCTCCACTGCTCCATGATGTGGGCAGTGGAAGAGATTCGCAAGATCCAGCAGGCTGCACGCTCCGGCAAGCCGATTATGAAGCCTCGGTGGCCTATGATCGTCTTGCGCACGCCAAAGGTATGTGTTGTACTGTGACCACGAGGTATCGGGCCCTCACTGATGTCGTCATGAAAGGGTTGGTCTGGACCGAAGCAGCTGCACGGCCAATTCATCGAAGGATCTTTCCATTCCCACCAGGTGCCTCTGCCCGGCGCAAAGAAGGACAAAGACGAGCTCCAGGAGCTGCAGAAATGGCTGTCCTCGTACAAACCCCATGAGCTCTTTACCGAGTCTGGAGACGTTATCGACGAGGTCAAGTCGATCATTCCGTCCGATGAGTCGAAGAGACTCGGTCTGCGGGCGGAGTCATACAAAGGTTACGTCCCTCCCAAACTTCCAGATTGGAGAAAGTTTGCCGTGGAGAAGCATAGCGACGAAAGCTCGATGAAGGCAATCGGTGATCTGATTGACGAGGTGTTCACCATGAACCCTCACAGCGTTCGTTTATTTTCGCCGGACGAACTGGAAAGCAACAAGCTTGCTGCCGCCCTGAAACATACCAGCAGAAATTTCCAATGGGATCAGTTTTCCAATGCCAAAGGCGGTCGGGTCATCGAAGTCCTCAGCGAGCATATGTGCCAAGGCTTTATGCAGGGCTATACGCTCACCGGCCGAGTGGGCATCTTCCCATCCTATGAGAGTTTTCTGGGAATCGTCCACACCATGATGGTGCAGTACGCGAAGTTCATGAAGATGGTACGCCGAGACGGTTTCTTCCCTTGTTGCATGCTGACTTGGACCAGGCCCGGGAAACGAAATGGCACCAGGATGTAGCCAGCATCAACTACATCGAGACCAGCACTTGGACGCGACAGGAGCATAACGGGTTTTCCCATCAGAACCCCTCGTTCATCGGCAATGTTCTCAAGCTGAAACCCACTGCTGCACGGGTCTATCTGCCCCCAGACGCCAACACCTTCCTGACGACACTCCACCATTGCTTAAAGTCGAAAAACTATGTGAACCTCATGGTTGGGTCGAAGCAGCCGACACCAGTCTACCTGTCGGCAGAGGAGGCGGAAAACCACTGTCGCGCCGGCGCTTCCATCTGGAATTTCTGCAGCACCGACGGTGGCCTGGATCCCGACGTTGTGCTCGTAGGAATCGGAGTCGAAGTGATGTTTGAGGTCATCTATGCGGCGGCCATCTTGCGACAGCGTTGCCCTGAGCTTCGCCTGCGGGTGATCAACGTGACGGATCTGATGATCCTGGAGAATGAAGGCACCCATCCGCACGCTCTCACAACGGAATCGTTCGACAACTTGTTCACGCCCGATAGGCCCATCCATTTCAACTACCATGGGTATCCGAACGAGCTGCAGGGACTGCTCTTTGGCCGGCCGCGTCTCGACCGGGTGAGCATTGCGGGGTACATGGAAGAAGGAAGCACCACGACGCCATTCGATATGATGCTAGCGAACAAGACGTCCCGGTTTGACGTGGCGCGGGCAGCGGTGAAGGGGGCGTCCAAGAGAAATGAAAGAGTGCGAATTCGCGAGCAGGAGCTCACCATGGAACTGGCGCAAAATATGGCCGATACTCGCAAGTACATTCTGGCTAATCGTAAAGGTGAGTCGAGAGACTTGAAGGATGCTATGAGGATAGATACTAACGGGATTAGATCCGGATGATATGTATACCACGCCCAGATTCGAGTAGGATGCGGAGATGGATCTGTGAGACAGGATAATTTCGGATCTACGGACCGGTAGAATGGGTAGATGTTAGAGGATCTTGAATACGAACTGTCCAATGATGCGACTGTATGTACCAACAGAATGATGCATCTCGAGTGTTGGTCTGGCTGTTGGTGCCTATACTATGGCTATGCCTGAGGCAGAAAGGACTCCGTAACTACCTGAACAGGCTAGTGCTGACGTAATCCCGGGTGAAGTTTTCCCTTCGTAAGCAAACATTCGCACTCGGACCGATCGATGCCCCGTTCACGCTTCGCCTCAGCGCCATCAATCTTGCTAGAGACCCCGATTCCTATGTGGAATCAGCAGCTCGGGGCCCTACCACCAAAGGCTGTTCACCATGGCTACGCGCGGCCTGTTTCTGCCAAGTCAGGCAACAGCGATGTCCATACCTATGATCGAGAGCTATGAGCGAGAGCTCTCAGGCTGAGCCTTGAGCGGCGCGGGATGAAGCATTATAAACGCACACCCAAGCTCCCTACGGCAGAACTAAACCCAACGGGGAGGAGCTTGCGAGTCGGAGGAATTCTCCATCGAGCCGCGATGGACCCGAACAAGAACTGCACGGTGGAATGTTCTCTGCCGAAGTCCGGATCATCCGCTGAATCAATCAGATTGTTCCTCCGGGGCGGCTGTCTCCGCTGTCTCCATCGGCGTCGACCATGGGCCCAGGTAGAAAGGCACTGCGGCCGAATCACTCCGATCCCGATGACCGTGTTGAAAGAATGCAGATTTTGAAGGATCTTTCGTCTCTTGGATCTCGATCCTTCAATATCAGGGGAGCTATAGGCTCAGCCACTCGTTTCACGGAGTACATCCAGGCATCATTCATCTCGTACATTACAATATAATTCTCATTGTCGCTCTTTCTAGACATCATACATCCATTCGTTCCTTATCTTGCTTTATACGGAGTACTATCTTCTTCCTACCGATACAGCACTATGTCGGAGTCTCTGAGATCCAGCTGCCATGCTCTGATTGACGGGATCGGTACCCCATACGGCTATCAGCCCTCAGAAGCGGCCGGCATTGCCTTTCTCGTTCTTTTTGGTCTGTCAATGATCGTGCATACGGTGCAATTCGCCTGGTCGAAGACCTGGTGGTGTGCTGTCTTCAGCGTCGGCTGCCTGAGTATGTCCTTTCCCCGTATACTTCCACCCCCCTCGCCGTCTCAGCTAACAATGGATGCAATACAGCTGAGATACTCGGCTGGGCGGGCCGGACATGGTCCTCGCAGTGTCCATACAACATGACTGCGTTCTTGATGCAAATCTCGACCCTGATCATCGGTAAGCACCCATCCTCCCGCTCCCTCCCCTCCCCCTCCTGGAAGGGAGAGACGCACACCACTAACACCCACAGCCCCCGTGTTCTTCACCGCCGGCGTCTACGTCCTCCTCGGCCGCTTCATTCAGATCCTCGGTCGCGAGTCCTCCATTATGAGCCCCAAAATGTACCTGTGGGTCTTCTGCACCTGCGACGTCATCTCGCTCGTCATCCAGGCCATCGGCGGCGGCCTCGCCTCTGTCGAGTCCAACAAGATCAACGGCAACACCGCCCCCGGCACCCACATCATGGTCGCCGGCATCGTCTTCCAGATGTTCTCCATCACCGTCTTCGTGGTGTGCGCCGCCGACCACGTCCGCCGCGTCCTCCGTCTCCGCCTGTGGAAGTCCGTCGACGGCTCCTTCCTCCCGCTCTTCGGCGCCATGGTCTTCTCCGTGCTCTGCATCTACGTCCGGAGCATCTACCGGACTATCGAGCTGGCCGAGGGCTGGTCCGGCTACCTCATCACCACCGAGCGCTACTTCATCGCCCTCGACGGCGCCATGATGGTCGCCGCCGTCGTCATCTTCAACATCTTCCATCCCGGCTTCATCATGCCCAAGTCGAACAAGTATCTCCACCAGGCGCCACTGGCTGGCGAGGAGGGCGTGCAGCTTTACTAGATTTTTCCTTTTCTTCTTCGGACATGTGTTGGATTAGCGTGCGTGCATCATTAAATACGAATTGGAAATCAAGTAATGACAAGTTCTCAGACCGTCGATAGACAAGACATTAGGTCACGACTCGTGTACAATCTCAGACAACGCATAATAACTGAACCAGCAGTTAACTAATCAGCCAATTCCAATTTCCAACAGCAGGCCATACTAACTCCCCCGCAAAGCAAGTCCACATCAACTCGCCGATACACCTGACGGCACCAATACTCCTAACGGAACACCTAACACCAGCTACAAATCAAGCAAAGAACAGATTACACCCCATCAACCCCCTCGATCCACCCGAAAAGCGTTCCTACCGCCACCGTCCCCGCAGCCCACACCCCACCCCAGACCGCAGCTCCTTCCACATCGACCCCTTTCACGGTGCCGGCAACCTGCACGATCGTGTTCAGCAACAGCACCGCCGCCAGGACGAGCGTGCGTCCCGCCAGCACCTTCGTCTTCGTCGACAGCCGGCCCCACGTCTTCCGGTACACAGCGCAGGCGAGGTACTCGCCCTCGCGCGGCGCGTCCTGCTGGCCCGCGCCCTTCTGCTTCTTTTCCTTCTCGGCCGTCGCCGCGCCGGCGGAGCTCACGAAGAGAAAGTCGCGCGCCGCACACCCGGCAGGAAGCAACGCCAGGAATAGAATCGGGAGGCCCTCAGGGCCGGCATGCACGGCGGTGATGTCGGGGATGTCCTGGAAGTGCAGGACGAGGCGGGTGGGCAGGAAAGAGGCGTAGCTGAGCGACAGGACGGTGGTGAAGATGGCCGTCGCGGCGACGGTGGTGTAGATGGTGGTCAGGCGGTCTTGCAGGATCGCGCGGTTTGCGACGGCGGGGGCGTTCAGGCTGTTGTGAAAGGCGGCCGGGAGGCGCAGCAGCATAAACGGGATGGAGGTCGTGAAGACCGTGATGGCGTAGGAGAGGAGGATAGAGGTCGGCCGGATGTTGTAGAAGCTAGCGAGGAGGGCGTACGTCGGGAGGTGGGTGAGGAACATGAACGACGTGACGTCGCGGGCTGCGCTTCGTTAGCATTCGACTTCTTGAGGAGTGGAGAAGAAGCACTGCAGCGGTCTCCAATGACTTACCGTCAAATCCGAGGAGCCAGGCCAGGCCGACTTCAACCGCCTTCCAGGCCACCAGCCCTGCGACTTCCCACCATTCTTCCAGGTGCTTGCTCACGCTGCCGAGCTCGCCGAGGGTGGCGCGCGAGGTGAGCGTGAACAGGGCAGAGCTTAGGCCTAAACTGATGAAGACGACGGCGGCGAACCGCTCGGCGGGGTGTCTGCTCTCGACCAGAAGCTTAAAGAGGACTGCCTCCGGGTAGCCTAGGAGGTTGGATTTCCTGGTGGCGCTGGAGGGGCTACCGGCAGAGGGCGCTTCTTTCTTGCGAGGAGCCATTGAAAAGGGACTTCCGGGTTGTATGTGCGATGGCAAAGCGAGCAAGTCGAGAGAGAAGAGTTTGAAGAAAGAACAGAGGAGAGAAAGTGGGAGTGGACACGATGATGGAATGTTGTGTCGTGAGCGGTGAGCAGGTGATGATGTCACCAGCGAAAATGAGGTCATTGCAAGTTTCTTCATTCTATACAGCGTCGGCCTTGCTTTCCGCACAGCGCCAAAGTCATGTCATTTACACAATACAGTATACAGTCCGTTTCAATCATCCTTCTTTCCCTCGTCATCCTCCTCCGGTTTCTCCACCACCGAGAACTCCGCAATCCCGCTCTCCCGTCCCTTGTGGTCCCGCATCGCCAGCTGGTATTTGCCCTGGTTCCACAGATCTTTGATGGTCAGCTCCCTGGTGCGACCCAAGCTTTCAATATCGCCGATCCGTTCCAGAGTGCCCTCCAGATGATCGTCGAATCCAGGCCAGGAACAGATTTCGCGGAAGGCGTTCTGCATTGGCACGGAGTCGGCGCGCACCATCGCCCGCGAGTCGATGGTGAAGATGTTCTCGTGATCGTAGCTCTGGATGAAATCCGCTCTCGTCATGATCTCCCGAGCCTTGTGCAGCGGGATCTCGGGAAGAATATGGCCTAGCTTGGGATCGTAGGTCTTCTCCATTTCCTTTTCCTTCTCCACCAGTGCCCTGGCAAGCACCATGGCCGCAGACTATGAATCGTTAGGGCGCCATGCGCGGCGGAAGTAGAGGGAGAACCCAGTCGACTTACCGAGTACTTCTGCTCGTCCATCACGTCATCGTCCATCTCCGTACCCAGAATCCAGCATTTGTTCAAGAACCAGGTCTTCTCGGCCTGGCAGATACTGTTGCAGAGCTTCATGAAGTCTTGCGCCTTGGCGACGCGGTTCAGGAAGGACAGTCTGCCGCCAACCTTGTCGTAGACTTGCTCCAAAACGTCGTAGGACAGCTCCTCGCCAAAGTACCGCTGTCGGTACCGCCGCAGGGCGTCAATCGCGCGCCCCTTGGGAAGATCCGACACAGGGATCACTTCCATGCGGGTCGCGTACCGCTTTAAGCGTTCGTAAACCCAGTAGTCGTCGCTGTTCAAGACAGTCGTAACCAGGTTGCTTGCTGCCCACTGCTCGGCGCGCTGTTGGATCATCTCCAGAAGGTCCTGGCCGTCGTGGTCATCCCGGACCAGATGGGTGCTGTTGATGATCAAAATCAAGGGTGTTTTGCCCCTCTTCCGTCTTGTCATCGCAACCTTCTCTAGCTTGTTGAGGGCGCGCTCGATATCCAAGAGAGGAGTCGTATCGCGAGGGCCCTTGATACTGAAAAGACTTCCAATGTAACTGGTTTATCGTTAGCATAGGTGATATAACGGACACACAAATGTATGGGTCCATACTCTTCATGGAATTCAAAGTCCAATGCCTTTCCAAGACGGATCCGGAAGATCTCGAGGTCACCGTGGGCCTCAAACATGGCACATCCTTCCCCGTTAATCTTCCGCATGGCCTCAAGCAGCATAGACGTCTTTCCAGTGCCCTTCTCGCCAATGATGAGGAAATAACGACCGCCTCCGTGACCAGAGATAATTTGATCGATCCGAGGCTGTTCATCCCGAAGGACCCAATGGTCTTCATGGTGGTAGTCCTTCTGTCCGGGCGGCGTGACGCCGGCCACTTCTAAGGCTGGGTCGCCGGGCTTGAAAGCATTTTCCATCTTCTGCAGAATGATGTATTTGTAGTATTGGTGGTAAGAATATCCGGCGATGCTGAAATTTGATCAGCGAGAGGTCAATCACCCAACGAATAGGACGGCTTTTTGCTAGGTTCATACCCAAGAACGGCGATAGAAGCAAATGTGGTGGCCGCCGTTTCGAACATACGGAGGATGGTTCCTTTCAAGGTGGGATCGGAGTCGTTGGATTGACTCCGTTCTCCGGCACCTGCATCCTGGTCCAAAGGATCAGGGGCATTGAGCAGGGAGGAAGCGGAGAAATCTCGGGCGGAGTGGAAGGCCGGGAGAGGGCGGTTCAACCTGGGAGGTCTGGCGGTGATGTTGACGACCCGCGGCGCCCCAACGATCGGTGACAGGGATCGTGGAACATGTCGATACATGGACAGGAGCATTTTGCTTGCTGTCTATGCGAAAAAGAATAGGGTGTCACCCGGTGTTCCGATGGAATTCTTTTTCCGGGGCAGTCAATTCCAGCAATTCAATCCCGGATTGTGCTGGAACAGAGAGATATACGGTCTACCAGCAAGGTGACGTAGTGATACATTTAAGGGGAAGTAAAGAGATGAAGAGCAATTCAACCGGCACTCCCCAGACAAAGGGGGAAACCACCCAGAAAAAACAGATAAAGAGAGGCTCGAGTGGGAAAGAAGAAAGAAATGAAAGAGAGACGAGTCGAGGTCAAAAGAAGGTGAGAGTTTTGGGATGTTGAGAGCAGTCGAACTGATGAATTCTCCGAATTCTCCGGCGATAACAAAACGACCAAATGGCTGAGTGTGGCGGTGCAGCACTAAGCCCGATCAGATCCACTCTTTGTGAACGACCCGCTTGGCAAGTCAGCCTTTGTGTACCTGTATGAATCAATGTTCTGTCACGGTAATATTAGGCGGTTGGATCGATGTAATTGGAGAGTTGAGTTTTGGGTATTCGAATCTATCAGGGATGGTTGTGTGGTGGTGAGTTGTCCGCGATGGAGAAGTATATATATAGTTGCCGCCAGCTCATCACGATGTGAACATATCACGGCAGACATGGCTTAGTCTCTCCCGCTACCTGGTTATGGCATGGGCCATTGTTCATCTAAATACCCCTCTAAGAATTTAGCTCTGTGTACTTGTAATCGGCGTTGACTTGAAAATGTCATTGTATGGATAGGAGTTGCGACAATTAAAAAAATCTCATTGTGGCATTGATGGTGGCCAGACTCGATTGGTAGGTATATCAGATGTCCTATTCCCAAGGATACCAGTTATCATTATTGGATATCTAACTACATCGCCAAGCGCCACCTCTTAACACCACGACATGAAGTAGTATACGGAGTACTTCTCGTGCTGTATTCAGAAAGGTGCATATGGATGAGTCAGCTATACATGCATTTGCTTTAACTAACTACTTGTAGTGCCGCCGACTTCCCCAACCATCCCAACTGAAGACAGCAACACGGCAACGCTTGAAGTAAAATCCCGTCAAGTAGTAATAATGATAGAACAATAAACCAACTTCATATACAGTGAACCAACTCGTAAGTCTGTCTACTCCGTCGTACTTTGAGACAAAATAAAACTCGGCGTGCCTGTGGGGAGCTCCACCGCCTTCTCCCCGAGGACATCCGAGGGTATTCCGTATCCGCGAAATTTTCTCCTGCCCGGATTTCTCCAGCTTCATTCGATCCTCCTCTCCATATTACTTACTCTATTCTTCTTTCTCCATCCGATTCCCTTTCTTTTGCTTTTGGTCCGGGTACGGGGGTTTTGTCTTTGCAATTGCCCTGTTCTCTTGTACTATATCCTCTTCTTCATTGGGTTTCTCCTGTTTTTATTTCTTCCCTTCCCTTCTTATATACCTTTTGGCCCTCTCTTCCTTCAGGTTCATAGCGTCAAGTTGCATACCACGCTTTGAACCTCCTCCATTACCTCCCATCCCCATCAACCTCCCGGTAACAAACGCTCGATTATTTCTATAAATCCGACGCAATGGCTCAGACCAATGGCGAGCTGGAGCACTCGAAAGGCATGTCGTCACCGGCCGTCCGAATTTCCCAAGCGCAAAAGTCCACCAAGTTAACCGTTGATCCAGAGTCTCCTGAGCAAGTCGCCAACGGAACCCACGCCGAGGGAGAGCAGCCTGAGGAGAATGCTGGCGGTATGTTGTTTCCCAGAGGACAGAATTAACCAGAAGGCCACCTAACACTCCCCGCAGGTCTTTTCCAGATCTCCGTCAAGCTGCCTCATGAGCCCTACAAGATCCAGGTGATGGTGGGTCTCTAGAATCCTTCTAATAAAGCATCAGCCCGGATATCCTTCTAATTTTAATTCAAACATCAGGTGTCGAGCCAAGAACAAGTCCAGGATGTCCGCCAATCCATCGTCGAGCTCCCGAGCACCTTCCAGTACACCTGCTTCCATCTCGAGTTCAACGGAAAGCGCATCAATGACTTCGTCGAGCTCTCGGAGGTTCCCGACCTCAAGGCCGACTCGGAGATCGTCCTCGTGGAGGACCCCTACACCGAGAAGGAAGCCCGTATGCACGTCGTTCGCATGAGGGAGCTGGTCGGCGCGGCCGGTGATCGCGTTGACAACATTCAGGGTGTCAATGCTGGTCTGTCTCTCCATGATGCAATTGCGGCTGAAGCAGCCGCTGGCGAGGCTTCCGAAAAGGAGCACTCTCTGTCCAAGTATGAGATTGCGGGTTCTTCCTCTCTCAAGACCATTCTCCCCCGGCCGGAGACGCCTCTCCCGAAGACCGTGAAGTCTATCGCTCTCTCGCCATGGAACCCTGCCCCCTATCATCTGCGGCAGAAGGGTCATCTGCTCTATCTTCAGGTCACCACCAACGAGGGCGAGCAGTTCCAGATCACCTCCCACGTTTCCGGCTTCTACGTCAACAAATGCTCGAATGCGAAGTTCGATCCGTTCCCCAAGACGATCCCCAAGAAGCGCAGCGCTCACTCGCTCCTCACTCTGATCTCCCAGCTGTCTCCCTCCTTCAACTCTTCCTTCGAAGCCCTGCAGGAAGCGAACAACCAGAAGGATCTCCTCACCACCTTCCCCTTCCAGAACGCCATCCCGAACAACCCTTGGCTTGTGCCTGCTCCCTCGTCCAACGTCAACGCCCACCAGCCGGACATCACTCGTTCTCAGGAGAACTACTTGATTTCCGGCGTGGACAATGCCGAAACTCTGCGTGACTGGAACGAGGAGTTCCAGACCACCCGGGAACTGCCCCGCGAGACTGTCCAGGATCGCGTTTTCCGGGAGCGTCTGACCTCCAAGCTGTTCGCTGACTACAACGAGGCTGCTGCTCGTGGTGCCGTTTTGGTTGCCCGCGGAGAGGTTGCTCCTCTGAACCCCACGGAAGAGCGTGATGCTCAGATTTTTGTGTATAACAACATCTTCTACTCCTTCGGTGCCGATGGTGTTGGCACTTTCGCTTCCGAGGGTGGTGATGAGGCTGCCCGTGTTGCCGTCGGCAAGGATGTTCTCGGTATCAAGGCCGTGAACCAGCTCGATATCAATGGCCTCTTCACCCCCGGCACCATTGTTGTGGACTACCTTGGCAAGCGTATCGTTGGACAGAGCATCGTTCCCGGTATCTTCAAGCAGCGGGAGCCCGGTGAGAACCAGATCGACTATGGTGGTGTTGAAGGCAAGGATGTCGTGGCCACCCACCCTGATTTCGTTCCTGTCTTCGAGAAGCTGTCCAAGGCCCTGCGCATTAAAAAGCACCCTGTGTGGGACAAGGAGGGAAAGCGTCACGATCTGGAAGGCAGTGTTGAGACCAAGGGCCTTCTCGGAACCGATGGCCGCAAGTACGTCCTGGACCTCTACCGGGTTACTCCCCTGGATGTCATGTGGCAGGAAGAGGAGGGTAGTGATGTTTACCCCCACCGCATGTCCATCCTCCGACTGGAGCTGGTTGAATCGTACTGGAGACACAAAATGAGCCAGTATGTGAAGGCCGAAGTTGAGCGTCGCCGTGTCGCTAAGGAGGCCGCCAAGAAGGAGCAGTCTGAGACTGCTGAGCCCAAGGAGGAGGGCGCGGAGGAGAAGAGCGAAGAGGCTCTCGACCAGGAGCGGGTGGACATCTCTGGGTTCTCCCTCGCTCTGAACCCGGATGTTTGCAGCGGCCAGGTCCCTCAGACTGCCGAAGAGAAGGAACAGTGGGCCCAGGACGAGAAGGAGGTCCGCGATACCTGCGATTTCTTGCGTTCCAAGGTCATGCCTGAGCTGGTTCAGGATCTGCACGATGGCGATGTCGGATTCCCCATGGATGGCCAGTCCCTCAGCCAGCTCCTGCACAAGCGCGGTATCAACATTCGTTATCTCGGAAAGTTGGCTCAAATGTCCAAGGAGAAGGGCGCTCGTCTGGATGCTCTGACGACCCTTCTTGTCCAGGAGATGATTGCCCGTGCTTTTAAGCATATTGCGAACAACTACCTGCGCAATGTCCCGGCACCTTTCGTTGCCTCCTGCCTTGCTCACCTTCTCAACTGCCTGCTCGGTGCGGACGTCAATGCCAACCCTCGTGCGGAGATCGACTCCTCCCTGCGGGAGGTCTACCCTGAGGGCGATTTTTCCTTCGAGAAGGCCACCCCTGCCTCCCTCCGGGCTGATATCGAGAAGCAGGTTACCATCAGATACCGTTTCTCTCTGGACGCTGAATGGTACAACTCCCTGCGACACCTTCAGCTGCTCCGTGACATCGCCATCAAGCTGGGTATCCAGCTCGGTGCCCGCGATTTCGTCTTTGCCAAGGCCGATCTTCCCAAGACTCCCGTCTCCAACGGCGTCAACGGTGCTGGACACGATGACAGCAACAGCAACAAAAAGAAGAAGAAGAAGGGCGGTGACTCCAACTCTCCCGCCCGTGCTGCGGTTGAGGACAAGCCCGCCCTCTCGATTGTCGTGGACGACATTGTCAATGTTGTTCCTCTGGTTAAGGATGCTTCTCCTCGCAGCTCCCTTGCCGAAGAGGCTTTGGAGGCCGGACGTATCTCGCTTATGCAGAACCAGAAGCAGCTAGGCCAGGAGCTCATCTTGGAATCTCTGTCCCTGCACGAGCAGATCTACGGCATTCTCCACCCTGAGGTCGCCAAGCTCTACCACCAGCTGTCCATGCTATACTACCAGACTGATGAGAAGGAGGCCGCCGTGGAGTTGGCCCGCAAGGCGGTCATCGTTACTGAACGTACTCTGGGCGTTGACTCCGCTGACACTATTCTGAGCTATCTCAACCTCAGTCTGTTCGAGCATGCTTCGGGCAACACCAAGACTGCCTTGGTCTATATCAAGCACGCCATGGATCTGTGGAAGATCATCTACGGTCCCAACCACCCTGACTCCATCACTACCATGAACAACGCCGCTGTGATGCTGCAGCACCTCAAGCAGTACTCTGACTCTCGCAAGTGGTTTGAGGCCTCGCTCGTCGTCTGCGAGTCTCTGTTTGGCAGACAGTCGATCAACACGGCTACCATTCTGTTCCAGCTCGCTCAGGCCCTTGCCCTGGACCAAGATTCCAAGGGCGCTGTCGGCAAGATGCGCGATGCCTACAACATCTTCCTTCAGCAGCTGGGCCCCAACGACCGTAACACCAAGGAGGCGGAGACCTGGTTGGAGCAGCTCACGCAGAACGCTGTGTCGATTGCCAAGCACGCAAAGGATATCCAGGCCCGTCGTCTGCGTCGCATCAACATGACCCCTCGTACTCTGGGCACCCGGGTCCAGCCTCAGGTCGGCCAGACTGCCCCCGAGTCCGCTGGCGCCAAGGATGCCTCCAACACCAGCCTTGACTCTCGCAGCATCGATGAGTTGCTGAAGTTCATCGAAGGCGGTGACACTACCAGCGCTTCTCGCTCGAAGCAGAAGAAGCGTGCTGCTGCTAGCAACCCCAAGCTGCGTGGCTCGAAGAAGTCATCGGCTTAAGCTGGCTGATTGATTTCTTTTTCGTCATCTCTGGGTTACATAAAAGAAAAGCTTATTCATTTCTTCACCTTGACCTGTGTTAACAGTTAGATATGCCATGTCGGAACCTTATGTCTCCGGTTGATATGTTGGATGAGCGGGATGACAGCCTTTTTTCCTTTGGTCGGGTTGATTTTTTTTGTATTTGGTTCTGTAGAAATCTCTCTACTCTCCCTGGTGGTTAGGGTTATATTTTATCGCGGGCAGTGCATAGCAAGGTCGGGCGATTGCATGCTGGGAACATTCTGGTGTGATTCTGTACTATATACGATGAGAATATACATGCATCTCTAATGAATATCTACACTACACATCAAGTTGAATCGATTGTCTAGACGGCATCTAGCTAGGGTCTCGGCCAGGTCTCCGACGGAACAATGATGATGCGGGGCTTTACCGCTTTGGGCGATTCCGCTGTTTACATCCGCCGTCCAGGACCATCAACCAACACAACACACTCGCTTTCTTACGGGTTTCCTTGGGCCCTACACTCGTACAATTTTCATGTTTTGTCTTGCATTTTAAGCAGAGCAGTTTTATTTTGGCTTTTTTGTTGGTGTTAGGGCTTACCGACCCACTGCATCTTGGTTATTCCACAGCATCAACGACATGGTTCAATGACCCTGCAGCAAAGCATTCCGGTACCAAACCAGCAGAACTCTACCAATTTAGGCACGAGACGAGTAGCTAATTTATCGCCTATGCGCCAGGCTATAACCAACCTGCCCCAACATGGAAGATGTCCGTCCGACCGCCAAATGGGCAAATCGCATGTTGCGCCCTTTGACCTCCGTCTACCATCGGCTTGAGAAACACCACGAGATCCTCGCCAGTATTGCGCATTCGAAACTGAGAGAGCAAGCTGAACCGCGGCGGGCAGGACAGAACGCACAATCCACCACAGCTACAACCGGCGATGCGGACAAAGGGTATTCCTACTCCGACGAAGAGCCCGGCGACCCGGCCTGGGTACCCGGGAAACCAGACAAACGGCGCATACGACATAGCTATGCAAGTCGGGGTCAAAAGGGACGAGTCAGAAGACGAAGCCGACTATCAATTCACAGCCCGGAACGCCAGAAAACGCTGCCGGGTGCCATCGAGATTGCAACCCCTTTGATTACGGGAAAGGCGCAGGGGAACCTGGAGTGCTCGTCGCTCAGAAAAAAATTGTTCCGCAGTCCCTTGGCTCCTACAAATACCGGTGCGTCAGGCGAACAACGGCGGGCGAACCGCACGAACAACGCCAGTTTCCCCGCCTACCAGGGGTCGTGGAAGGAGGTATTGGATCTTTCCGGGGATACTGGGCTCGTGGATATTGCGCATCTTCTGGATCGGATTCTGCTCAAGTTTCTGAGTAAGACTCGGGTGGGTGCTATGGGTGAACGATCGGACCGCGGGGCGCGCTCGTTGATGTCGATGGTTGCGCGACGCTTGCCGGAGTTTATTGCGGAGGAGCAGAGACTCCAGGATGAGTTGAAAAATGATGACTGTGGTGTGGATATGTGCGACGCTTATTTTACGGAACTTGAGGCCCATTATGCCCCCGCGAGTCATGGATGGGAACCTTTGCGCGAAGCGGTGCGCGCACAAGGCATTCATCTTGTGTCGGAAATGATGCTTCAAGGATGGCTTACGCAGTTCGCGGCCTGTCGGCTTATGGAGGAGTGCATGAGTCACAGCGAGTTCGATGCCTTTGAGAGCTTGATGTCGCGGTATCTTACTACCGTAGACCTCTATGACCATCCAATGGCGTTTGAACCACCAAAGCCACCGGTCCACCACGACGATGCCATTTACATACTGGGAAAATATTACACGCGTGCTGCAGGGAGACGTTCGTTTGTATTTGAGGAGATGGCAAAGCTCCTCATGCGCGGCTCCGTCCCCCCAGAGTGGATGGTCACCTCTTTGTGGAAAAAGTGCGTGGATGGGGCAATTAAATCGGTGTCTATCGAGGACCGGAATGCAGCAGCTGCCACCAGGCTTGTGGAGGCCGTTGTGCTCTCCGCTGGCGGCGTGTACCCCGGCAAGCCAATGTCCATGCCTCGGATGGAGGATTTGAGTGCCCTACGCGGCGAGCGTGCGCGAGGCACCCGTGCTTCCAGCAATGCAACGATTCTCGCAAAGGGCCCATCGCCATGCCCAGTCCCCATCCAGGATGCCCTGAGTAATCTTACGTCAAGTCTTATTGCTGCGCTTTGTGGGATGTCCATCGCGCGGTCGCAGGCTCCCACGGAGGAGGTGAGAGCGACCGGCGCAAAAGTGCGAAACACCGTCGGGTACCTGACCCTCGTGGTCCAGCGGGCTGTTGGGACACACTATCCGCATGAAGGCACATTGCCCATGTTTCAGTCGCTGCGTCGTGGCTACGTGCTGCTGGGCAATTTGATGCTACGGTGCGGTGCAGCATCGTCTGTCGATGTCATTGATCAATTGGATGCCATATCCCGACGAAACATCCAGGCGTTTTTCCTGTCGCTGGCTAGTCAGCATGAGATGCTTAAGGGACTGGCCGAGCTTGTTCGACAGGTGTTTCGCTGCTGCGGCCACGCGGACCAGAGCGATGAGTCGCGGACATCGCGCGAGATCCGTCAAAAGGTGTGTGAGCTTGCGCAACTGACTGATATGCATGGGGTGGCATTCTTCCTGGGGAATGTAGCGGCTGAAACAGCCATGGCGTTCGCGGAGACTACTCTGGACACGGACGACCATGCATGGGCCATGGAAGTTCAAGAGATGGTCGTTTCAGCTCGGAGCAGCCAGGCGGGCACACGATCCCCTTCATCCCACGAGATCCCTTCCAACGATACGGCCGGTCTCTACCGGTGGGAGGAAAGCATTGGCGAGTGGGTGGCCCGGACGCCGATGCCGAAGCCCAAAGCTGGCCAGTTAGCGGTGGCTTCCAAACAAGCTCTCGCTCGACCACGACTTCCATCAACCATCGCATGTTCCACCAGCAGTACCTCGGCGAGCTCGAGCCAGGAGGATGCTGTCTCCAGCGTCACGTCATCGCCACCGTCCGTCCCCATGAAACGGACGTGGACGAACGAGAACATGGTCACCAGACAACGAAAACGACTTCGGTCTGACCCCATGGAGACGTATGCGCGAGGAGCCCGCGCGACCCGCTCGAGATGCCACCGGTCGCCGTTTGAGGCTGGCTCGTCTGAAGCGGAGTATGCACCGATAGCCGCCCGGACCAGGGGGGCACATGGTACATCCAGAGCGGTGCCGTCCAATGTGGCGGCGTCGGGAGAGATGATAGCGCAGGACTCCGATAAGTCTGACTCGGAGGAGATTACTCCCAAGGTTGAGGTGGTTATCATCAACCGCAGGAGTGCGTCTCCCTCTGACACGGAAAGCCTCGAGGATTTCGTCGAGCCTATCAGTGAGCGGACGCGGTCGACGATCCAGCGTCGTCACACGGCGTCTCCGAGGATCATTTGCCGGCGGGCGACACGCCTGCCGAGGGTGATCCCCTGTTCGCAGGACGAGGAGAGCGATGATGAGCTTAGTTTTCTTTGACCCGGTCGTGCGGTTACCACTTGTTCCTATTTGTGTTATTATTCGGAGTTCTGTGTCGCGATGATACCCGGCAGTTGGCAGTTGGCATTTTTGACTTTATCGTTGGCGTCTGGATAGAGTAGAGTTTAGTCGTTAGATCATCTACATGATACGAGTTAATGCCTAGGAGGTGTTAGTTATAGTACTTAAAGATAGAAGCTGGAGCTATTCGGAGAATAAGCTGGACGGGACCCTGTCAAAAGATCCCTGTCAGTGTCAGGGTGAAACGGACTATTGGGAGAGGTGATAGTAGGGTCTCGGACTGACTCCGGAAGTTGTCATCGAGACGGAGTTTATATGATAGTCAGCTGCAGTGTAACCAGATCGTACATCCTATGCAGTCTTGGAGTATGTCTATATGCGAGGATGGACGACATGGATCAAGTACATTAAAGTGCATCCAAACCCGACGTTCTTATAAGAATGGGGCGAAATCTATGTATGCTTGATGATCATCCAGCTAAATCAAGCGTATCTCGGTTGCAGGTATTCCCGATCCCTGCACGCCCACCCGCTTACGGAGTCACTAAACCCTTTGCTACCCTTTGCTTCCCCACCACCCCGCCATGCCGCACTCCCTCATTATCCAAGATGATCAAGAGAGCCAAACATGATCAAAGAGTATTAAAGAGTATCAGACATTATCAAAGAGTATCAAAGACACGCATGAGAAGGGCCAGCGGATCCAGGTGAGGTGGACCAGGAACGACGTGGCGTGAGGTATTCGAAGAAAGCTTAAGGTCGCCTGCTTGTTCCATGTCCCTGCGTTGGGCAGGTCGGAACCGTGGATCATCCTTGGATGGAACAGGAACTCCGCAGTTGAACCGTGGGAGGCGACGACAGGTCATACTGGATTGAGCGTGCATATACAACGGAGTAGGTAGGTAGTTTCATCAAATCCCGTGTGGCTCTGTCTGCCGCCGACGGAAGAGATTTCTCGACGAATCGAGGGGATTAATCTATGTGAGAGAGACTAGTGGGTGGTCTTGTGGGTTTTTTCGATATGATGTGATGGTAGAGGATATTCTACACAACCCAGGAGATTGACGAGACCCTTCTATACTATACAGAGTAGAGTGTCATAGGCATCTTTCTTTCTTTCTTTCGCATGTAGTTCGCAAAACCAAACATCATGACCAGACCGACGGGAAAATGATCGATCGATCTGAATAATGGGATCGAGAATGTAGAAGTAAGGGCGAGCCGCCAAGGGATCCCGTCGACATCGTTGTTTCAAGAGGGCGCCAACCGGAGGCCTCCATTGCCACCTACCCAGATGGGGTATTTTTCCACACTGCAGTATTCTCTCTCTCTCTCTCTCTCATCCACTTCATCTCCTCCTCTTCTCTTTCTTCTCTTTCTTTCTTTCTTTCTCCCCCTCTCCATCCTTAGTTTCATTCTCTTCTCCCCCGGCTCGACGCTGATCTATATCTTCTCCCCCTTTCCTTCTTGGCAGTCGGTCTATCTCCTTGGTGTCTTGACGATCCCCAGGCTAGATAATAGATCCCGAGTGACTGGCTCACCACCTGCATTCCGTTCGTTTGCCCGCCAACCTCCCTCTCTCAACCTGGCCATCCACGTTGCCAAGTTCATTCTTTCTTCCGTCTCCCAGGCCCCGGTTCTTCACAAAGCTTCCAACAACGAAGAACGGCCCGAGAACAATCCCATTGTTCATTCCCTCGTTGTGTAACCCATCCAGTCTGGTCCTGGATTTGGTCCTCCCAAGCGCCTCAATCTCGCTCTTTTGACCGCGCTCCGCAAATTCATTGATTCACCTCCGTCTGGTCCGGTCGGACTTTCTCAGCAGAGCTGGTCTCGCATCCACGTCCGCTGCCTCTTCGCCCGCTCAGAGTAACCTTCCCTTCATTGCACACAGCCTCCCGGCTTGATCATCCACCATGCAGTCGCTCCTCTTTCTGTCCCTGGTTGGACTCTCCGCCGCAACCACTCTCGACAAACGCAATGGCGGCGGAAGCGATGCCTTCGAAATTTTCTACGAAATGGTCAACGATGACCTCGCCCGCATCACCTTGACGGTCCTGGGCCTCATGGCCGCCTTCATCTTTCTCTGGAAGATCTGGTTCCGCATGTCCAGCCATCTCCGTCGTCTCGCCAGCTTCAACAATGACCGCCAGCGCTACTTCATGTCCGCGGACGACACCTTCGCCTCCATCAAGAACCATATCATCTATGCGCCCTTGTTCCGCAATCGCCACAACCAGGAGTTCCAGCTGTCCCAGGCCATCAACTTCGGCACCCTCCCCAGCCGCTTCCACGCCTTCATCCTGGTCGGCATCATCGTCATGAACGTCGTCGTCTGCGTCGTCACTGTCCCCTACAAGAAGGAGGAGGACAGCGTGGCGGGCGTCATTCGCAATCGTACCGGCACCATGGCCACCGTCAACCTCATTCCCCTCGTCTTGCTGGCGGGCCGGAACAACCCCTTGATCAAGCTGTTGCAGGTGCCCTTTGACACCTTCAATCTGATCCACCGCTGGCTTGCTCGCATTGTGGTCTGCGAATCCGTCGCTCACATCTTCGCCTGGGCGATTCCGAAGGCCCAAACCGGTATGCCTCCAGCTCTTAGTTCCCCAAGTCTTGATATAGATCGACTGACCATGAATAGCCGGTTGGGATATCGTCGGAATGGTGTTTGGAAAGAGCAGCTTTCTCCTCACGGGTTTGATTGTATGTGGTTCCGCTTAAAATTATGATATCTCCTATTGACGACTTCCAGGCCGGCTGCGCCTTCGTGGGGCTGATGGTGCACTCTCCCTCGCCCATCCGCCATGCTTTCTACGAGACCTTCCTCCACCTCCACATCGCCATGGCTGTGGTCGGCTTTGCCACGCTCTGGGTGCATCTGGACGGCCTTCCGGCGCAGAACTACTTGCTCGCAGCCATTATTCTCTGGGCTCTGGAGGTAAGATACTGTGTCTGACATCAGCAATTTCAACGTCTCTAACGCCTTCATAGCGCGCTGCCCGCATTGTCATCCTCTTGTACCGCAACTGCGGCCGGAACTCGACCACCGCCCTGGTGGAGGCTCTGCCCGGCGATGCCATGCGCATCACGATCAATATGGCCCGCCCATGGACCTTCCGGCCCGGCCAGCACATCTATCTGTACATCCCGGCGGTGGGATGGTGGAGCTCCCACCCGTTCTCTGTCGGCTGGAGCGAAGCCGAGGAGATCGTGACCGATGAGAAGGGTCTCCCCACCACCCGCCAAGATGTGTTTGGCACACAAAAGACGACGCTGTCGCTATTGGTACGTCGCCGCACCGGTTTCACCAACAAACTGTTCCAGCGGGCCCTGAGCTCCGTCGGCTCGCGGACCGTGTTTCGAGCCTTCGCCGAGGGGCCCTACGGCAGCATTCATTCCATGGACTCCTATGGTACGGTGCTCCTGGTCGCGGGTGGTGTCGGCATCACGCATCAGGTGCCCTTCGTGCGGCACCTCGTCCAGGGCCATGCCGACGGCACGGTGGCTGCGCGACGGGTCACCCTGGTGTGGATCATCCAGTCGCCCGAACACCTCGAATGGATCCGCCCCTGGATGACCAGCATCCTCGCCATGGAGCGTCGCCGCGAGGTCTTGCGCATCATGCTGTTCATCACCCGCCCCCGCAACACCAAGGAAATCCAGAGCCCCAGTGCCACCGTGCAGATGTTCCCGGGGCGTCCCAACATCGACACGCTGGTCGGCATGGAGGTCGAGAACCAAGTTGGGGCCATGGGTGTCCTTGTCTGCGGCAATGGCAGTCTGAGCGACGATGTGCGTCGTGTCTGCCGCAAGCGGCAGCACCAGACGCATGTCGACTTCATCGAAGAGAGCTTTACCTGGTAGATATTTGGCGATGGTTTTGTGTTTTGAAGGTTTGGTTATGTGAATAGGGATCAAGGAGTTGGGTTTACCTCTGAGTATATAGGTGACCATGTAGATAGTACTTCCATCTGTATGGCATTTTTCCAGGGCATCCATCATCTTCTACTCCGTAAGGTAATAACTACTCGTAGGAAGTACGGAGTAGGTAGATGGATCTCGATTAATAATCTGGGGAGACCGGAGACATCTCAAGCTTAGGTAGTATTGGTAAGCCGGATAACATCATCGCATTAATCATCACCATGAGCGGGGTTCTGAGGACGGTTTCTGCTTCTTATATCGGTCTGTTTCCCAAACCTCGATTCAATTGTTGCAATCAATTCAATCTCTTTGCTTCATCCAGTCCCATCCACCGCGCTCTTTCCACCATGAGTCGCCCCGACATTACTCTCTACACGGCCCAGACTCCCAATGGGATCAAGATCTCCATTGCTTTGGAGGAGCTGGGGTACGTCTTCTCTACCAGCTCTCCTACGGATCATGCAAGCTGACAATGACAGTCTCCCATACAAGGTCGAGAAGATCGACATCAGCAAGAACACTCAGAAGGAACCGTACGTCCCGGCCCTCCCATCCCCAAACCACCTACTGACCTCAGCATAGCTGGTTCCTTGAGATCAACCCGAACGGCCGTATCCCCGCATTGACCGACACCTTCACCGACGGCCAGAAGATCCGCCTCTTCGAGTCCGGCAGCATCCTCACCTACCTTGCAGAGCAGTACGACAAGGACCACAAGATCTCGTACCCGCGCGGCACGCGCGAGTACTACGAGATGATCAGCTGGCTGTACTTCCAGAACGCCGGCGTGGGCCCGATGCAGGGCCAGGCGAACCACTTCGTGCGCTACGCGCCCGAGCGCATCGAGTACGGCATGAATCGCTACGTCAACGAGACCCGCCGCCTCTACGGTGTGCTCGACAAGCATCTCTCCACCTCCTCCTCCGGCTACCTCGTCGGCGACCACGTCTCCATCGCCGACATCTCCCACTGGGGCTGGATCGCCTGCGCCGGCTGGTCCGGCGTTGACATCGACGAGTTCCCCCATCTCAAGGCCTGGGAGGACCGCATGGCTGCCCGTGAGGGCGTCGAGAAGGGCCGCCATGTGCCCTCTCCGCATACCATCAAGGATTTGCTCAAGGATAAGAAGGCCATGGAGGAGCACGCGGCCCAGTCGCGCGCGTGGATCCAGCAGGGTATGAAGGCTGATGCGAAGCACTAGGCTGTGTTCAGTTATTGCTGTCGTAAGTTAATGTCAGATTGTATTGCCTGGTGAATGAGTGGGAGACGTACTCCGTAAGTCGTAGGTTGAGGGGAGAAAGAGTGCGCTTAGTAAGCCACGTGACCACAAAATTGCCACCTCGGAGTTAGTTATATCGATCCTCCATCGCATTAGTTTCGACCATCCTGTCATATCACCATTACTACCCAATATTCCTACTAATCGTGTCGGCAACATGGCCTGGCGCAATCAAGGAATCACCGGTTCCAACAACATCCCTCTGGGCCGCAGACGCTTTGGAGGCGATGAACCTGCCGATGGAGACAGCTACGCTCCCTCAGGGGATAGTAGCGTCAAGCGAGGCAGAAGCCCTGTTCGAGGTATGTTCCTTTCACCCTCCTATTATTTCCTTAACATCACTAACTTGTCATAGCTGACCCCCCCGTCGACGGTGTGAAGAGGCGCAAGAAGCGCAACCGTTGGGGCGATGCGCAGGAGAACAAGGCCGCCGGTCTCATGGGCTTGCCCACGATGATCATGGCCAACTTCACCAACGAACAGCTCGAGGCGTATACTCTGCACCTGCGCATAGAGGAAATCAGCCAGAAGCTGCGGATCAACGATGTCGTGCCCGCGGATGGTGATCGGTGCGTTTGCCCTTCAAACTTTTCTTTCGCGCAACCCGCTAACAAAACTTTTCTGCAGGTCGCCGTCGCCCCCTCCCCAGTACGATAACTTTGGAAGACGTGTAAACACTAGGGAATACCGCTACCGGAAACGCCTCGAGGATGAGCGCCACAAGCTCGTCGAAAAGGCCATGAAGACCATTCCTAACTACCACCCGCCCTCTGATTACAGGCGGCCCACCAAGACCCAGGAGAAGGTCTATGTTCCAGTGAATGACTATCCAGAGATTAACTTCAGTATGATAACTAACCCTCTAACTCCTAACTGTCCCCGTATCGCGTGTATTTCATGACACAACCCCTCATCTTTCCTCTGCTCGAGTCGAGCCTCTGCGAAAGGCATCGCCTGTCGATCGCCTTTGGGCTCGCTTCTTGCTAACCCTTGCTGCTTGATGTTGCACTCATTTGAAACGTTGCTCTCCAAACCATTCAGAAACCAGACAACTAACACATAGCTCTTTGCTATCTTTTTAAAGTTGGCTTACTCATAGGTCCTCGTGGAAACACCCTGAAGAAGATGGAGTCTGAGTCCGGGGCCAAAATTGCTATCCGTGGCAAGGGCTCCGTCAAGGAAGGAAAAGGTCGCTCTGACGCCGCTCACGCTAGCAACCAGGAAGAAGATCTTCACTGTTTGATCATGGCAGATACCGAGGAAAAGGTCAACAAGGCGAAGAAGTTGGTGCACAACGTTATTGAAACGGTGAGTTCTCTTTTCAGATGGTGTATGTTTCTTTGCTAATCCACCACAGGCTGCCTCTATCCCCGAAGGCCAGAACGAGCTCAAGAGAAATCAGCTCCGAGAGCTGGCTGCTCTTAACGGTACCCTTCGTGACGACGAAAACCAGGCTTGTCAGAACTGTAAGTGCCTGTTTCCCTGCATTCTCCTGACAAAGTACTGACGATGTCTAGGTGGCCAAATCGGACATCGCAAGTACGACTGCCCCGAGCAGCGTAACTTCACTGCCAACATCATTTGCCGTGTCTGTGGCAATGCTGGACACATGGCTCGTGATTGTCCCGATCGCCAGAGAGGCACTGATTGGCGAAACAACGGTGGATACGGTGGTCCCCGGAGAGCTATTGGTGGAGGTGATGCTGTCGATCGTGAGATGGAGGTAAGCAATTTCCCAACCCATTGTCTTATGAATGTAGATACTGACGTGATCATAGCAACTCATGCAAGAACTCTCGGGAGGTGCTCCCGGCGAAGATGGGCATATGCCCCGCCGCATTGAAGCCGGCCCTGGCCAGGACTACGACGACCGCGATGCGAAGCCCTGGCAGCGTGGACCTCCACCCAGTGACGTGGCTCCCTGGCAGCAGAGAGGCCGTGACCGTCGGGATGACTACGGACCCCGCGACAACGGCAGTGCACCTCCATGGGCCCAGAGCCGCGGTGGAGATTACGGATACGGCTCCCAAGGTGGCTACGGAGCGCCGGGAGCTGCTCCCTGGCAACAACCTCCTCCCCCTCCTGGCGGTGCCCCAGCAGCCTATGGATATGGTGCCTACGGTGCCTACGCTGCTCCGCCCGCCCCTGGTATGGGAGCTCCTGGCGCTCCTCCGGGCATGAGTGTCCCTCCTCCGCCTCCGGGTATGCCGTCCATGTACTATGGTGCTGGTAGTCCTCCTCCTCCGCCCCCACCTGGTGACGGGCCTCCCCCTCCGGTATGTATCCTTTCTCCCTAGCATCTTCGAAGTGAACAGCAAAGGACTAACAGGATGTATAGCCCCCGAGTGAGCAGCCGCCACCCCCTCCCCCTCCTGCGTAAGCGTTATGCGGGACTGTGTTGCTTAACGTCTCAGTTATGTGATGAGAGACGCAAGTGGTTGAACGGTGGAGGGTTATCTGGATTGCAGGGAACGAAAAGTGATCTGTTCCTATTACTAACGTTGCTTTTGTACCATCTGGCATTCTCGTTTTCTCTAGTTTATTGCAGTAGTGGTCCGTTTGTTATATTTGTAACATGAGCTGGTGAATGACATTTATTAGGGGTTGACGCTGTTCAGCATCTGCATAGAGTAGATTCGTATACTTCTCTCGGGGAGCCTCGCGGGGAGACACCCTACCTGGGCTTAAGATTTTTCGTGCAACATCTTATTTGAGATAATTAATGAATAGTAGTAGCAATTATTTTGCATCATATTGTATTTGAATGATGCGGAGATGACTTCGATTAACCATTGGAGATGCTCGCTAAACTAGGGGCGCGGCGGCCTCAGGCCCGTCAGGCATTCTCCGAGATGATCTTTCTCTCTTCTTCTCCCCTCTCGTGTATTTGCTCCCTTGGCCTGACTACCTCTGCTTCACAACTGCACAGTTAATGGGAATTCCCTCTCGGTCTAGAACGATCGACAGCCGGGAAAAGAGACTCTGTATCTTCCGCTGTGACAAGGAAAAAAGTGGACCGCGGAATACATCATCGACCTCCCGTCCACCGCCAATATTTACACAGCATTCCACGAGTATAGAACGCTGTACAACATGCAAGAACCCGCGAGTACGTCTCCGCCCTCGTCGTCCCACTCGCACCGACGACCCTGGCAGACACACTCCAATCGCACGCCATCGCATCCTCAACCGCTGGAGTCATCGTCCGTCGCCAGAGCGCCATCACGCGTGTCGGCGTCGGCGACGGCGTCTTCAGCGCGCTCGACGAAATGGTGGCGCATTCGGTTCTTCCGCGGCATGGTGAACGATATCAAGCGACGAGCGCCGTACTACTGGAGCGATTGGACCGATGCGTGGGATTATCGCGTCGTCCCCGCGACGGTCTACATGTATTTTGCCAATATCTTGCCTGCGCTGGCTTTCTCTCTCGATATGTTCGAGAAGACTAATCAGAGTTACGGGGTCAATGAAGTGCTGCTGGCGTCGGTCCTCGGTGCGGTGGTCTTCTCGCTCTTTGCGGCGCAGCCGTTGGTGATCGTAGGCGTGACCGGTATGTTGCTGCCCTCGGTTGGGTTGCGGGAAAAAAGGCTGATGATGTGAAGGTCCTATCACGGTGTTTAACTACACGGTTTATGATATTATTTCGCCGCGCGGGACGCCATATCTCGCCTTTATGTGTTGGATTGGAATGTAAGTGCTTGCATCATTTCGACTCGAACCGCCTAGAGTGGAATTGGCGCTAACAGGCCGCAGTTGGTCACTGATCATGCACTGGATTCTGGCTATCACCAATGCTTGCAACGGCCTGACCTATGTCACTCGGTTCTCCTGCGACATCTTTGGGTTCTACGTGGCCTTCGTCTACCTCCAGAAAGGGATCCAGGTGCTCACCCGGCAGTGGGAGGGCGCCGGAGAGACGTCCGCGTACCTGAGTATCATGGTTGCCCTGTTGGTGCTCATGAGCGGCTGGATCTGCGGCGAACTCGGGAATAGCAGCCTTTGGCAGCGATACGTGCGGAAGTTCCTCGAGGATTACGGCACGCCCTTGACCATTGTCTTCTTCACTGGATTCGTCCATATTGGCCACATGAAAGATGTCGAAGTGGCGACCCTGCCCACCAGCAAGGCCTTCTTCCCCACGATGGATCGTGACTGGCTGGTGCATTTCTGGGATATCGACGTGGGGGACATCTTTCTCGCGATCCCGTTCGCTCTGCTGCTTACCATCCTCTTCTACTTTGACCACAATGGTGAGCCTAACTCATAGATTGCGGAACGAAGCTAACCCGGCCCTCAGTGTCGTCTCTTATCGCCCAGGGGACTGAGTTCCCGCTGCGGAAACCAGCGGGATTCCACTGGGATCTCTGGCTCCTCGGCCTCACCACCTTTGTCGCTGGGCTGTTGGGAATCCCCTTCCCGAACGGTCTCATCCCCCAGGCCCCCTTCCACACCGCCGCGCTCTGCGTCACTCGCGATGTCGCCGACGAGGACGACACCAACAAGGGCAAGGCCGTCCGGATCACCGACCACGTCGTCGAACAGCGAGTCAGTAACTTCGCGCAGGGCCTGCTCACTCTCGGCACGATGACGGGGCCGCTCCTGATTGTCCTCCACCTAATCCCTCAGGGCGTCATGGCGGGGCTCTTCTTCATCATGGGCGTCCAGGCGCTCCAGGGCAATGGCATCACGCAGAAACTCCTCTTCCTCGCGCAGGACCGCAACTTCACCCCGGCGTCCAACCCGCTCAAGCGGGTGAAACGGCGCAGCGCCGTCTGGGCGTTCGTCATCCTGGAGCTTATCGGCTTCGGCGGCACTTTCGCCATAACCCAGACCATTGCCGCTATCGGCTTTCCCGTCATCATTCTGCTTCTCATTCCCGTCCGCGCGTTCCTCATGCCTCGTTGGTTCACTCCTGAGGAGCTTGCGGCTCTGGATGCGCCCACCGCCAGTCCGTTCACGATGGAGAGTGTGGGCGGGGCGCATGGTATTGATGATCGCGTCGCGTCTATCTCTGTTCCTAACGACGGAACTCGCAGCCCGTCTAAAACTACTGGCGATAATGCGCTTATGATGGGTCGTGCTGAGAGCTCGTCCGAGTCGCCAGTGGAGGATGATCTGGAACGGGGAGAAGCGTATGAACTCCAGACCCGGTCGGGGGTTCGACGACGGAGCACGACCAGTCGAGTGGATTGAACAATGTCCTGTTAATAGTAGTATCGGTGGAGCGAGCAGTCTGTCGATATGAGCCTTGGGTAGATGTATATATTCACGTGACAGGCTGACCGCCCAGCGCGGTCAACTTTTTCTGCCTCCAAAAAAGAAGAATTTCCAGAACAGCATCACCAGACAAAAAGAATCATGTCGTCCTCATCCCCAGAGCCCAGAATGGAAAACGACCACTCGTCATCGGACGAGCATGAACACGAAAACCCCGAACTGCAGACCCGCGCGCCGAAGCGACGCCGTCTCTCGGAGACTTCAGAAGACGACGAGTACGTCGCCGCCCCGACGCCGCTCCCCACGCTCTCCCGCATCAAGAAGAAAGAGCCCAAAGATGAGAACAAGGACACCTCGACGGGGACCGACAATCCGGTGCTGATTAAGGATGCGCTGGAGATGGGGCTGCAGGACGCAGGCGAGTCGTCGTTCAAGGCGCTCAACGTCGCACCGTGGCTGATCGGCTCGCTGACCACCATGGCCGTGCGCAAACCCACCGCTATCCAGCGGGCGTGTATCCCCGAGATACTGAAGGGGCGCGACTGTATCGGAGGCAGCCGCACCGGTTCCGGAAAGACGATTGCGTTCGCGGTGCCGATTCTGCAGAAGTGGGCGGAGGATCCGTTCGGCATCTTTGCCGTCGTCTTGACCCCGACTCGGTACCTCACCCATTCATTCTAAATTCACCATCAGAGTGAACATACTAACGTCAACAGGGAACTCGCCCTGCAAATCTACGAACAATTCAAAGCCATCTCCGCTCCCCAGAGCATGAAGCCCGTCCTCATCACCGGCGGCACGGACATGCGGCCGCAGGCGCTCGCCCTCTCGCAGCGGCCACACGTCGTCATCGCGACGCCCGGCCGCCTCGCCGACCACATCCAGACATCAGGTGAGGACACGGTGCGCGGACTCAAGCGCGTGCGCATGGTTGTGCTGGACGAGGCCGACCGGCTCCTCGCCCCGGGCCCAGGCAGCATGCTGCCCGACGTGGAGACGTGCCTGTCGGCGCTGCCGCCGTCCAGCGAGCGGCAGACGCTGCTGTTCACGGCGACGGTGACGCCGGAGGTGCGCGCGCTGAAATCCATGCCGCGCGCCAGCACCAAGCCGCCCGTCTTTGTGACGGAGATCGAAGCCGGCGGCACCACCAGCGCCGGCGCCGACGGGGCCGCCCCGAAATCGACCCTCCCCCCGACACTCAAACAGACGTACCTCAAGGTGCCCATGACGCACCGCGAGGCGTTTTTGCACGTGCTGCTCTCGACGGACGGCAACGCCGGCAAGCCCGCCATCATCTTCTGCAACCACACCAAGACGGCGGACCTGCTGGAGCGCCTGCTGCGCCGGCTGGCGCACCGCGTCACCTCGCTGCACAGTCTGCTGCCGCAGTCGGAGCGGTCGAGCAACCTGGCGCGGTTCCGCGCGTCGGCGGCGCGCATCCTCGTGGCAACGGACGTCGCCAGTCGTGGTCTGGATATCCCCTCTGTGGCGCTGGTGGTCAACTACGACGTGCCGCGGAACCCGGATGACTACGTGCACCGCGTGGGTCGTACGGCGCGTGCGGGGCGTCGTGGTGAGGCGGTCACGCTGGTCGGCCAGCGCGATGTGCAGCTTGTGCTTGCGATCGAGGAGCGGGTCGGTCGGCAGATGGAGGAGTGGAGCGAGGAGGGCGTTAGTGTTGAGGGGCGGGTTGTGCGCACGGGCGTGCTGAAGGAGGTGGGCTCGGCAAAGCGCGAGGCCTTGATCGAGATCGAGGAGGGGAGGGATGTGCTGGGCAGAAAGCGGAACAAGCTCAAGAAGGTGCGGTAGACGTGTGGTGTATATTAGAGTTAGAAGCTAAAGCTACTGCGTCGATTGTAAAGCGAATGCATGTTGTGGTATCATTGGCTATATAACCTGTCTATGCATATTCGGGCATCCGGTCTGTGTCCGGGCAGATATTCTCCCAACCAAGTCTAATTAATCCAAATGCACCTCGTAACTCCGCTCAACCCGACCAAGTCGCGTCGCGACGCTGATCACCCGTCTTCATCAGCTTCAGCAACCCATCCACGGCGTCACCCCGCTGCGACGGCGGATCTGCGCCGTCGCGCTTGGTCTCGCGCGGAGACCCGTCCGCGGGGGGACTGCTCAGCTGCATAGGGGAGGTAGCTCCCACATCCGCGTGACGCGGCGGGTAGATCTGCTGCGTTGGGGTCTTCATGGGGTCCTCCACGCTCGACGGGGCGGATTCGTTGGGGGTGGAGGAGGGCTTGAGCTCGGCGGCGGGCTGGAGGCCGCGCGCCGTCGGTAGCGTGTCTGTCTGCGGACGGGGGGTCGTGGGCTCGGGCAGCGATAGACGGGGGTATTTACGGCTGTGTTCCTCCAGCTGTGACAGACGACGATCGAATTGGGGGTCTCGGACGTGGCGCATGGCGCTTTGGAGGCGGTTGCGGAGGAGGCTTGCTTTCTGCGCGTGGTATGGTTAGTGCGGCGTTGCCGTGGCAGGGCATGGTAGGTAGCTGACCTCTTGGATAAAAAGTTTGCGCGTCTCGGGGTCTTCAGGCACGGTGCGCGCGTCCCTTGCCTTTGGGGGGTGGGTATCTGTGGAATCGTGTTGTTGTTGTTGGGGTTGCTGATCGGAGGGTGTCTGCGTGTCCATCGCGTCGGGCTGTTGGTGAGGCTATAACAGTCAACGCACATTCACTGGGTTGTCGCGTGGTGCGCGTGCTGAATAGGAGCACATACCCTTACCTCCTCTTGGGGAGGGATCTGTGAACGAGCGTCATCCGGGGCCGGGACGGGCTGGGAGTCTGTCCGCGGGTCGCGGGATACCGCGTCGGAGGGTTTGCTGAGGGACACGTCGGAGTGCACCTGGTCGATGGATCTCTTCTGGCCTGCGAATAAGGGCGAGGGGAGGAGCTTTTTGGGAGAGGAGAGCGTGTCGATGCGCGAGCGTTTGCTCGGGGAGGTAGCGTGGCGCGGGGAGAGACACGCGTTGGGGGTCTTTTCGCCGAGAATGCGTCTGCCGTCTTTGACGGGACTGAGGTAGGAGGGCGTTGGGTTCATGGTTGGGTTGTTTGTAGGTGAGTTGGACGAGAAGGGTGTCTGGGGAGGTGGATATAGAAGTTCTCCGGGATGGGGACGGGGGAGAAAATGTAGCTATGGAGGGAAGAGGATGAAAAGATTGTAGGAATGAGATTGAAGGGGTTTAAACTCTACCGGTCATGTCGACACGTTCAACACGAGGAAGAGGAGGATTGAAGAGGTAAGGGAAGAGGAATGAAGCGTACTCCGTAGTGCGTAGTGGCGGAGAAGAGCGTGTCTCGTGAAGTTCGCGTGGAGGTGGATTCCATCGCGTGTTGCGTATTACCGTAATGTATACTTCCACTCCCTTCAATAATGGATTATTATGATTATACAGTTATTGCTTTACTGTGTCTCTTATTTATATGCCTTTGAATATCCATTCATTCTATAATAAGAGGAATAGAATAGAACGCGATTTTTTATATGTGGCTGTTGCTTGTATATATCCTTCCCAATCCGGAACCATCACTCGCACCTTCCTCTTCTGGACTGTATCTTCCACCTCTTCCACTTCTACTTCTCTCCCTCTTCCTCATCCTCTTCTATCCTTCTCCTCTCTACTCCTCTTCTTCTAACCCATTCATCCTCATTTTCACTTCTATCTCACTACCGATCTCATGACCTGTCCCTAACAATGACATCATCGCGTGCATTCCAGAAGGAATGGAATCCCTCCATCTCCATGAAACCACCGAAAACAGCAAATCCTCTCATCCTCCGACTCACGATTCGGACAAGGACAAAGACAAGGAACAACAGCGTCTTCTGACCGTGGGGCGAAAACCCTCGCTCCGATCACCTCTCCCCGAGCTTTCCCCGCATTCACCCAAGGATCATCCCATCCTCCTCATCATCGCCGTCCAGTCGATCATTCCCCTTTGAAACACCCCAGAATTGCATCATCAGCGTCGTCCTCCACCGAAGTCAGCTCCTCTCCTCTTCAGAACCCTCTTCGTTACACAACATCTTCCCCAGCTCTCCTTCCCCCTTTTTGCATCTGTGTTGCTCCGCTTTCCAGCAACTTCCCTGCCATCCGCCATGCTTTCAGCATTGGCGGTGTTTGTAGCCGCCTTGCACACGACCGTGGGCGCCGCGTCCAGTCTAACACCGCCCGTCCTCCCTCTCATCGTACGGAATCCCTATCTCAGCACCTGGTTGGGAAATGCCCGCGATGTGCCTTGGTCCAAATGGCCCATGTTCTATACCGGAGAGGAACTCGGCCTCTCCGTGATGGCCCATATCCCCAGTACGGATACGCTCTATCCGCTGGTGGGCAAGCCTCAGGACTCCCTGTCTCATGGTGCTGGGTATGCGCAGAACCGATCTATTTACTCCCATTCAACCCCTAACAAGGACCCTCAGGTCACCATCCGTCGAATTCCCCAGCTATCTGGGCGCTAAATACGACGCTTCGACAACCAACCTGACTTACCGGATCGATGTGGCGGCCGCATCCTCTGCCGCTCCACTGGAAATCACTGTCTCGTTCCTCTCGCCCATCACTCCCACTTCGACTCTGCGGCAGTCGATCCCGGCATCTTATGTCACCATTTATGTCGACGGCGACGTTGCTGTTGATGTCTACATGGACGTCAACGGACGCTGGGTGACTGGTGACGCAGGGAGTCGAATCACCTGGGAGTACGACACGTTGGATGCTGCGGACAAGAACCGCACCCTCCAGCGCTGGAAGTTGCAGAGGGAATCCCAATTGCTGCTTTCGGAGATCCGTGATCGCGCAGAATGGGGTTCTCTTCATTTCACCGGTCCCGCTGTTAGTTTTGACTGATGATGAATTACCACGGCTTATATGGCTGACCATTCCAGGATGCCAAATACCAATCGGGGGAGGCTTCGGCCGTGCGACGTACCTTTGCCGATCGAGGAGCCCTGCGTAACGAGAATGATAATGCCTTCCGAGCCGCCGGAGACCGAGAGCCAGTGTTTGCGTTTTCCAAGTCCTTTGTCCCAGGCAAGACAACTGGACTCGTTAGTGACAGTATCACGTTCACCGTGGCTTTGATCCAGGATCCTGTGGTACAATTTGCTTCCTCCCGAGGCTTGACTTTGATGCGCCCACTTTGGAAATCCTGGTTCCCAAGTGTCGACTGGCTGCTGCACTTCCACTATAACGACTTCGACAAGGCAGGCGCCCTCGCTTCTAACTACTCCAACCAACTGGCGAAGGATGCCTATAAGTCAGGGGCCTATGATTATGCCGATATCGTGGCCCTCAGTGCCCGTCAAGTAATGGGAGCAACCACCTTCTCTGGAACGCCCGACGACCCGATCCTCTTCCTCAAGGAGATCTCCTCAAATGGAAATTTCCAAACGATCGATGTCATTTTCCCATCATTCCCATTCTTCCTGTATACGAACCCTCGGTGGCTGGCTTATCTACTGGAGCCATTGATCGAGCATATGCTCAGCGGACAGTACCCGAATACTTACGCTATGCACGATCTAGGAACGCACTTCCCGAACGCGACAGGCCACCCTGATGGCAATGACGAATACATGCCCGTCGAGGAGTGCGGTAACATTCTCATCATGGGTCTGGCTATCGCCAACTCGTTGCGTTATCCTGAAGACTCCGCCGCCTCGTCCATCTGGTCTACCCAGGGTACCACCCAGATCGACGACGAGAACCCCGGATATTTCCCTCTGGACAACCTTCAAGAGCATTCAGGCATCGACCATCAGGATGGTAAATGGGGTGGTGGTATTCAGGGCCGCCGTCTCGCCGAAAAGTGGATCCAACGCAGCTATAAGCTTTGGAAGCAGTGGACTGGCTATTTGGTGGACTATTCCTTGGAGCCTGCAAATCAACGTAGGTTTTGGATCCCTCAAGCACGCCAATATGCTACTAACAGGATAAGTTTCGACCGACGACTTCGCTGGATGGCTTGCGCTCCAGACCAACCTGGCCCTGAAAGGCATCATCGGCATCAACGCTATGAGCAAGTTGGCTGAAATTGCGGGACACGACAGTGATGCATCGTACTACAAGGTAAACCGTCTGTGACTTGGATACAGCCAGTTTTACTCACCATCTATAGAACATTTCCGACACCTACATTGCTAAATGGGAAGAATTCGGCATGTCGAGGGACAAGACTCATGCCAAACTCGCCTACGACTGGTACGGGTCGTGGACAACCATCTACAACCTCTATGCCGACGCCCAGTTGTGTTTCCACCTGGACGGCACCGACCTGGCTTCGCCGCCGAGTACGACGACCGACGGTCAGAAACCTCTGCTTCCTTCCCCCCGTCCTGAAAAGCCTGGCTTCGTCCCCCGCCACATCTACCAACGTCAGTCTATCTGGTATCACTACGTCCGCCAGAAGTACGGCCTGCCCCTGGACAGCCGCCATCTGTACACTAAGACGGACTGGGAATTCTTTGCCATGGCAGTCGCTAGCGAGGATACGCGGAGTGAGATTCTCGAGTCCGTCGCCCAATGGGTCAATGAGACCGTGACCGATCTGCCATTCACGGACCTGCACAACACTGAGGGTAAAGGAGAGTTTCCCGGGCCGAACTTTTACGCGCGACCTGTGGTCGGTGGACACTTTGCCTTCCTGGCGCTGGAGCGGGCGTGTGGTGGACGGGCCATGAAGGGGCTGTCCTTCCTGGACGGCCATGATGCGTCCGACTCGTCCGTTTCGGCAGAGACGATCGCGGAGTGGAATGCTGCTGCGGAGAAGGCCGCTCGGACGTTCCATGGTGGCTGGCCCTCGTTTGGATTTGGGTCTGAGGGCGAGGAGCTGTAGCTGATCCTGTTTGGGCATCTACTAGGAATAGGATAGCGTGTAGGGAGACATTGAATGATTCGGGTGAGCTACGTGAAATTACATACCGTGTAGACGGCGTATGTCCATATGCTAGCGGTATCTCAAACCGTCATACGCCGGGGGAGCAAAGCTACTAGAACAGATAAAATTCTCACTTTCCTATTTTTTGACATTCAAATCAAATTACATGGGGGAGCCATTTTAAACCTAACGCGAGGGCCGAAGATGAAAGTTCGTCTCGAATCGTTTCCCGCCATTCCCATGATCACCGTCTGCGCGTCTCATTTCCAGGAAGAAAAGGCATCACTTAAGGGGTCTTGTATTCCTTTCCATATTTTTTCCACATTTTTAGTAAAAAAAGAAAATTGTGTGTTCATGTTTTCACCGTGTCACTCGTGAATATCCAATCTCAAAGCACAATCTGCACATCACAGACAGCGTCTAAGAAAGGGACGGCAGGACGAGCGAGGCGAGAGAACTTATTTGGCGCCCAGGCTGGGGAAGTTCTTCTCGTCGACGGGGACGGGGGCAGGGCCACCACGCTCGCCACGGGGGGCACCGGAGCCACGACCACCGCGGGCACCGCGACCGCCACGGCCGCCACGGCCACGGGGGCCGTTGCCAGGGCCGCCGCCGGAGCGGGGGGGCTCGACGAAGCGCATGTCGACCTCGAGAACGTTCTTCTCCTTGCGGTGCTTCTGGCGCTGGGCCTTCTCACCCGCGGGCTTGATGTACTCCTCCTCCTCTTCGTTGCGCTTGAACTCCTTGGCGGCAGCCCACTTCTTGTCGGCCTGGGAGCCCTCGTTGGGGGCACGCACGGGCTTGGCGCTGAGGTCGCCGGCGGCGGCCTTCTCAGCCAGGTAGTCGGCGTAGGACTTGGTCTTCTCGGCGGGCTCCTCCTCACCGGCGGGGGTCTGGGGCTCGTTCTCGTCGTTCTGAGCGATCTTCTCGCCCGCGCGCTCGTCGTCCCATTCCTTCTCGCCGCTCTGGCCGCCCCAGCCCTGGCTCACCTGCTTCTTGGAGTCACTGTTTCGTCAGTACCGGTCTGTCCAGATGGGAAGGGGAGGGAGGAGCTTACGTCTGGCCGGTGCGCGACTGGCGGTCACGACGGCCGCCGCCGCCCTCGCGACGGCGGGGAGGCTGAGCGCCATCCTCGATGGGCTTCTCGCGGTTGTTGTTGCGGCCCGCGTTGCGGTCACGGAAAGCTATAGACGTTCGAATCAGCTGGATGCCCGCGATACCTCAACTTCAAGACGAGGAACGTACCAGCTTCGTTGCCGCTGAAGCGTCCACCACGGCGGCTGTTGTTGTTCTCGGGACGAGGCTGGCTGGGAGCTTCCTTGGGAGCGTCGCGCTTGCCAACCCGGGGCTGAGGTCTGTCTACAGCCCTCGTGGGAGGAGCGGGCTCTCTGTTGGGGTCCAATTCAGGGTCATTGCCTGTGGAAGACCGCGAGCGACCGGTTAGACGATGGATCGTTGAATGGGAGGGATGAGATCACGGGGAGAAGAGGGAGGAATTACCAAGAAGCTCGTAGAGGTTCTAGCGAAGCGTCAGCTTTGTTTCTTGGATTGATAGTCTTTTTTTTTTTTTGCCGACTTCGGAGAGGTCTCTGTTTCCTCAGGAATTGGGGCTTCGGAATTCGTCCCTTTCTTCGTTCGTCCGAATTGATTTTGTTGATCGCATTGGAAAGCCAATCGTTTCGGAGCGAAGCGACAGAAAAAAGCAAACAATCCCAAAAAAAATATGAAACCATATAAAAGCACACCAATTCCAACAGAAATCAAGAGAACCCTCCAAAATGTCCACAGGAAAAAGCGAATAGAATCGCACACATACCTTGGACCGGACGTCCGCCATGACGCCTGGGTTTATGAGGGGCCTTCCGGGGGAAGGCTCACCGGTTATCGCAGCAATTCGGATCCGGAAGAATCGGGAGAGAGCGGCGAGAAAGGCAGAAACCTGAACAAGGCCTCTCCTTCGCGATATCGAGTAGAGATGGGGGGGTGGAGGAAGGGATGATGATCTCTTGGGGAAAGACGATGGAGGTGAGGGAAGGGAGGGTGTGGATGGGATTAGGTCACGTTTGTGGTTGCGCCCGCCGAATCGGGAAAGGTGCGAAGTGCTGCTAAGCGAATCCGGCACCGGCGCCGCTGATTGGGCGGCCGGAGCTAGGGCTTAGGGTATTGGCGTCACCGGGACCTGCAGATGCCATCATCGTCTCTCAACGTCACATACATCACTCGCCTGTAGATTCGGGTACAACTTTATATGTCCAGGTAAATAGGTACTACATAGAATCGAACAGATATCCCCTCCGATCCAGCTGCGCCGCAGTCGCTCGCCGAGGCATATCCCGTCATGCCGGTCATGTACAAGTAAACAGCCACCCCATTTTCTTCGCAACAAGGACCTTTTCTTTTCTTTGTTTTCACATCACACGACCAAACAGAAAATCAAATGGTATCAACCGCAGAACGCCAGGCAATGCTTCCGAATAAAACTTTTTTTTGTTCTTCCGATTCCAGAATCGAAGGAGGCAGAGATCAGCTCGCGGCAAAAATAACGCCGGCTGGAAGTCTCCTGGTGCCAAAAGTGCTTCGACAGGAGCGCGGAGATGAGAAAGGAAAGGTAAAAGACAGCGTCGACAGGAGCGGGGATACGCAGAGAAAGACGATTATGGCTAGTCAATGGCGTGTATTATTTTGCTCGTAACTGAAGGGCGTCTGGAAATGCATGCTGGCACTCAGGCCGAACGGGTCCGCATCGAGCATGGGTTCGTAATTGCCCAGTAACTGATTCGCGTTGCCGTAGGCACCATTCGGCCCTTCGCCCCCATGAGGGTTGAACTGCGACATGCCTTGGGACCCCATAGCATGGGAGCCGGATACGGATGCCGCATTGAACCCTGGGACGTAGGGCGAGGCGCCGACGGACGACTCATGTTCTTCGTCGATGAGGTCGGCCTGAGCATCGTATTCTTGTTCTGTAGAGACGCTGGTTAACCTCACCATCTCGTGAAAACGCCATACGTAAAATTGCGTGCGGTAAACTTACCTAACTGATCGTAATGCTTCTGGAACGGGGACGGGTAGTACGCCGAAGGTAGGCGGGGGGCGCGGGGCCCCGTACCACCTGGGACCGTCGACTTGTCGGTCGACTCGGGTTGACCGATGCTCATTGGCGGGGAGGCATGGCTGATGTTGCGCGAATGTGACAACACCTGCGAGCGAGCCTGCTGCGGATCGACGCCCACGGGGGACATGGCTCCCTGGAACCCAAAGCCCGGAGACTTGGCGTGCGACGGCGACGAGACCTGGGATGAGGGAGTGGCCTGGAACTGCGGCGACGGGATCCCGTAGGCACCGTCCCGGTTCTGGGCCATCCCGAACGGCTCTTTCGGAGCGATACCGGTCGGGTGTCTCTGAGCCGAGTTGCGGTTCAGAGCCGCTCGCTCCAGGGAGGATGGGGGTTTGGAGGCCATGGGAGCGGCCGGCTTGGTCTGAGGACCGCCGGGTGCCCCGGCCTTGAGACGCAATTCTGCCTGCACATCGATTCCTAGGGAGCGGTTAACGACGATGAGGTGCGATAGAGGTCGAAAAGCAACGAACCTTTCTCCAGTAGGATACGTTCGAGCAAGGAGTTCTTATATCGCAGCATCAAACATTCATCGGCGGCGGTGCGGTGATTCTGCTGCAGGGTCTGCAGAGTCTCTTCATTCCGCTTGATGGTCGACTCCAGCTGACGGATGTACTCGGTGCGACGCTCTCGAAAGGCGGCCTGGGCCTGACGATTGCGTTGCTTCCGTTCCTCGGAGGTAGCATAGATCTAGAAAGAAGGTTAATTAAGGTCGAGCCTTAGCGGACGATCGGGGACGAGGGTATGACGGCGGGGGGTTCAGATAAGGATGCATGAACACATGGGAGAGATAAAGCAAGCGAAGAGAAAGAAGGTTATCACGATGAAGCCGTATGAATGCGAGATGGTGAGTGGTGGAAGATAAGCAGGGACCAAACAGAAGGGGGGACGATAAAAAAGAAAATGGAAAAATAAAAATAAGAATGATAAACGCCGTGCGGGGCCCCGGATTGAGGGAAGGATCGATAGATATGATTTGATATGAATTGATAATGGGAATTGATAGGGACAACTTCCACAGACTTTAAATCGCTGGCATCTCCCTCTGAAAGAAGAATAAGAAAAAGAAAAACAAAAGACCTTACGTACCGGCTTTCTTCCCCCCTTTCGTTTCTGGGTCTGGGCGACATCCTGCGTTAGACTCTCCCCCTCCGGATCGGGCGTGGAGACGGCGGAACTGATTGATCCCTCGAGCGTGGGCTCGCTCTTCGGGACGACCGGGTCCATGGCCGTGTCATGTTGAGCGGAATTAGAGGTCTCGACCATAGAGACCATTGAGACGAGGAGAGGAGGGGGAGGTTGAGAAGGTTGGGGGAGGAGAGGCTGACTGTCGTCTTGTCTTGACTTGTCTTGGAGGCGTTGGAGGTCCTCACGTGGTGGGATTATGCCCAAACGGGATGATCACGATGAACAAAGAAGGCCCGAGAACGAGAAAAGAAGGACACCCGAAAAGGAAAAAAACAATCCAATTCCGGACGATGCCACCAAAGGGAAAAGGCGAGAACGCGATATATCAGATCTCCAACATCCAAAGATAACCACCCCAGATAGGATATCCTATACCCAGTCAGGTAGGGAACTAACGGTCAATCCCCCCTGGACTGATCAAGCGCCCGGATAAAGAAAATCCAGAACAAGGAAACGACAGAAGGACTTTTCCCGGCGGCGGGGGGGCGTGGACGACTTCCAGACGCAGGAAACGCGCGGCTGGGCGGCAAAGAAAGGGACGTGCGAAGGGCTGTGTTCGACAGAGGAGTTATAGTGACATAAAGGAAATTGTGTGATTGTGAGATAACCAGCACGAAGGACAGAGAGTCGGGGGGGAAGGGGAGGGAATGGTGGGAAGATGTGAGGTAAAATTATTTACTAAAAAGAACCCGGATGAGAATTTCTTATTATTTCAGAGAAAAAAATGGGGGGAAGAGAAAAAAAAGACCAAGTGAGACCGAAAGGGAAAAGAGAAGAAAAAAAAAAGAAAAAAGAAAAAATTGGGGTCAGTTCGCCTCGAGAGGGTTTGGTTCGTTTGGTCCGTTTGGGTCAGATGGAGGGGGGGGCAAAATGTAAGAAAGAGTATTGTTCGGCTTTTCCCTACCACTACTAGTATGTACTACGGAATACTCTTTCCTTTTTGCCCTGGCTTGACCGGAATCCTCAGTTCAGCATGGTCGACTTGGCCTTCCTCGTCATCCTGGCTGCTTCTTTGCCTCGCCCGCGTTTCTTTGCTTTTTCCCTCACTCCCTTGGATGTCCTGATGTCCCTCTCCTGACGGCTGTCCTCGGCGGCGGTACGATCCACTCCCACTCCCACTCCAAGGCCGAAGATCCGCCTGGTCCAGCGACTCGACTCGTTAGGGCCTCCGTGCGGCGTTGAGTGACGCGAGTGGGTGCTTTCCCCATGCAGGCAATGGGTGGAGAGGCTACTACACAGTCCTTGATGCCTGGAACGTGCGTATTTACAATACTCTACAATAGTCAGAATAGTAGTATTCCGTAGTCCGTACCTAGTGTGAAGGGACTCATGTCTGTGATCGCATGGTCTCAGCGACCTGTCCATTGTCCATCGTTCCATTGCGCTGGACAATGATCTTGATCATGGTACAATTGTGACTGCGAGAGCCCAGCGGCAAGAGTGAGATGTCCGCGGAGAAGGTCCGCCAGCTGTCAGAGTTTTCCGGTGCGGGAGTACGTGTGCCGTCGAAGGTCGACCTGGTACATCTCTCCATGTCCTCGACTCAACTCCGTCTACCCGTCCATCTGACGACGGATCTTCAGAGCGTTGACAAAGTGTCATGGGATCGATGACTTCTCAATGCCGGAGGCCTTGCAGTCTTCTCGCTAGTCCTCTGCACAGATTTCAACTCTCGAGACGTCCATGTCCGTTGTAAAGAGGTAAATCCGATACCGGCAGTACACTCCGGTACCATGGGTAGTCGATTCGGCCCCTCGACTAAATTACCCCTTCGAAACATCGCGGTCACCTTCTCTTCCCAGTAGCAAGGCCCTAGCATCCCCTGCACTGGGGCCACCACAATACGGACGACACAGAAATACCACCTCAGAGCGAGAAGAGGCAAGGCAAGATGTGACATGACATCCCTGTCGACTCCAACCAGCACATGACCTTTCTGGTCGCCGACGTCCACCGGAGGAGCGCCCCGACGGCGGGCGCACTAGTCTGGGAATCCTGCGCCGAAGAGGGGAAGGGAAAGGGGAAAAGGACACGGCAAGCGAAGGAGAGTGACATCACGCGGGTCCGCCATGGTGGGATGTGCAGCATCATCGAAGTGGTCTGATCGAGAGCGCCATGTCGATGATGGCACGGATGCCTTTTGCGCCGTACTCCGTAGGTTTGGACTATCGCCTTGGCAACTGCTTTTTGGGGAGGACGAGAGACTATCCAAGGTGATCGCTGATGGTGCGAAGGTTGAGGCGGTAGGTTACGGATTATATATGCGCCATCAAAGCTGTCAAGAGGCTCGACTCGTCTTGGTTCCCGAGGTTACTGAACTGACAACTGGTCAACTGGTCAACAACATCGACATCACTCATCAATTTATATCGATTCATACTTAATCTTCTACTACGACGTCAATTGAGTCAATAAATCAAGTCCATCACAATTCAAACTTCATCCTGACATCCACAACTGTAGACCAGACAATCATAATGAACAATCGCATTGTCCCTCAACCGCGGCCATCGGCAGTCGGCCTCATGGGCTGAGGCTGATTCAGCCAGATCCTTCACATGAAAGCTACTCCGGACTAACTCATGAATTCCATCATCGTCAACACCAACCACCATCTCTCCGTCCTCTTCACGCTCACCTCCCCTGGGCTAGTCTAGACTCTGTCCTCCTTTCCTACGACCCTTCATCCTCAACACGGACACCCACCCTCTCCTCCCATCCTCCATTATGTCGTCGGCAACCCCCGATCCCCAGCCGAACAACCCCGCGCCGACACACACGACAGAGGCCCCAACGCCATCACAACCACCCAACCAGCCCGCCGTCCAAAACGACCCCGAAGACGATGACTCGGACTTTGACGAGCTGGACGGTGCGCAAATACACCCAATCCAATCCCTCCCCTCCAACCCGCTAATAACCACCAGAGGTCCTCGATAACTTCAAACCCAAAGCGCCTGACGCGCCCGCCCCGAAACCCGACGCCACGCCCGCTCCCGCCACGCAACCGGCCGGCGATGCCGACTTCGACGAGGAGGCCTTCATGCGACAGCTCGAAAAGGACATGGCCAGCATGATGGACCAGGCCGCCAAGGAGTCCGGCACCGCCGACAGCCACGGCTTCGAGAGCGCCGTCAACCAAGGCGCCGACGCCTTCACCAAGCAGCTCGAGGAGAGCGGCATCCCGCCTGGCGACTTTCTCAAGCAGCTGATTGCTGATGTCATCGCCGAGGGCGGGGGTGAGGGTGATGCGTCCGCCGCGGCGGCGGCGGCAGCGGCTGCCACGGGGGCATCGGCGGGCCCCTCGACGCAGGCGCCAGCGGGTGCGGCCGACGCGCCACCGGAGTCGTTTAACGACGCGATCCAGCGCACGATCAACCGCATGAAGGAGTCCGGCGACAAGGCGACGGCGGCGGCGTCGGAGGATGACATCTCGGACGACCTGGTGGCGCAGCTGCTCAAGGCGGTCGAGGCGGGAGCGTCGGCGGGGGATGATGGCGACCTCACCAAGATGTTCATGGGCATGATGGAGCAGCTGTCCAACAAGGAAATGCTGTACGAGCCCATGAAGGAGCTGGACACCAAGTTCCAGCCGTGGATCGCGGAGAACAAGGGCTCGGACAAGGTGTCGGCGGAGGATATGGCGCGGTACGAGTCGCAGGCCGTTATTGTATCTCAGATTGTCGCCAAGTTCGAGGAGCCCGGGTACACGGACGAGGACCCCAAGTGCCGGGAGTACGTGTGGGAGAAGATGCAGGAGGTGGGTTGCTAATGCCGTTATGTGTGGTCTCCAGCTAACGAGTGTCTCGCAGATGCAAGCTGCGGGCAACCCGCCAGAGGAACTCGTCGCCAATCCCTGGATGGACGACATGAAGGGGCCCGGGGGCGCCATGCCGCCGGACTGCCCACAGCAGTGATGATTTTGGAGGATCCGTTCCGATAGAGCGTTAGGTGATGCAGAGGGCAGGTCTTGACTCTTCCATTATGCTATTAGCTTGTTGGCATTTCTGTACATATACCAAGTCGATACCCTATGTACAACCGAACAATTCCCGAACCTACCCAAACGCCCGATCAACGCCAGATGCCGTAGTTCTAACCACCTATTGAGGTAGTTGTGTAAGCGTCCCTACCCACTCGACATGTCCATATCCTGACCGGCCGGCGGGACCTTATCCGCCAGATCCATAAAAATCCCCTCATACTCCTCGTCGCTAAACGAGGAGCCCTGGCCCTGGTCAGGCCGTTGCGTCGACTCCATCAGCTCCATCTCCATCGCCTGTTCCTGCGCCAGATACTCCTCCAACGCGCGAACGTCAGCTTCACTGACTACATCGAATCAGCATCAGCAATCAACCTACAACATACAAACCAACAACCCAAAACGCAACAACATACCAGAAGCATCACCCGTATCCATATCGTCCAGACCCCCCATCTCGACCGACAAAAGCCCATCCGCACGCCGCCGCATCGCCTCGCCCCACATCTTCTGCTCGGCGACATGCTCCATGAGCACGAGCTGCTCGCCGCGGGTCTCGAAGCGGCCGTTGTCGCGGTCCTGCTTGATGCGGTTGAGGAAGAGATTGCGGCGAGCGGCGCGGGCGGACGGCGACGCGGAGGCCGTGTATGTGCGCGGCGGCGCGTTCTGCAGCGGATTCGAGAGGGTGGCGTAGCGCTGGGCGTATTTTGATGATGGGGGTTTTGTCGGCGTGGTGGTAGACTGCGGGGAGAGGCGGGAGGGGGAGGGAGGCTGGTGTCGCGGTGTTTGGGCGTGCTGCGCCGTGGGGGTGTTTGATGGGGAAGAGAAGTTGAAGGTGGATGTGGAGGGGGAGCTGTTGTTGCTGGGCATGGTCGTTGGGAAGATGGGAGTCGTGCTTGTCGCGCGCGGGGAGAGCGGCGAGGACGGGAGAGGAGGGAAGTGGAACTGTTGCATCGGGAGTGCTGTGGACATAGTGGCGTTGGGTTTGGGGTGTAGGAGGGATAGGCTGCAAGCGATATGGGAGATGTAGGAAGAAGAGAAGAAGAGAGGGAGTCTGGAATAGAGAGTATAGAATCCCAGCCACGCGTAATACAAGACAAGCTGCAGCAATGCGTCGACACGCGCGATCACCTGCACGCTAGGCTGTTTGGGGATATATCACTCGCATTGATTAGTAAGTAATGTATACTTCATAACTTCTACTTGACCACAGAGGAAATGGGATATTCTCGCATGGACACTTGGATGGATGTGTAGAGGCCCTTAACGAGGCAATATGCTCAGTAAACTGGCGACTGGTGGATCATTATACTCGTTTCTTCATGGTGTTGTGTTTGAGCTAACTAGGCAAGGTTGCAACTATACTCTATACGAGTTTTCCCCGACTTCAACATCCCCTGCAGCAGCCTACGTGGTAACTCTATCTTCAATCTACGACCATGGATACACCATGGATCCTTGTTACCTGCTCTCTGCTCGCTACCTCAATCAGCGTGATACTCAGACTTAGCGGACATCAAAGCTTCGCCGAAGATGTCCAGAGCAATATACTATTTTTCTCTCCATTTCAGGCCGGGAGGGCCGTCATCGGGAGCGTTCTTTGCTTCATCCACCTGCGACTCTTGAATCTTGCCGGAGTACATGCCAGCTTAAGGATCCTCTGCCACTTTTACTCCCCATCCCCAGCATCTCACGTCGGATACGCTTTCTGGCCGTCTTTTGCGCGGCGCGCTTTTCTCCTCGGGGCAACACTGCCGCTACACTGGACACTCCTAGGGTTGACAAGCCATCGATGGCTCCACATCTTTACAACCTTTCTAGTCGGTGAATCAGTGCTGGCCGAATTTGTCGCCTTCTACAAAACCCATTCATCCGATGGTTTGACCGTCCGCAGAGACTGGCCGCGTCGTACTATGCTGGTACTGGACGCTTCCGCTACACCAGATCGGCCCACCCCTGACCATGTCGATAACGTGGACAAAGCCAATGGGCCTGGGGAAAGAAAAGAGGATGGTAACATTCCATCGTCATCTGCCTCCGATGATAATCTCTGCGATCGCATACAGCAGCTCTGGTCGACAGAAGCCGATTCAGATATCAATTTTGCCTTGCATTCGATTCCCCCGAAGTATGCTCCGACAGTAGACAAGATTCTCTCACTCCATATCCGGGCCTCCAAGTGGACGTGCGGGCATTGGCGCTGTCTCGTCTATACACTTTCACACAAGGTCCAGCGGGTTCTCCTTTTTACTTGGTATATCGAGCAAGCGTCGACTGTCTGGCTTTTTCGCGTCAGCCTACACCCAGTGACACTCCGTTTTTCCGAGAAGGTGCTAGAGAACAATGTACTGGGAGGTGTGCTCACTATGATTTACCAAATATCGCTTGTCTTGGCCTTGTTCTTCTCTGGGTTTATTCCTCCTGTATTGCTCTTTGCCCGCCTGCGCAAACTTGAATGGGTACAAAGAGCGTCCCAAGACCTTGCCGAATCTGCACCTGTCACCTATAAGGCCCTCGTCATTTTTGGCAAAAGCGTCCTGCCCAGCATCGGGGGCTTCCTTTCCGGTCGATTTCTGTTTCCCGCGGATCCGTCGCTGACAAGAGAAATCCTCTCATATGCTCTTGAGGCTGTGGTGGTTCTAGTCGTTTGCATAATTGGATACCGGCTGCTCATCCGTGCGGCCCGTTCAGACACCACCCCTGGGGGAGCTGAACCCCAGTCCCCCTCGACGCTATCACCAGAGTCAAAAATGGCCCCCCAGAGCAACAATCAGGACCCCCAGTCGCATCAAACGTCCTCTGATGACAAGAAAAACGCACCCAAAGGCGGATCCCAGTACCCTTTTCTTCGTTCTGGTTCAGGCTTCCAGATATTCCGATTAGCCATTTGGGCCCTGACCGGCATTCTTTGGGTTCTCCTTCATGATTAGAGGCGTTGGTGAACTTTTCGAACAATAATCCCAACGACTACACGGGTCAAAGGGGTTGAGTTGGTCACCATCCATCGGTGTGGCCATACTCCTTACGAAACAGGGTTGATATTAGGTTCTTAAGGGTATGACGATGGCGCATCAGGCCCACGATGATTGGTACTGCATGCATGAGGGCGGTAATATCAGCAAAGTACAATACACCGACTTTTGAAAAGCCTGTAGCTTCTCGTTACTTCATACCTACCAGCGAATGGATGCTCGCTCAGCATTACAAACCGAAGCACGCAGAGAGCCAAACTATACCCAGGCTTTCGTAGTAAAGATATCATTAAGGACAGTCATCTTCACACCTCTGGTACTCAGGTACCCACAAATGGAGCAACGGAAGGATCTGGCTGAACAGGATACCCCGCTGGAGGCTCCTTCATCTGCAGAAAGACGTCCTTCGGCACCGAATTCTCATTTATATACGCCAGCAATGCCTCGAAATCCACACACACATGCTTATTAAAGAAGTCCGGAAACGGCTGATCCCAGCCCTCGACCCAATTAAACAGTATCACATCTACAGGGCTCTGGCACTTGATGAACTGCGCCAGCAGATCCACACAATGCCCAATGTGCGCCGTATGCTGCGCGTCCGGATTGTTGCCAAACTTTGGGAAATAGTAATGCTCGTAGGAGATTTCCTTCCGGAGCATGTCGAGGCAGTGCAGGAGGTGGAAGACCTCGGTCTGGGCGAGGTAGGCGTCTGGCCCGAAGCCGAATTCATCAGGCACCCGGACGGCAAGGGAGGGATCCTTGCCCAGTTTGCGGACCTCCTCGGCTGATATAAGGATTGGGAAGACGTGGGAGCCGATGCGGTTCCACTCCGCGTCCGCTTCATCACCCTGGGGGATGCGCAGGATGGACGGTGGGGAGCCATCGTACAGTGAGCCGTTTGTAATGAGCTCCTGTCGGGGGATGTCGAATCTTTCAAATATTGGGGCTGGGGGTGTCGAGCATATTAGTCGCTTGCCTCGGTCGATCTCGAGTCTTTGCCCTAGGGCATAGGTACTTACCATAGGCTGAGGATGCTTTCCATTTATCCTGGTCGTTCAGATGTTGCAGGCAGGCCCCACTCGAGAGGGGCGACATCAGGAAGAGAACAGATCCGCATAGCATAGTAATATTGATACAGGTGAGCCAGAACGTCCAGGCGCAAGAGCGAACGTTCCATCGCCGTGAGCGTGGTCCATGATACTTGGAGCGGTGCTCTGTTGGCCTTGGGGCGAAATCGCCCGTCAGGAGACCCTTTTCCGAATCTCTCTCACTACTGGCCTCATGAGGACTGTCATCGCCAGAGTGACTATGGTTGCTTTCCGTTATGTCCTGGTCGTACATACCTACTCGACTGTGGTTTTTGTTCGAGAAGTAAATGGAACATTAAAATCCGGAGGTCAACCCCAAGACGTGATGCTATCATGCTCACGGCAACTTCCAAGACCCAATATGCCTCTGGTATGTTTTCCTTGCTGAGAAGAGTAGCCTCTGCCATGGAAATAGATAACACCTTGCTTCGAAAACAAGTCCCGACTTTCTGCATTGCACCTGCATGTCGCACCATCATGCCCAGGCAAGAGCTATCTATCATTCTGGCATTTTAAGATGGTGCCGAAGCTGAAGTCAATACTTGAACTACGGACTATGAAGCACATCATCAGCACGAATAGAGAATTAATTATTGCAGGATGGACCTGCTAAGCATGCCCGCAGGTAGGTATGAAGATCTTGGTTCTTAGACGATGTCGATTCAGGGAAAGCTCACTTGGAGGACACGGACGAAAGGCCTAAGGGTGGACATTTCTTTGTGCTGTATCTTAGCATGTCCCAGAAAAGAGAGCATATACCAGCTCTCATCAATATCTTCATAGAAACCACAGTCTGCTGGAGAAAATCAGAACACAACTAGAAGGACGGCTCCCTGTTCTTGGCCTGAACCAGCGGAGTTTCGCTGCTTTTCTGTTTCGGGCGAATATAGATGTGCGATTGCTTCTATTCGCTCTTCCAATTGATGGCCGCAGCCAGCAGATGAGGCTGCTGTTCACACTTGTCTCATCAATGATTGCGTGGTAGTGGGGAGCCTGGGATTGGCATTTTGAATTGAATCCGTAGCGGAACACGCCGGCAATCTGGGCGCACGATGTCGGGTGAGTTGGGTTCATCATTTGAGTAGACGTGGATTCGGTGTAAATAGACACTCGTAAATGGTGGCAATCGGTTGATGCGCCCTGCTGACATCTGTGTGCATCACTACTGTCCCAAAGCGTACATTGGACAGTAGGTCCTGCAAAAATCCGAGACAGTGATGGGTTGGATCAAAAAGCGGAGGCTCGGCTCCTTCCATAAGCTTCAACTATCTTCTCGATTTTTATCGAGCGAACAATGAGCTTCCGCGGTAAAGTGCCGGACTTAGCCTCCTTAGCGAGCTTAGATGTACTCTTCGCCTTGGTGATATCGTAATTATACTGAAACCAAGGTCTCAGTATCCTCAACAACCTTAAGATCTAGAGCCCGAGCCAGTCGTTCAAGATGCGGACGACACATCAGCTGCAACGAGCCAATTCATAGCGAACACGTTGATGACAGCCTTGAATTTCGGAACGTAAGGCGCCATAGTGTGCTGAAGGGGAACTGGTAGAATAGATGAGCCAGAGTCCTCAATCTCTGTGACTGCTGTGATTGTGACTGCGTCGATTGGGCTTCTGACAAGTGCCTCGGTCTCAGCGAGTTGCCTGTGGCCACTTTACGATCAGAGAGAAGAGATGTAAGTTTCTGAGGATGGTTAGCATTTGGGCCATTTTACACTGTCGTGAACATACCTCATGAGTATATAAGAGTACCTCCATCTTTATGGTAGCCGCAGACATTTTGTAGTTACGGTAATGGGTACCGTCCCATGCGCTGCCCTAGATAATGTCAAAGATTGTTAGGCTGTCCCTGCCAGGAGTTGCATGGACACTCTCATTCAGCCGTCTGCCCATAGTTTATTATATAGGCCAGGATGAAGTGGGTAGTAAAAGTGGAAGATGTCTGGAGTAGAGCAGGGATTGAAGGGCTTTAAGTAGGCACAAGTATGAAGTCTGGACTTCAGCAGGAGTTTTGTGAATGGCCATGTAACTTAGAAGTAGCTGGTGTGGAATTGAAATAAAGAGAATGATGTCTTTATCTCATGATTCTGTAGACGAATTCACACATCTCCTAGTGATGGGCCTGCTAGATAGAACCAGCCTGCTGTTCAGTAAGACTATCTGGGCGACCTCCATTGAAGGACTGCGCATAGGGTTATTCAAAGCAAAGAAGAGCTTAGATGAGCTTACATTGTACGTTGCTTCTTTGTTATGCTGTACTGGTTTCCTGATATCAAAGACTGCTAGCATATCGTGTCGATGTCGCTATCCCATCGTGCCATAGATATGGCGCTATCAGAGATAAGCCAAGATGACCCGATAAGCCCCGATCCTCCAGCCGTTATCAGTCTTAAGTGCGGGGCATCCAGCTACGGAGTAGGTATGTTTTGATGTATATAACCCAGTCCCTCCCTACTCCTCATTCCTCTCCTCTGCTCCACAACCAATCTACCACCACCATGGCCAGCCCCATCCCTCACGTCTCCAACTGGGTGAACGGCGCCTACGCCGCGCCAACACCACAACGCATCACCGTCATCAACCCCGCAACCGAATCCCCCATCGCCACGATCGACGCAACCCCCCGCGAAACCGTCGACCGCATCGTCGCCGAGGCCCACGCTGCCTTCCAGGCCGGCACATGGGCGCACGCTGACGCCTCAACACGGTCGGCAGTCCTCACCAAAGCAGCGGGGCTCCTCCGCGCGCGCATCGCCGACTTCGTCGCGCTGGAGACCGTACAAACCGGGCGGCCAATCCGCGAGATGCGCACGCAGCTGGCGCGCGTGCCGGAATGGCTGGAGTACTTTGCAGGCGTGGCGCGCACGCACGAGGGCCGCGTGCCGCCGTTCAAGGGGCCCGTGGTGAACACGCTGACGCGGCAGCCGCTGGGGGTGGTGGCGCAGATCACGCCGTACAACCACCCGCTGCTGATCGCGGTGAAGAAGCTGGCGCCGGCGCTGGCGGCGGGCAACACGGTGGTTGGTGAAGGCGTCGGAGGCGCGCCGCCACTGTCCGGTGCTGCGGCTGGGCGCGGCTGTTCCAGGAGGCCGGGACTGCCGGACGGGGTGCTCCCAGATTGTCTCCAGGCTTCGGCGCGGACACGGGGCGGTTCCTGTGCGAGAGCGCGCGCCTCGCCAAGATCGACCTCACCGGCGGCATGGAGACGTACCAGGCGATTGCGCCGATCGCCGCGGCCAACATGGTGCCCGTGACGGCGGAGCTGGGCGGCAAGGCGCCCGTGTGTCTGTTCCCGAGTCTGGAGATCGATCTGGCGGTCAAGGCGGCGCTGTTCGCGGCCTTCATTGCCAGCGGGCAGACCTGCGTCACGGGCAGCCGGCTGCTGGTGCATGCGGACATGTACGAGGCGTTCCGGGAGGCGCTGGAGCGGCGCGTGCGGGCGCTGCGGATCGGCGATCCGACGGACGAGCGCACGCAGATCGGGGCGGTGATCTCGCGCGCGGCGGTGGAGCGCTGCGCGGCGTTCGTGGCGCGTGCGGTGCAGGACGGCGGACGGTTGGTGTGTGGCGGGCGGACGACGACGAATGCCGCCGGACGGGGGTTCTTCTTTGAGCCGACAATCGTGGAGACGCGCGCGGATGCGGAGCTGGCCTGCAGCGAGGTATTTGGGCCGGTGATTGCGCTGGTAAAGTGTGCGTCGGAGGAGGAGATTGTGGCGATTGCGAATGGGACGTCGTATGCGCTGGGGGCGTCGGTGTGGACTAACGATTTCGCCCAGGCGCATCGGGTGGCCGCGCGCATTGAGGCGGGCATTGTGTGGGTGAATGGGCATCACCTGAATGATCCGTCGTCGCCGTGGGGTGGCTTCAAGGAGAGCGGTGTGGGAAAGGAGAATGGCCTCGAGGCGTATGAGAGCTACACGAAGGTCAAGAGTACGGTGTTTAACTATGGCGTTGCGCCGGTGTGGTTTGATGACGAGCCGACGAATGCGCGGTATGGTTGAGGATGTCACAGCATGCATGATGTATTGCTATCTCCAGTATACTCCAACGGAGCTCTATATCACAGATCACACACGAGATCAAACTCATCGTCGTAGGGGAATGTCGTCTGCGCCAGCGTCCCGGCGATTGTATTCGACGCGGACTCCTCGCTGGTGGTGGTCTGGCGCATGGCGTGGTCTACTCTCTGCGTGGAAGAGTTGACGGCCATGCACTTGGCTACACTGGTCAGCGTGCATTGAGCACCGGGGAGAGCGCACTGACTGAGTTGATCCTGGCAGTCCTGGAGCGAGAAGGACGCCGAGCTGTCGGTGTTTGCGATCTGATAGAGGATGAGAACGAGCCACCGACATAGAGCGATCAACGCACCAATTGACAGGAATTGAACTGATTATTGCAGCTGGAGACAGTCAGCTTCGGTCGATCCAGACATCAGGAGGCTGTACCTTCTCTCCGCCGCCGAGGCATAGTCCGTCTGTAGACGAGGTCAGCATCCAACTGCACTCCCGCGATGCCAACATACAAACGTATCACCGTCCACGCCATACGGTCTCTCCGCATTGCCCGTGTCGGTAATCTAGATCTCACGCGCATTAGCCTGGACCTTCCGTGCCTCGGTCTCGACAATCGTTCTATCTCAAACACCGGCAGGTGACGAGTCACAATCCGATTCCAGAGACGAACGCACTCACCGCAGGCACCGAACCGCCCAGCGACCCCGTGAACGCCTAAACCCATCAGCCCGATCCGACCAGGCGACCCTGGTTGCTCATGTTGACTATACATACCTGGCGTTTGACCATTGCCGGCGCGTAGACTATCCCTAACGGGTCGGAAAACGCTGAGCCGCGCGGCGCGATCGAGATCACCAGAAGGATCAGATAGGGGATGGCGGTGACGAACATCGCGGGTGGTGGTTGGAGCGAGCTGAAGTGAGACCGATAGTTACTATAGACCATCAGGCCCTGAAATCAGGGTCTCCAAGACAACATGGTTGTGATTAGTTAGTTACTCAATGGAGTATGACGCGCGGGGAAGATCCAGTCTGACACGGCACACCCCGGTCTGGTGTTGTTGCAGCCCAAACATCGATTCGCCCTCGTGCAGCAACGTGTTGCGATCGGCCGCCTGAGGCTTAGACACGGGATCCTGCTTCTATTTCTGCTGTTTTCTCTGCGTCGGTGTCTACTACTCCGTATGGAAAGGATCGATGAGCATATTTTCTGTCACATTAAATACATACATACGGGTAAAGCTTTTGCTGCATCGGCCGGCGGCCGACGTCAAGAAGAAAGGAAAAAGACAGTGAGACAGAAAATATACAGCTCACAGGATCCGTCGGTGGAATCAGACGCTTCGAGTAGGGGAATCAAAAGATGGCAAACCAACCATAAATGCCAGAACAAAATCGCTAGTAAAAGGAGCGTGATCTCGATGAAGGAATGACAGGCGTTCTATCAACATGCAGCAAAACATGCCAGAGCAGCGTAACAGAGAGTAATAAAAAATCAACAAGAATTGGAAAACCCGAAGTCCTGACCCACCAGCGCCAATAAAACAACTGCGTGATATTCGTACAGATCTACAGCCTACCGAATGATGCCCTTTCCGTGGCGGGACGGTGCACCGCAGAAGGCTTCATTCATGGACGGCCTTAGAAGTTCGAGGCAGCATTGACGGGTCCCGGGTTATGGTACTGGTCCAGGGTGCTGCGGAACGGGGTGCCTTGGGCCGGGCTGGGGGCCTTCTCCCGCATACCGCTGCCCACTGCAGTACCACTCATGAGATCGGCGGAATCGTCCTGGTCGAGAGCGTTGCGCTTACGCACATGCATTCTCCAGGCGACCACGGCGATGGCACCAATCAGAATGGCACCACCAACACCCACGACGACACCGATCACGATCTTCTTCTCACTGGAGGAGAGGCCCGAGCTGCCGGAGTTGTCGGCCTTTCCGTTGAGGGAAGGAGACTCGGTTGCGGAAGCGTCAGTCGCAGAGCTGGTCATAGTGGTCTGAACAGGAGTTCCGCTGATGGTATGAACGGTAGTGATGGTCTTGACGGTGGGCTTCTGGGTTTCCGAGGCGGAGGTGGTTGCGGGGGCGTCGGTCGTCGTCGGCTGCGTGTCCGCGCTCGTGGTGGTCGCTTTGGTGGTGGTGGAAGAAGTCGTTGTCGGCTCAGCTGTGGTCTTCTGGGAAGTTGTCGTGGGCTCAGACGTAGTAGTGGATGTACTGCTGGTCGTCGAGGTCGACTCCGAGGAGGTAGTGGACTCCGAGGTCGTTGAGGATTCCGTTGTCGAAACAGGAATGCCTACCGCAGAGGTCACATCGGTGACAGCAGAACTCTGCCCCGAGACCACGGCCGCGAGGGACAGGGAGTAGAGGAGGAAGGAAAGCGAAGCGATACGCATGATGGCGATACGGATGGTGAGGTTTGAATGTCACCGGGTGAGTATGTCGGGATGGGCGATGGAGATAAATTTTTTCGAACGCTCGATGATGATGACTCTGATGAGACTGAGGGGCGATCAGGTCGGGTGGGCTGACTTGATGACTTCGTCTCACTCGCGATCCTGGCGACCCTTTATGTCAGAGTGTTGCTGGATGGTTGTTGATAGGAGGATGTCCTGTTCTATTTGTTGAGAGTTAAGGGAGCGAGCGACGAAACAACGGTAGTGACAGGAAACGAGAGGAGGATGGATAGAACGAGGGTTGGATGGAAACGAGTGGAAGAGAAGGAAAAAGGGTTGACAATGGAGTGACAGCGCAGGAGGAGAAGAAAAGACCCGTGACTGGTGTGGTCGGGGCCAGAGGGGCGTGATTTTTCTTTTACTTTTTTTCTATGTACGCCCCTGGAGCACCGCTGATTCGATCGCGGCTGGCAGTGGGCGCGCACTAGCGATACGCTAACGTCTCTGTGGCCAGTCATTGCCTGTCGGCTGAAACACTTGGGTCCACTCTTTTCCCCTTTTGGTAAGTTTCTTGCGGAGGATGTGAGACACGCCAGTCTGCTAACTCCTTCGTGCTCCTCTCGACGGCGTCCTTAAAATGTCCTATGTAATTCTGCTCATTTAACCGGGCCAGGTAATTATCCCATACTCCGTACTCTGTATGCACAATTTTGCATCCCGCTGGAGTGTGCTATTTTAAGATCGGTACCACGGAACCGCCGATGATGAACCACGGCCGTCTCCAGTATTTATTTGTTGACTTTATGTAAGTGGATCAGACACAACATTCACAGAAGATTTGTACAACCCTAACACCACTATGCACCCTCCTGTACTGTAGACACGAATGTTTTTGCATCATAAGTTACCCTAAACGCAGGGTCTCCATACCAAGCATCTAGGTACTTAGGTACTAGGTACAGTAAATACTCCTTAGATACCTGGGTATCACCCCGAGACAACCTGACACATACAATCCATACCCTCGATCCGCCAAATTCCACCGGCCCTTGACGCCGACTGCCCCTTCTCCCTGTGGTGCCGCGCGCTTCCGCGTAATCACCGTGACATCCGCTGCAGACAAAGCCTCAACCGGCGGTCTCCTGCATTCCCTCCCCTGACAGGTCCTTAACGATCCCCACGACCCCCATCCTGTCGTGCCGGTACTGCCGATGAAACGCCGTTTCGTGGGCCACCGTCGGAGATGACCCGGACGAGACTAGTCTGGCCACGAACCAGTCTATTGAGTAAGGTATCTTTGTTAGTATGTCGTCCGGATGCTTCCATCAGAGCGGACGAGTGCAACGTTGCCTGCCATCACGACCCCTGGGTGAACAATCTTGGGTGCATGTGGCAACGAAGGGGAGTCGGGCCTAGAACCGCCTCGAACGCTATCGTGCCAAGAAATCGCAATGATCTCGATCTGTCGATCGCTCTTCATTATCGGTCTTCGGCATCAATGATGACATCGCCAGACCTATGTATTATCACAATGATTTCACAATCTAGACACGGGTGCAAACCAATCTAACATTCAGCAACCCAGTCTCAATTTCCACATGGCTGCGTGCAATTCGGAATTTGCCGATTGTGCATGAGAGAAATGACATTTCGCCCCAGTTCCGTGATATCAACCGGCCGTCGTTCCTGTGGACAGGTCGGTTATGCGGATGTGTTCCTACCGGTGCGCGATCGGCATAGGATCCCATCGCATTGTCGACATCCCCATAGATAGCAAGCGCGACGTTCAATCAGTCGTGCAGTGAACCCGACTTCTCTCGGAGCCTTCCGGCTATCCCGGCATACAATGACCTTGCGCTACCTCTCTATGTTGGACCCTTCTCACTGATTAACAATGTCGTGGGAGAGGCACTCGGATCCGTTGAACTAGTTGTTTAGATCATGATGGCCATATCGCTCTTGGCGTGTCCTAGCCATTATGTCACCGTTTGACCCTGGAACTATTACGCAGCACCAACGCAACCTGAGCTGAGTTGCTGCGAGATCCTCTTGATAGTACTGGTGGATTGGACTCGTTCATTGAAGCTTGCGCTCTAGCGCACTTGTTAAACCCACCTTTCTAGCAAGGTTCGTGTTGATACAAACGTGCCATACAATGGTGTATCTTCAACAGTGTAGAGTTTTAGCTTATGCGTTAGTAGTATAAGGCACTGTAGCCGTATAGTGCAGCGAAACAAGAAACGAACCTACCTTAAGCCGTATGGCAAATAACTGTGGTCGGATATCTTCGGCATATGTCCGCAAAGTGCGCGGGGCAGTGTCTGGGGAAGTATTAGGGCAGCCTCTACTTGAGGCTCTGCACTTGTCTTCCGTTATTATTGGTGTGCTTAGACCTCTAGGATATGTTGTGTGGTTATATATCATGTTGAAACGCAGTAAAGTGGTTTACCAATGTCTTGGTGTATATCATATGGCCAAAATATATCAACTGGTGTATATATATTTGTTCCAAATTTGCACGTGGGCTGGCAAAGTATGCCCTTTCACATATTTAAATACCCACCGTCTTACAGGGCCATCAAAGAAGGTGCCTGACAAACATTTATGCTAATTCTACCAATTTTGAGGTCCATGATGAGCTCAGATGATCTCCAAATCTCTCCAACTGCATTCCAATGCCTGCAAGACGCTGACAGGACCATGTAGATCTACTGCATGCCCACAACAAGTACTCCGTAAGTGCAGCATGAAGAATGCTAGATCATATTGAGGGGAGAAATCCCCACAGACCGGCCAGCGAAGAAAAGCGTGCACTCTTTTCCGTCTACATAGCTTCACATATTGCTGTACCGTTTTCCATTCAATAAGTGATTATTAACGCAAATGTATGCTTCCAATTTCAAAGCCCAACCAAAGTGCAGATCTCAGTTGAGCAAAGCGGATGGAGCGACTGACAGTTTCTCTCCGGATGGAATGAGGGATGCAGCCCATGGTGCAAAGAGATACAGCCCAATCTGTATCCGGTCGACCCAATAGGGTTGAAAGAAACATGGACACAATATTAAAACACAGTGATAGAGAAACGATTGGAAGGGTATCATGTCATCATCAAATAATCGTACAGTTTCCGTCGGCCATCATTCGCCGTCATCAAAACTTGTTTGGCGGTTTGCCCTTGAACTGATCTTTGATCTCCTCGGTGAAATATTCCAGAAACTTCTTTACACCAGGACCTGGAGGAAACACGTGTTAGTCGCACATCCAGCCTTGACCGCCACCCACAGCACGAAGCCTGCTGGGGGCGGAGGTGGACACGCTGCGGTACCATTCTTATCTATGTTGGTACCTCCCATTTCCTCGGGAGGTATGCCGTGTCTCATGTGTTGGATCTTCTGATGCACTCGTCCCACTAAGCGGTGAAACGACGGGCTGGCCAGCAGCTGTTCGGGACGGAGATCATGGTCGTCAGTAGGGAGGGGACTGGACCAAGGTAGGAGTGGTATCCTGGAACGTGCATACCCGGGTTGTCAACCAAACCTAATCGAAGATCTTGTTAGCGATCACCGAAGACGGTTGAGGGACCCTCATGCGTGTTCGGGACACATACCTCAAGGGCTCGGAACCAGAAGCCCCGGAAAACCATGATGAGTGAGCTCAAGGATTACGGGGGAGAGTGGGAATGCATATGGATGTGAAGGAGTCCCTGTGGGGAGAATAGGGGTGAGAGGGTTGGGATAGAGTAGAAGAGGGAAGAAAGCGAACGGAAGAAACGAAGGCGAAGTTTTTTTTTGGTGTTGACAGGAGAGTGACGGGCCAGTCAGAATGCCGAGAGCGGCTGTCCGCCTCAGCATCCCATAACAGTAAGAAGACAACGGCAGTATTGCTGTCTTCGGCGCATGGCCGCCGCTTTCATTCAGTTTCTTGGATGGGTTGTTTTTGTTTTATTACAATGAAATTATCCAGGCGCAAATGGATCCGGAGTAGAGGAGTGTGATCATATTGTACTTATACCTTGCACTATTTAATTATCCGGTTCTCCATCTTCATCTGTTCATTTCTCGGTCCCATGGTCGCTGAAGAATCTCTCCGGCTCCCTCCTGATTACATCACTGCCTGTCAATTTATTCCCTTTCAGGATATCTGTTCGGCATCGCCTTGAGGATCGTCCCTCCTTATTCTTCTCTCCTCCTTTCATTCCTTTCATTCCTTCTTTGTGATTGTTCTTTTACTTGGTTCCAAGACGTGTGCGCATGTCCTTTCTTTAATACTGGGGCTCCACAGACTTCATTTCTTCCCGATCGAACCACGCGACCCCTGCGCTGAAACAGTCTAAGGTATATAATATAAGGCTGAGGTCTGCAGAAGACGCCGCGGTTGTTCAGATTTCCGTACACAGTTTTGGCCTTTTTTTCGACGATTTTCCTTTTGCTGTCTGCAGCAACATCAACAGTCTTCCTGTCGCAATAATTCCGCACCCGCCACTCTCGTCCCTCCTTTTCCCCGAGGGCGATCAAACCGCATCGCAAACCCATTTCCACCATTGTGCAACATCCGTCACAGTGCATAACACGCGCGTGGGCGTAACCTCGTTAACCGCCAACGGGGCCGCGCGACAGGCGGTTGCTTCATCGAAAATTTGGCTCCGAGGTGATCGCGCAAGATCTAAAAATCTGGCCAAGCAAATCACGTCGAGGGGCAGCTTCCACAGCTGTCCCGATCTGTCCGCGCTACAGATATCATCCCTGCCACCACCCGCAAGCGCCGCAGGCGACGATCCACCCGACGGCCTGGGAGGGGAAATTATCACGGCACTGCCTTCCCGCTCGCCGTCGCCCGACCCTGACACCTTCAGCCTTCCCACCGGTCCCCAGAAATCTTCATCGACCAGGAAGCGGGTCTCGCGTAAGGCGCGCGGCGTCCTGGGTAAGGTTCGAGCCTTCCAGAGGATCGCTGCGGCCAAGATGGCTCACCCCACGATCAAAATCGACACCAGTGTCCCGCCGACCAAGCGCGGTCTGCCCGATGATGACGAGGAGGGGCTGGAGGTCGTAGACGACCCCGAGCTGGACAGGCCGGCTTTGGAAACGGGCGATACGGATGAGGTTCCTCCGTTTTTGTGCCAGTCGCTTCAAGGTTAGTCTTCTCTTTGCTTTTCTTTCACTTTCTTTTGGCGGATAGTTTCGTCGGGCTGTCTTCGGGTCATGTCGCTCATCGTGTCGTCTTAGAAATCCATCAAAAATTCGACGAACTCGAATGGATCCAAAGAGCGCGGATAAACGAAGGCACTATGGCCCAGGATCCTTCGCATCGCTGGGCTTTGGAGGATGACCCGGAGGTCAAGGCGAGAAATCGATACATGAATGTGCAGGCGTGGGCAAATTCTCGCATTCATCTGCGGGTGCCTGATGGCAAGTGCGACTTCATCAATGCGTCGCCGATCGTGTTGAGGGATTCCCTCTCCCAGGAGGAACGCAGATACATAGCCACCCAGGTGAGTGCGGGTGTCACCTCATTGTGACAGGCTGTCTCTAACCTCGTTCTTCTGCATAGGGCCCGAAATTGGGAAATATCACACACTTTTGGCAGATGGTCTTTCATGAAACCAAAGACGTCGGCGTGATCGTCATGCTCACCCAGACCTTCGAGTCTGGTCGGGAAAAGTGCTCCCAGTACTTCCCCCTCAGCAGCCAGAATCCCACCATAATCCTGCGTGAAGACGAAAGCGACCACTTTGCCAACGATGACTCCGAGGAGGACATGGAGGACGGGGTGCTGGGACATGTCACGTTGCTGGAAACAGTGGTCGATGTTCAATCGCGCTCGGAAGTTCGCAAACTTCAGCTCACGTTCGGATCCGAGTCGAAGATTGTCTGGCACTTCCTCTTTTCGGGCTGGGCGGATTACTCCAAACCCGAAGGCGAGGATCGCGACGCTCTGCTCCATCTGATCAAGCTATCTGCGTCAAAGTGCACTCCAGACAATCCCCGCATTGTGCACTGCAGCGCTGGAGTTGGTCGCACGGGTACCTTCATTGCGCTCGACCACCTCTTGCTCGAGCTTGAGTCGGAACAACTCCTCAAGGCGACCGATCCCGATGTGGACCCCGTGTTCGAGACCGTCAACCAGATGCGTGAGCAACGCATGATGATGGTCTACAACGAAATGCAGTTGCACTTCATCTATGAGGTGCTGCGGGAGCAGGTGGATTTGAAGCTGGGAAAGATCCCCGACTCCAACGGGCGACGGTCAGATGAGCGATCGACCAAGATAGCCAAGCTGTCGGACGAGTCAGATTTCCTGGGCTCGTCCAAGCCCGAACTGGAACCTGTTCCAGATCGGTCTCCGACGCCGACAAGGAGTTGGTCGGGGACTCCCGAGGTGTCTGACAATTATTAAACCTCTGCCGAGTGCCCGGCATGGCGCTTTCGTTCACGTATATATGATTTCCTAATTGCCCTGTGATGTTTACACGCTTCTTTTACGACTAACCATGAGTCCTGGCTTGCATTTACGTTGATGTCTTGTTTTTCTGCGCACTGCATACTCCTCTTCCTGTCTGAATATTGTTTATACCACCTGCGCTTTGCATCTTCCACCTGTTGCTTGCAGTTTCTGACCGCTATCCATGTGTTATCTACTCCCTGACACAATATCCCCTTTGACGCGGTTTCTCTGGTTATCACCTTAGCATTAGACTTGATGTAACATTATTGGTTTTGTGTGATTGTGCGACGAGGCACTAATGACAGCTCTGTTTGTGTTATACGGTTGAGCTGAATGAAGTAGATTGAGGATGCGTTGAGTAGCTTTTGGATTCGTCGATACTTAGCGCTGAAGACAATCACGCTTTCCCATGTTATTTACAACGCCAGAAGTCCATGAACAATGTCTGGGGATTCTGTCCCACTAATAAATGCCAAAAGAGAAACGCAAAGATCAAAACACGCCTCGTAATGCGTCACAAAAAAATCGAGTCGAAGGGACAATGTGGTCAAACGACCAACAGAGAGGAGTCAAAGGATGGAGAGAGAGGAAATAAGGAAGAGCCATACATAATACATCATGCATCACAACAGCGTAGACGACGTCACATAGATCCGAGGCCAGCCATCTCATCTCAGTGATAACAAGTCGACCGCATTAGTCGCTCCGTTTCTTCGTGTCCTCCACCGCCGCCGGCGGTGACGTGCGAGACGGCGCCGTAGAATCCGGCCCGTCGACGCCATCCTCGGTGTCCCAGTTATCGACGGCGTTCTCGTCCCAATTATCTACCTCCTGCTCGAGGGTCATGACGCCCGATTCCTGCGGGCCCAGACCCTCCGCGACACCGTCCTGGCTGTCACCGCGACGCAGGCCCAGCTCGACATCGCCATCGTCGTCGGCGGCGCCATCACCCAGCGCGCCGAAACGGGCCTTGCGACGCCGCTCCAGCATGCGCCGGTGGTACCAGCCGCACAGACCGACGGCGCCGAGGCTGCCGACGAGATTGGCGAGGAGATCGAAGGGGTCGAAGGCACGGCCATTCGGGAGGAGACCTTGTAGGATCTCGGAGCCGATGCCCAATGCGACAGTGCAGACGAGGAGGGTGAGCTGCAGCGTGCGACGCCGGGTGGTGTCGGGGATCCAGTAGAAGATGAGCGAGAGCAAGAAGAAGGTCACGACGTGGAGGAACTTGTCATTGGGCTGGAGTTGTGACGGGATGCTGGAGGAGTCGCTGTGGGGAAGAAGGCCGATGTAGGCGGCCAAGATGACGAGGAAGAGGAAGGCGCCTGGAGGAGGTTAGATCGGTGCCTGGTAGGTGACATGGAGGGGGTTAGATGGGAGAGAGATACCGGCGAAGGGGTAGCGAATTCGCATGATGAGCGGTGAATTGTCGTTGGAGAGTGGTGAAAGGTTTGGGTATACAGCAAGAAGAAGATTATGATGAGTGTTGCATTGGGTGGTGGCCGGGTGCGTCATGTGCTGAGCGAAAAGGGAAATGCATCAAGAACATCAACGTCCTTCTGTCTCTCGATCACCACGCTTCACCCCCTAGAGCCCCATTCTTTTCGTCTCCGTGGGTGTTTTCCTCTCTCGAATTTTGTCATTATTCTCGGTTCTTTATAACTCTCATTTTCTTTGTACTCCCCTCTCGTTCTCTGTCGCAAGATCTACTTCGGCGGAAGAAAACTGCGCGGTTGGTCTGAACTGGCTTCCGCCCCGGTACGAACTTCAACTCCTCCGCTCACGCAGAGTTCCTTCTCCGTACCGAACGGGCCCTTCGCTTTTCCATCAACCTCCCTCTCCGCGCCATCTCTTTTGGCCCGGCAAACATCTTCTCTCGTTTCCTCCGACCACCCGCTACCTCTAGATGTCTTTTTCGGTTCCCCAACCCCCCTCGTCGTCCGACCGAACCTGATCCTAACCGTGGAGAAACGAGCCCCCTCGCCCGCCCCGGATTCGGGGTCTTGGAGCGAGCATGTCGCTCGGACATCACCACACCTGGCAGCCCCCAGGACACCTGCGGCCTCCCGATGACCATCTCGACCCGCGGTCCGTCAATGGCTACTCCAAACCTTTCTCCGCGCCCCGGACCCCCCAGATGCGCGCCTCGGTTGATGCCGATGGGTCTCACGCGGGTAATCTGATATCGGAAGCTGATATGGCTGCCGAGGAGGACCCGCGCATTGCCATCTTCCGCGACCTGTACAAACAGAGCGAGGCGAAAATAAATAACCTCTTCGCCAACCAGAAATCCTCGGATGACGACTCGGGGACAGGCGCCCCCGTCGCCGCCGACAACCCGGACGAGCCAGCCGCTGCCAAGAACCAACGCGCCGACCAGCCCGCTCCGCCCCCGGCACCCCCTAAAAAACCCGCCAGAAAGCTGGATGATGATGACTACGATGATTACGACGACGAAGATGAAGACGATGCGGATGCCGACGTCCCCTCCCCGTCGAAACCCAAGTCTCTTGTGCCCTCCCAAGACCCCAGTGGCGTGCCGTCCCCCAGCCCCCACGCTTCGGGGACGGATACCTCCAAAGAATCGAAGAAGGAGACCCTTGAAGAGATTCGCAAGAAATTGGAGGAGGACAAAAAGGCCACGGAGGAGGCTGCTCGGCGGAGCTTCCACACCCTCTTTTATACCCTCGAAAACGATCGTGATGCCATGTTGGATCAACAGCGGCTGGAAGAGTCTGAGCGCCAAGTGGAAGCGGAAATGTCGAGTCAAGGGAATGCTGGCAACAATGCGAACTCTACCTCGAACGGTTATGGCTCGCTCAGCAACGCCAACCTGGGCGCGTCGAGTCTCACCCTCAAGAACCTGATCGCTCGGATTGATATGAAGCGCAACATGGTGCAGGCATCAGATGCGGATCTCCGAAGTCTGATGAGCGAGGTCCGCAAGAATCGCAGCAAGTGGGCTAGCGAGGACAAAATTGGACAGGAGGAGCTCTATGAAGCTGCGGAGAAGGTCCTCAGTGAGCTGAAGGCTATGACGGAACATTCATCTGCTTTCTTGACTCGTGTCAACAAGCGGGATGCGCCTGACTACTATACAAGTATGATCTATCTCCTCCCTACTCACCTCTGTGAAGCCAATGTGAACCGCGCTAATTGAACGAACACAGTTATCAAACATCCCATGGACCTCGGCACCATGACAAAAAAGCTCAAAGCCTTGCAGTACAAGTCGAAACAGGAGTTCGTCGATGACCTGAATTTGATTTGGTCCAATTGCTTCAAGTACAATACCAATCCGGACCATTTCCTGCGCAAGCATGCTCTGTACATGAAGAAGGAGACGGAAAAGCTTGTCCCTCTTATTCCCGACATTGTCATTCGGGATCGCGCTGAGGTCGAGGCTGAGGAGCGCCGACTGCAGCTTGCAGAGCTAGACGGCGCCGAAGAAAGTGACGACGAGCCTATCATGTCATCTCGCGGCAGAAAAGCACCAGGGAAATCGGCAGCTAAGAAAGGAACTGCACCCGCTCGGCACACTCCCAGCGGTTCAGAGCCACCCGCTTCGTCTTCGCAACCTCCGCCTCTGACACGCGCTGACTCCGATGTACCCATGGAAGGAACGCAAAATGGGTTTGCAACGCCGCCCCCGGGGACGAATACCCCTTCAGACCCTGCTGGGGTAGCGGCCGGCGTACCAGGCAGCCAGGGCGATTCCATGGAGATCGATGGATTAGCCCCACAGAACGTTGCCTTGAGCGCTCTATCCGGTCCCAGTGCCGAATTGGAGGATCCTGAGTATAAGGTCTGGAAGCAAGTGACCAAGAAAGATCGCGCCGTGATCGCTGCGGAGAGACACCGTCTTTTCAAGGGCGATAAGTTAAACGCCGAGGAGCCTGCTCTTCTCAGAACAAAAGCTGGGATGAGAAGATGGTTGAAGAATCAAAAAATAAGCGCGGAAAGTGACAAGGTTCGTGAGGCCAATTCGCAAGCCATGGAGCCCGATCCTGCCAGCGAGACCCTGGCTGAGGGGATCGAGGTGGATGAGGACAAGGTGATCCCTGATTATTACGATGTCATGTCTGGTGTTCCGGACCTTTCGCCGCAATTGCTTTGGCGAGAAGACTCGGACGGAAATGTTATCGATGCCTCGGAGGAGTTCTTGAGGATCCTGCCTAAGGGCTTGTTCACACAGCCGGAAAGCAAGCTTTCTCAGACGATGGACAAGAACATGCGACAGATGCAGGAGACGCGCAAGATCTGCTCCAAAATTGGCATCGTGAAGCAAATGCAACTGCAGTCTCAGGTAAGGGATGATATTTTCACTCGCACAGATTCGAATGGACTAACAAATTGGCCCAGATGTACCAGAACCAGTTTCAAAAGTATAACCCCGAACCATTCGTCGAACAGGATGTGATGCCTCACGTAATGAACGATGAAGGCCCTGTGATCGCTCCTTGGGTTTGCAAGTCGGCTTTGCAACGTTCCGTCGCGAAAATCTTTTACCACACCGGATTCGAAGAGTATCAACCGTCGGCTCTGGACGCTGTGACAGACATTGCGTCGGATTTTTTCCAGAAAATCGGCGAGACCATGAAGTGCTACATGGAATCGCCCAAAGTTCCTGCCACTGATGTGGCCGAAAGCACCTCCGAGTCCCAATGGAAGCGGGCATACACAGAACCAGAAATCGTCCTCCACACATTATCCTCTGTTGGTGTCGACATTGAGAATCTCGAGTCGTATATCAAGGACGATGTGGAGCGACTCAGCACGAAACTTTCGACTGTGCATGATCGCCTCAGGTCGTTGCTGTCTGAGTTACTGCGGCCTGCGTTGGCAGATGGGGGCGAAGATGGCTCCAACGCGTTCGCCGATGGAAGTGAGCAATTCATCGGTGGTGACTTTGCCGAGGACATCGACGAAGACTTCTTCGGTTTCAAGGAGCTAGGATTAGATCGAGAGTTTGGTCTTGCTACTCTTAGCGTCCCACTTCACCTTCTCCAGAACAGGATGTACAATGCAGCTCAAGCTCAAAACACCAGGTATGTGGAACAACGTGGTCTGATAAGAAAATTCACGCAGTCTAACATTTCCTCCCAGTGCCGCACAAGCCGTGACGTTGTTTCCGCCTCCCCCTGCGTATCCACGTATTACAGAGGACACGGTATCATCGCAAATCGGCCTGGTACAATCCTTCTTCAAGGCGAAGCTGGAAGCAAACAACCATGAACCTCTGGTGGAAGATCTTGAATTACCCCCCAAGCAAAGACCGATGGCTGCGAAACCTCGTCTTCCAGCTTCCGGCAAGATTCCACCACCGTCTGGACCAACGGGGCCAACATCCAGCCCGCAGAAGCGTCCTCTTCCCCCGAACGCCCCTGGCCAGCCGGGAGCTATAAAAGCTGCAACTTCGAACTCGGAGCCCAGCAAGAAGAAGCTCAAGAAGAACAGCGGAGTAGCCCTGGGCCTCCCTGGGTCTACCGCAGAAGGCGACGAAGCCTCCACAAACATGGACGGGACGAAGCTCTCGAACCCAGCATTCGCCGATCTAAAGAACAAGGATGCCCCTGTCGATGGGGTCTCCGCAGCTGACTTTGCCAATGTGAAAGGCGAAGCGGAAAACCCTCTCACATCCGATGCTGCCGGTGTCCAGGCTAGTGCTGATGTGCCCAACACGGACAACAAGACCAACGACAGTGCTGTGCCCCTGACGAATGGAACGGCGGGCGATGCGTCCTGATAGACCCAAGCAGAGACATCGACACCAGGCCTTGTACTGTAGTCCCATTTCTCATTTACCTATACCTTTTGATTCTCTTTCTTTCGTCTCTGTCTTCTTTTGAGTATATTTACCACTGTGGCATGAATTTTCGTTTGTTTATAACAATCTGTCTGTTTTGATCCTTCGACCTGTTATCGGCACTGGAGAAGCTGCCGCCGCAGACGAACGGACATACAGACAATTGGATTTGCATTGGTTAATGGGTTAGTTGCGGGTTCTGGCGGCAATCTCATTGGGTTGGTTGGTTCTCTTATCTTATATCCTGTTTTTCTTTTGCTTCAACGGATTGCATATGGAACATGCGGAATGGAAAGACACCCGAAATCATCAGAGACAGCTATATTGACGGCGCAGCATGACATGGATGGATTCTTATCGCCCTTCAACTTTCTTTCCTTTTCAATTTTTACCCAGCCCTATCCCGATTCCCACATTGAACTCTTTCTCTTCTATGCCACTGCTCCCTCTGTTCTCATGTGAGGGAGACGGTGTGGTTTGTACCTTTATATCCCTTGTTTTCTTGATATTATATGCTGAATTATCCTTTCGCGCCTGTGTTCCGCGCGGAGCAGCGACTCATTCTGGCTTGTCGATACATGTATGACCGCCCTTGTCTGGTTGCCTGTGGTTGATTTTAATCTTCTTCGTCTTTATAACTTTGTCTGGTATTATTCGATCCTGCTGCATTCACCCTTGGGTGGGTGGGTAGAAGCCGGTTTTGTGGTAACCGTACATAACATGCTAATTTCCAATGAGGATGAGTTGAAGAGCCTGGGATTTTTCTCGCGACGGTCGTTTTCTAAGGCCGATGTTGACTCTTAAATCATCGACGAAACCAATAGACCTGACTTTTCACAGGCAATCGGGCGTCGACCATACGGCAAAGATACTGCGCTGCCCTGAAGAATACTACGTGATATGACCATTTACAAGCTGCATCCACATGAGTATAGTGGTTGAAAGAGCTAAAATTGGTGCAAAACTAAACTATCCTGGGGGACGAATCGGACACCTGGTCTCCAACTACCTGTCGTCCAGGTCCATCCAGCCCGGCGAGGCCGGTCGGTCCTAGTCAATCAGCTGTCGGTTCCCTGGTCTCCATGTCGGCCCAGGAGAAATTATAAGAAACAGAATGAAGCCATTGTTGGTTGGTACAAAAAGAAGAAAAGCAAAACAAAGCCAGTAAGAACCACGAAGGCTCGACAGGAGAGTGGAGAGTCAAAGTGCACGGCATACGACGGTAAGATATGTTGAAAATGTTTGCAATCTCCATCCCCAGCAACTACATGCGCCACCACTAGATGTACCACATTCCAAATGGTAGTCGGTTGGACGAGCCGCACAGTGGAAGTAGCCTGGGATCCACGGGGCGATCTTTGGGCTTCGGGTTGGTAAGCTTAACTTCAGGACCACTCTGAGGTCCAGAGCTGGCGGGGACATCTTCGTGGCAACGGGCCCGATTGGAGACCAAGTGGGCGTAATACACGGCAGGGACTAGGAAAGAAAATGTTAGCAAGGCCAGTAGATGAGGCCTCAACCATAATGGTGCAACTTACATAGCGACACTGAAGTAGTTGACCGCATGTACTGGTAACAATGATCATAGATCATGTTCTCGAGCTCATGAGCCTTGTGCCCGATCTGGTCCAGAATAACGTGGTAGTGCACGGGACGCGAAGTACCCTGCAAGGCGATATGAGAGTACAGAATGAAATCCCAATCGTGGGGGCTGGTAACATCCCTCTCGATAAGTGTCCCGGGGACTGGGTTGCCGTTTTTATCGGCCATGGATTTCTTGTCGAGTGTGGGATTGCCAACCCTGGGGAAGGCCCGAAGATGGTGGCGTTTGTTGGCGACGACAACGGTAAACTTACCCTTCCATTGTTCTTGGGTAAGTTTCATGAAGATGGCCTTCATGTTGAAGACCTCCTGTTGCAGCACATGTTCGAATTGTCCTGTGGACACGCCATCGCGGAAGTAATAGACGTTGGAAGGAGCACGACCCCCTCCAACTGTGCTCATCCATTCACGGACGAGGGGAGTCAACATGTGTTCCATATTGGCGCGATTGATTATTTCATTTCGCTCCCCGTTGGCTTCGCACGCTCCCCAATATCTGCCACCAAACGTGTCTGCGCAGACAGAAATGGCAGCCATCGAAGGCGACCACACCCCCAAGGGTGAGTGAGTCACGTCGGCGCCGATGATCATCGACATGGGCTTCAGCGTAGCATCCGGCGTCTTAGGAATGATCTTCGCGGTCGTGCCACCCAGCTTAGCGTTGACCTTCATGAGTACATTGGAGATGTACTGGGGGTTGTTTTTGGCGACCTGCGCCGCTTGCAGAAGCTGAGAAGGCACGCCCCAGCGGCAGTCGCAAGACTTCTTGATTCTGGTGTAATTGAAAGAGTTCTTGTCAGCAACAATGACCACCAGAAGCTGGGGGTCCTTTTGAAACTTCTGTCCGGTTGCGCTGTAAAGATTCTTGATAGCGACAGCGATGTCCTCCTTGAGCTCCATAACGAGTGGGCGTTGAGTAACTTTGCCCCCATGGCCGCCATAGATTTTCATCGTCTCGTCCACGAACTTCTCAACTTGGGTACGGTTGATGGCATTCCGTTTGCCAGGGAAGAACCCCACACCCCAGCTTTCGAGAGGCTTCTTGTTAGGCTGATAGAACTTTTTCCCTCGCAAGTCCCATCGACCATTGGTTCCCGGATTGAGTTTCTGGTTTCCGCCGAACTGAAGCTCAGGGTTGGGCAGAAGGCGTGCCTTGGTCCGAATCATGTCGTCACTGATTTTGAGGCCAAACGTGTTGAGGACCGGATCATGGGCGTGATCAAGCATCTTCTTCGACTTGAAGATGGAGGCGAGACGGTCAGAGGGACGCGCAGCAGCAAAACGAATCATCTGCGACGTCTGAATATCGTTGAGCTTCCAAGGGTACTTTTGAAGACCGTGGATGGTCAAGACCTCCATGGGGTAGAAGACTCCTTTCTTAGTCATTTCCACCAAGGGAAGCTGCCACTTCTGCAGAACATGGTTGTACTTCATCTTGAAGTACGCCTCAACGCTGATCTTTCTTTTCGACCCAGTGGCGCGATCAGTCATTTCGAAAGTGTAATCCCGGGCGTTGGAGTTGATGAGGCCCTTCACTGTGAAGGTGGTACCCTTGAGGGGGCAGTTGGCGTAGTTGGGCTGCACCTGGATCTTTCTCAGCCGCCGATGGACCTCATAGAAGCCAGTCGACTCAGTAGTGCCGCCGTGGCGGTCCGAAACGGGAGCCAACTGATGGGCAAGATGTTGATGGTCACGGCTGTCGAGCACAGCCATGGCTGCTCCGACAAAAGAAGTACGTGCCCAAAAGCAGGAGTTTGAGACATCGATATTCACAACAAGAGACTTGCCCTAGGACGAAGTTAGCTTCGATGTGGTGTGTCTAGAGGTCCAACACTCACGATAGTGGGACGGATTGCCTGGTAAACTCCCTTGAAGGCGAGCACACCACCGCCCAGGTCTTTGTTTTCGCCATTGGAATCGAAGAAAGAACGGCGGAGCGCCAGGAATTTGGTGCTTGGGTATTCGCGGAGGACATGGTCGAGAAAATTCAGGGCCTCAAGCACGGCGTCTGAGATGGAAGTTTGTCCCGAAAGCCAAGAGTGAAGGACAGAGAGATTGACGGTTTTGGTTGGTCTCACGACGAGGCGGAACGAATTATTTGCTCTGCCTCCCGGGCGTCCCTGCTCAGCATCGAGGTCGACCAAGATATTGACGCCCTTGGCATAGTTGTTGGTCGACCTGTGAGTTAGTTAGTCACCTGCTACTTCGGAAGTGTGGTATACGTTGGAAGACATACCATGCGAGTTTCTGACCATCAAAGACGATCTGCTTCAGAGCTTGCTTTCTAGCATTGGAGTTCCAGACCTTCTTGATGACAATATCCTTCTCGGCACCAGAGCCAATGTGAACCTGATGGAGTTTCAGCATATGACATTAGCCAGTCATTCGGGAGTTCCAGGTCACTTACGTCGTATTGGTAGACATTTTTGGTGGGATACGCGGTGATGTTGAAGGCATTCATGGACACCTCGATTTCTTTACCCGTCGTATTGAAACCCGGACGGGGCACATGCTTGACGGGGATTGCATACTTGGCCAGTTCGTCAGCATCACGCACCCGAAGATGACGGAGGCCACCAGGGAGTTTGTTAATCTCCTCGGGGTTCTCCATGGTGGAAGGGAAAGCAGCAGAACGAGGGAAAGAGGAGAAGAGCAACTCGGAAGGTAAGGGTGGAATGGATCGGGGAGGATGATAGACAGAATGGGAAGAGGCGGACGAACTGGCAGAGAGACAGAGGGGTTTATATAGCTGAAGGAGCCCCTGAAAGGTACATTGTGGTGAAGAAATCAAATACATTTGGGGAATAGGGAGACAAGAGTCACGTCCAGGCAGTGATAGAAGACTGTGAATTTCCGCGACTGTTTGCTGCTGGCGTTTGCAGGGCGCCAGCGGTGAAGAGGTCGAGGAGGGGAGGGATGAAGATGGAGAGACTGACAAAGGAAGGAATCATTCAACGCGATGGGGATATTTGTGCCAGGGCTAGTTAATGAATGAATAAAAGGAATTCCAGCAAAGGAGTTGCAACCGAAGGAGGGATAACAAGGCGCTGAAGTAGACAATAGTGGCGGATGGTGAACGCAGAGAAGACGGCGAGGACTTACCAGGCGATTCACCGAAAACGCCCCCATGGGCAAATCGATATTGCGGCACATGTCGGTCGCCAGCTCGGGCTGGTCCAAGGCCGGATCACTGACGGTGGCCATTTTGAGGAATTGAGGGGTTTGATGCTGGTAGGAAGTGATAGGAGGGTAGAGGACGTGATAGAAGAGGAGGTGAAGGAGAGAGGAGAGCTTCAAGTGACTAGAAGTGATGGATGAGGTGAGCGATAGGAAGATGGCGAGGTGAAGGAAGAGAGGTAGTGAGTGGTGGAAGCAGAGGAGGATGAAGAAGAGAAGTTGAGAAGAGAGTAGAGAGGAAGATGAAGGTGGTGGAAGTGAAGAGGTGGAGGTGAAGAGGTGGAGTGGAGGAAGGAAGGAAGGAAGGAAGGAAGTAGAGGAAGAAGTAAGAAGGAGAGGAAGAGGAAGAGGGAGGCAGGAGCAGGTGGGAGGAAGAAACACTGGGAACAGTATCAGGTTTCCGTATCAGGCAGGTAGGCAGGTTGTGGTGGTAGTATCTTCGTAGTCGAGTTTCCCACACCAAACCAAGTCAGTCTGTTCTGATAGATATACCCAGAAGGGTGTATTGATAGAGGAAATCACTTTTTCCGTTCGATGGTGAAGCTTATGAAGTTGATTCGTGTACCATATCCATATCCGCTCTTGTTTTGATCGATGAGGGTACAAACCGGCACTGTTTTGATCACCCACACACGACGGGGAAACGCAAACCCTCGAATGGACATCGAACACCCTCTGTCCAGTACCCTCGCGTATATCTTTATCATCATGGTCGAAGTTCCCCTCCGGTTATGGTATTGTCGTTCAATTTCCATGTATTGCCTCCAAGAGGGCCAGACGACTTGAAGGTATAGAAACGACTTAGGAGGGATACCCATGAGCTTCGATAGAGGAGTATTCCGACACCTTAACTTGTTTGGCCATTGAAGACCAAAACAATGGCCGTATCTCGCTGCGAAGCCCTCGTTCTCAACTATACAGTAAGCTGCGTTTGCGAAGCCCTTTCGCAATGCCACGAAGCTGTTGATGACTCCGTGACAGGTCAACCCACAAGACGATTCTCACTGCAACGAAGTGCCGTGGCTGCTTGGAGGCGAACAAGCAAGAAGCAAGAGAGCCACGGCTTCCCACGGTTACTTGAGTACGTAATCCACGTACATTGCGGACAAATATGGAAGTCCTCCCTGATCTTGGAACATCTACCTAGGCGTTTGCACCCTCAATGTCTATGCAACGACCCCTCCGACACACCCCGGTCCCACGTGCTCACAGAATGCGTACATCCAGAGTGCGTACACGCCTGAGAACTACCAGGTATGATAGTATTAGGAGTGCTTTGTTTGCAGAATCTGTGGACGGTGGGCATGTCTTTTCATGCCTGATTCCTTCCCCCTTTTCTCTGAAAACTTCTCAATCGCTTCATAGCCTTCATCGATAGTACATACCTAGGTACTTGAGTTTACGAGAGCCTCAAAAGACTCATCAATGTTGTTTTCCGCCAGAAGTTGTCCTGAATCATTGACGCATTTTACGTAGACTTTCTCCGTCAATTTCATCTGAACCATGCATCTACCTTAATACATATACTCCTCGGGGTACTGTCTTGGAGTCTGGAAAGAATGGACGTCTCATGAGTGGATTGAAAACTATCTCCCGTACGTCACCCCCTATTATTAGACTGCATGGCCACTAGGCAAATACCTTAGGTATACAAGCCGCACCCGCGCGGACATATCCAAACATAGGTACAAAAAGCAAGGAAAGCGGCATCCGAATCAAATTCTCCCAGACTTCGGTCGAAGCGAAAAGGAAAAAGATTATCACCACGAATTGCTAATCCAAGCAAGAACGCCGTTCCGTAATGCAAGAGCCATGAGGTGCCAGATAACTATACACTTCAAATTCCACGTTGGTCCACCTCTAGCCAGAGGGGTGCAAAGCCCGGTGAGACTTGCTGTCGTCCAAAGATTCAGAGTTATATTCGGGTATATTATGAACGGTACATGCCTGGATCATTATTAGCAGGGGCTTAGGTGAAGATGGTTAGGAGCGGCATCACATACCAGGAAACGGTGCCTGCCCGGTCCCCATGCCTTGAGCGGACTGGGGCAGTGGAATCTGGGAGATCGAGGCAGGAATATCAATCCGTCGGATCAAGTCAACTAATTTCTCCGGCGAGAATCGTCCAGCGTTATAGGATGATGCCGGAGGAATGATGCTCAACAGATGGACAATCTCTCGTGGCAGCGGAGCGGGTGAGCCTTGAGATCGGTACTGTGACGCTGCCTGGCTAACGAGGGTCTGCGGCGTGCGCTTTTGCTGGTCCATTTGTCGTCTTTGGGCCGTCTTCAAGGGTGATTCGGCCCGAACAAACTTCCGTGGCCGGTTCAGATCATCATCAAACTCCTCCAACGGCCTCTTGGGTGAGTTTGTGACGGACGCATCGGGATATCTCGGGGTAGGAGTGGCGTGACGCGACATGGTCTGTTCGATAGGATACGCGGCCTTCGGGCGTGCCTGAGAGGGGGAGATAATAGGTCGCACGGCCGTAGGGTCAAAGGAAGGGTTGGAGTAACGATGTGCAAATTGTTCCAATGTCGGGTCTTCAGGGAAGAGTTCACGCATGCGGTTCTCGAGGTTGATGACCTGGACAAGATCGCCATATCGAGACTCATATTCGTGTAGGAAGGCAAAGATGGGCTTCGCCTTGTGCACGTTCTCCGGATTAGAGGCCAGCTTTCTCACCGTCATTTCGAACACGACTCTGGCATCTGCGAACGCAATGTCAGTATTGCATACATATACTATGGGAGAAGCGATGAGTGACTTACTGATGACATCGTTGACGTCGATCAGGTGTTTCAGGTATTCAAGCGCGAAATTCTCATCCTCCGGGAAGAGCTTGGCTCCTCGCTCGAAAATCTTGGTAGCAGCCGGATCCTTGTAGCAGTGGTACTCGATGAGCGCGCTGGCGATGTACACATCGCTAGTGATACGGCCTCGCTTGCGAGCATCGGCAAATATCTGTCTTGATCCTGGCATTTCACCCGGCTTGCCCTTGCCCTGGATACGACGCATGGCACGCATCAGAGCAATCCAGGCAAAGGAAATTGTCTTGGAGAGGATTCCAATCTGTATAGCGTGGGCGTTGCGAACAGCTTCAATTTGGGCGTTTTCCATCGACTCCCTGGCCTTGCTTTCACTCTGCTCGTCATCATCGTCCTCTTCGTTCCTTGCTTGTCTGTCAGGGTTCATTTTGGCGAACGTGTCCTTAAGGTGAGCGACGTCTTGCTCTTCCCGCGTGCGAGCTTTCGAGATTAGATCGTATAACGCATCGAGGACTCTGTCGTATGGCTCCCGAACCTTTGCACCGCGCTTGATGGGGTCTTGTTCGGATTCGGAGGTGATTTCCAGCCGGTCCGCGCGCTTGAAGGCAAGAAGGCAGCTCTCGGGGTTGGCATCCACACCGTGCTTCAGGAAGTCGTTTCCTTCGCTTTCCATGTCATTCAAAAAGCAAAACTCCGCAGCTTCAAACCAAATCTCCGGCAAGAACCGAAGAGCCATCAATGCCTGCTTGTACACATAGACCACACGGGCCTTAAAAGCGGCTTGGTCTTCTTCCTTCAGCACCAACGGATCACCTTTCTCCCATTGAATCCAGCGTCGCCAGATGTCGACTTGCTGCGCGAATTCGATGTCGCCATCGGAGCCTGGAATGGGCGGTAACCGAGGCAGGGTCGTCCTGCTGAGATCTCTGGTGATGTTTTGCAATTCGGTGTAAGAGCTACGAGCAGTCATATATGCCGGAGACTGCTCTTGCAGGAACTTGCGACCCTATTGCAGATGGAATATCAGCAAACAAACGCCATCACAGAAGGAAAACAGTGAAACCCACAGTCAACTTATTCAGACCCATCTCAAATTGGTCATATTCTTTCCACAGAGTGTTAACTGCTTGGGTTGGAACGGCAATGGCTCTCTGATACGCCTTGCGAAGCAGATCCATCTTTTGTTGGTCTTGCCAGCCCGAGCCGCCAACATTCCCTGGGCCAGAACGAATAAATTGAACGTAATCGGCCCAAATGGAGCCGGAATCCTTATCTACACCGACGTACTGCAAAGCCAGATCATACGCGGAGGAGATAATTCGCCGGGCTTGCCCTGTTGTGTCGGTGGTGAGAGGATTACGCCGACGGACGTAGTCCAAGTACACCGTCCACAATTGAACATCAGGGATCGTCAAGAGAGTTCTATTAAATATTTGCTCGAGACGGAACAGCTCATTAAGCTCCGATTCCATCGTCGCATATGCCACCCATTGTTCCGCCTGTATGCGGTCAGTTTTGATCTCTCGGCCGTTCCGCTGCAAAGCACAAGGAGAAGAGAGGTATATCGAACGTACCGAGAAAGGGAACACTTTGAGAAAACGCTCGTACACATCACGGGCATTGTCGATGCGATTGCGACTCCTGTGTTCGTTAATCAATTCAATCCAGGCAGCCATGTCTCCCCGAGGGTCTTCCTGGACACGGTCTTCCAACATCCCCACACGATCGTGCGGTAGTCGACCCTTCGCAGCCGAAGGTGAATCAGGGGCTGGCGTAGGCGCCGCGCTCCCTTGCGCGGGATCCGACTGCAAGGTCGGGGTATTGTACAATTCCGGACCCGAAGGAGTAGATGCCTCAAGTTTAGAAGGAGCAGCAGCAGTAGCAACAACAGAAGGAAAGGAGCTATTGGGGGTATTCTTTGCACTGGCAGACTCCTGCGCAGCTTCATCCAATGATACATCAGGGGTAGAAGTAGCTTGATTTGCATTTCCTGAAACGGGTTGCTGAGGCACATTGATTGGTAAAGTACTCATGTCCTCGACACCTAGTACAGCTGGAGGCTCATAATCCGCATCACCCGCGTCATCCTCGTCGTCTTCATCCTCGACCACAAACCCCCCGATTGTCTTGGTCTTTGGCTGCGTCGACGTCGATCCGGGAGCCGGAGTCGAGGCCGACGCTTGAGATGCGGTTTGTGAAGGAGTCTGGGAAGGATAGGCACTGCCAGTTGGCTGACTAGGGTCGGGGTCGGACACGGGGACGGAAGATGCACCTAAGTGGTTCGCATCGGAGGGGGAAACATCTGAAGGAACATTTTCGTTTGGCTTGGAATCTGAATATTGATCTTGCAGTGTTTTTGAAGGATCATAATCATCTGAATCTGAACTATCTGCGCCCTGCTCTTTAACAGCCGTGTAGTCCACAGAGTCCGCATTCATTGCCTGAGCCTGGAAAAAGGCATTCTCGGCGTCGTCTTCGGCCATGACAGGAGAATGGGATCTCAATTGCGACGACCAAGGCGTTTCCGCAGGGAGAGAGAGCACGCTGTTGGGCGGGAGCTGGTTAGCGACTGTCGATCGGTGGCTGGAGGGCGAGGTTGGGAGGTGAATGCAGGACAGGGGGAAAGATAAACATACGGCAGACAAGCAGCAGTGCTCTCACGCAGGAGAAGTGAAAAGGAAGAAAGAATCCCAAAGTAATGGCCAGGAGGACAAAGAGATGGAGACGTGGATGGATGATGGCAGTTCTCAACAGAAGCTGCAGAACGATCACGTGCCGGCTGGAAGGCGGTGAGCGCGCCCCCTCCCAAAGCAGAAAACACGCGTGGGCGCGTCGTGATCGCTCATTTAATTACTTGCTCTCCCTCTCCTCCGCCGCCGCCTGCATTTGAGCTGCGTCTTGCTCTCCCTTCCATGGGTCTTTCTCTCTCCTTTCCTCTCGCATCACTTTTTCTCCCTTGTGCGACGTCGGTCCGTCTCCTTTAATTCCACTCTACTTCCTCGCTCGGTCAATTTGGTCACTTCGCCTTCCAAGATACCCCGCTGCCGCTTCCTCGAGTCCTAGGTCTCATTCTATACCACACCACCATGTCGGTCGTCAGTCTTCTTGGGGTCAAGATTGTCAACAATCCCGCCTCTTTCTTGGACCCGTATCAGTTTGAAATCACGTTTGAGTGTTTGGAACAGCTTCAGAAGGGTCCGTTTCGCATCCTTTCCATTACGCTCGTTCATCCCTAACAACGTACGCAGATCTGGAATGGAAGCTCACCTACGTCGGTTCTGCTACTTCGTAAGACACTCTCAATGATTACAACCCAATCAATCTTCTAACAATGTATACTCAACAGCTCCGAATATGACCAAGAACTCGATTCGCTCCTGGTCGGCCCTATCCCGGTCGGCGTCAACAAGTTCATCTTTGAAGCCGACCCTCCGGACCTCAAACGGATCCCCACATCCGAAATTCTCGGAGTGACCGTGATTCTTCTCACCTGCAGTTACGACAGCAGGGAGTTTGTCCGAGTGGGTTACTACGTAAACAATGAGTATGATTCGGAGGAGCTGGCTGCGGACCCCCCTGCGAAGCCCATCATTGAGCGAATTCGCCGGAACATTCTTGCTGAAAAGCCCAGAGTGACTCGGTTTGCAATCAAATGGTATGAGATCTAATGTGCTATCTATTCATGGTCCATTCGCCTGCTAACACGGCCGCGTGTACAGGGATTCGGAAGAATCCGCCCCTGCGGAATACCCGCCAGACCAGCCAGAGGCCGATAACCTGGACGACGATAGTGGCGCCTACGGTGCGGAAGAAGCAGAGCTGGAGGCCGCCTTGGAACGCGAACTCGCCGAGGCCGAGAAGCAAGATAATAAGAACGAAGACCACGAAATGGAAGGCGCCGAGCCCAGCGGTGGCAAGGACGAAGAGGAGGAAGATATCTCCGACGCCGAGAGTGAGGACATTGAGGATGAAAGTGACGATGACGATGATGAACTCGAGGAGGAAGACGGTGGTGATGGCGACGAGGACGTCGAAATGGGCGACGACTCTGAGCAGAAGGATGAGCCTGCCAACGGTAACAAGGCGAATCCCGCTGCCCCCCAACCTCATCAGTCGGAGGTTATGGTCCATTGAATTGGGTCATCCACCACCTGAAACTACGTCCCAAAATCGCGCCTGTTACCCCCCGGAGAATCCTTTTTTTTTTTTTTTTTTTTACCCATTTCCGAATGATTTTATGATTTGGTTGCACGTTTCATGACGACAGAACGTATCCTTTCGCGGCGCTACGCTCTATCCCGTATATTTATTTGCCAATATCCTCGTTTATGATATAGAACACCACGATATAAGGAATGAAAAATATTAGCACAGCCTTCGCTTAATTCCACACAAAACTTCAGATCAAAGCAGCCTCAGCGAGGGATAGCAGGTCCTTCGGTAGCATAGCTCGCGGAACACCCCGAAGCCATCGACACTTCGAGCCCCTTACAGGACCTGTAGTGTAGGACCGAGACGATGAATTGTCCCGACCAAAACTGTACCTATTCTGCATGCCCTACACAACTACCCTGCGTGCACCCTCCCTCTTCATTTTTGCCCACGTCACTCCGGCGGAGACAGCATGTAAGGTGTAGAGGGGTCCACACGAGGCACTTGTCCACGAAGTGCACTGTCCTGTTGAATGCAGAGCAGGTCGCGATCCGCACGAACAGAGGGTGAACTCGCAGATCAGATGCGCGTGCGTCTATCCAAGAAAAACCTCTGACTTCGAGAAAACTTTACCCAGCAGATATAGACCGCCACGAGAACTCTTCACCTCGTCTCTGCAACTTGCTTTCGAGTGATTTGTCCCGATTGTCCCGACTCACCGCTAGATTGCAAACTCTATACCGTCGAAATCGCATACAGGTAGGTACCTAAGTGCTGTGAAACGGCCGTTCGTGGCATCACGATAAGGAGACTAACCGCAGTATATTGCACTGTAGCGCCAAGTGAAGGCGTTGGTTAGAGCAAGGGAATGTCAATAAAACTTGTTACAACTAACTGGATTCATGAGAAGCGTGTAGCATGCATTATCAAACCACCTGTGGTACATGAAAGATCATCAACCTGCTACCTGTAATAAAAAAACGCCAACAAGGCAGGGTATGTAGCCTAAACTAGGCCTTGAAAATAACCAGATTAATGTGCTTCGCCAACACTTTCATAGACTTCTCTTAGAACCCAAACTTTGATCCCAGTGCTATTTCACATTAGCGCTGATATTATAAAACGCAGCTGACAAGGGTTGTGGCGGGGGGTGGGAGCAATCATTACTACTTACCGCCGAGCACTGCCTTGCGTTTCTGGGTTTGGACAAACTTATTGACATCCCGGGCCCAGTTACTACTATTCTCTTCCAGGCGGTCCATCGAGTCTCCGGCCATATTGAGGTTTTGCGTGCGCTCCTGCACCTGGCGTTGCATGTAAGACCAGTAGCCTTCTTGGCTACTGCTGGACTGCGTGGATAAATTTGTCGGTGTTCGGCCCTCGCGCAAAGCTCTCCGTCGGTCTTGTTCCTCGGCGCGCATTTGCTCCTGCATCCGCTTGGACGGGGGTCTCTCCGGGCCACCGACTACAAGGTCATATTAGCACATCTTGTAAATGGGTAGTATGTTGTAGATTAAGAGGACGTACTCAAGAGATCCATATCAGCAGGAGTCACATATTGTGTGCCAGAGATCCATTGGATGTTTGAAATTGTAGGCCGTGGGGGAATGACGGCTTGCGGGTTAAAGAGCTGATCCTCTGAATGGCGACTGTGGAAATGTCAGTAACTTTTCACACGGTAGAATCAGTGATGCACGTACAGCTGATGTCCAGAGCCCCAGGCATTGAAGAGCCCAACTTCCGATGGCCCAGTCCAGGTCAAGACCGTGCCATTGGAACAGATGGTCGACTCTGAGAGACGCCTCATATCGGCCATGTAATTGATTGGCTTGCAGCCAATCTCCTTCAGGCCGGGGATAGAGAAAGCTCGCGCATTGCCATCACCAAAAAGTCCAACCAAACTGTAACCTCGGCCCTCGACCTTGACTACTGAAGCAGCATCACAAAGATAATCGTCCCAGGTCTTATGCGCGCCTTTCGATGTAGCTGGCTTGAAAATCCTGCAGCCCGAAACGGTCGTTGCAATGACTACACCGTTCGTCCTAACTCCGTTCCTTAGACCACCAACAGCATTTGGAGTGGCCAGCGCAGGATTGCCCTTATCGGCATCCAGTGGGACGATGCTTAAGACTTTGTCGTCCAACAAGCTCGCCCCAGCGAAAGCTGCCATGTAGGCTCCATTATCCGCTGGGAGGATCTTGAACGTTGCAACATGACCCCGGTTGGTGCCCACAAAGCAGCAGATGCTTGAATAATCTGGAGTACTGTTAGTACTATGTATGCAGATTGGCTTCATTGTATCTTACTTTCTCCCTCCAAAGTCATAACGCCAAACTCAATACTCGTGACCCATTCGGGGGCGGAATCTTCTGAGCCGCGGTGTTTCAAGAAACTCCCCCGTTTATTCGACTTTGTGAAGTCCGATACTTGAGCAGTATGGATAACTGCGGGCCCACGCAGGTCGAGAATTGCAACACTGCCACCCTCGAAGCCGACAGCCACGAAACCAACCTGACTATGCTTCACGGCAGTCACGGGACCATGCTCCATATTCAGAAGCGTTAGGGGCAGTAGACCCTGTTTTAATCCGGGGTCGGTTCGATGGGTAATCTTGGTCAACTGTCCAGCACCTTGGTTAGTGCCAGGAGGTTCCTCGTGGCCAAAGTTTGCATTGTTGCCCCATCTGAACACTACCAGCTCACCACTTCGAAGCCCAACAGAAAGCTCACCCGTGGAGCCTCCCATAGAGATCGCAGTGACGTCCACGTTGTGTACTCGGCCCACAGCACGGGCCAGATCCACTTGAATCATATCCCCGTTTTCAATCTCATCATCATGGCCGACATCCCACAGACGGATAGTTCCATCTGCATGCGCCGTGGTGATGACATTCCGGTTTTCGAAGCGCTTGAGGAGCTTCTTTGCTTCCGCACCACCCATGACGAACTTCGGACCTTGCGATCTCCGCTCCCTCAGACCCAACCATGCCGAACGATCCACTTCTGTCAGTATCGTCTTGGTCACGAAAGGGTGAACAAAAGTGAGGGAAGGGTGGAGCATGTTAGTGGGAGTGATTGGATGGCCACTTGGGAAACTCATGGTGATCAATTCTCCCGAAGATAAAAGAGCAATCATGGCGATGGGATCGTGAGCACCGGCGTAGTACGGCGACGTGCGGGGGATGACACAGATATCGACAACATCCGCGCCGGGGGGAGTCGGGATGTTCATCACCTGTTTCGGGTCCTGGAAGTAGCCCGATATGATCGCCCAGGACGAGGTCTGGTAGTTGGGAGTTGGGCCGAAATCGATGAAGGTCAATCCCTTGTTAGGCTCGGCTTTATGACGACCACCGGCGACCAAGAGTCCGCTGTCATCGCCGTTCTCCTTCACACACCAGATCACTTGGGTAATGGGGTCCCTCACACCGACCGCCTCACCAGCTGAAAGGCGTCTATCGGGGGTTGCAGCCGGCTGGTCAATGTTGGATGCCTGGAGGGATCTCGCCATGATCTTGCGACCGTCCTTGGTATCCCAAAACACCAGGCTATTGTCATCATGAACAGTGCAGATGAAGATTCCATTCGGGTGCCACAATGCCCGGGTCAAATGAGGTCGGCGCAGGCTGGGAGAAGGAACGTCACAGTTCCCACCCAAGGCACCCGGCGGAACCTCATATTGGAAGTATTTCTGGGCTACATTCTGCTTGAATGAAAATACAACGGCACCTTCGGGATAGCCGACCAACAACTTCCCGATATCGCGCGGCGAGAAGGACAATGAAATGACGGGGCAAATGCGCGCGCGGGGATTGCGCTCGGCCCAGAGGTTGGGGACTCTGAAAGGGGTGAGATTTTCCCGATCAAGGTCGTAAGCGATGATGTCGCCTATCGAAGTATTATCAGCCACGTCTGGGAAGAAACTGTAGAAAAGCACCCCGCATACCGTTCTGCAGACCAATAAAGGCGTAGTCCAGACTAGGATCCGTCAACAGAGCGCTGACATAGCTCGGCGGCGCATATGAGAAGAGGGTTTGTCGGGTCTCCAACGAGAAGACGCAGATTTCACTCTTGGAATCGACGCTGACCAGCTTGTCGGCGCAGAACTGGAGAAATTTGGCGGAGGCCTTCCGGGGTAGGGACAAGACGACGGAGACACGACGCTGGCCGAAGACATAGATCTGGCCGCTTCCAAACTGGGTGTCGCTGGTTCCAAGGGCAAGGAGGGACTGGACAGGATCGTATGCAATGGCGCTAATCTGAGAATTCACTCCGTAGCGGGCAAACTAGATTGAACAGGATCATTCATTAGAAGATGGGGTTGCGGGAAAGGCGGACTGGAACGTACATCATCGAGCCCAAACAAATCCGGCGACAAGCCTTCGGAAAAGTCCTTCTGGACGCCGGCTTGCTTCCCTCTGAGGAAATGCGCCATTTTGGGGATTATAGACTGGGAGCCAGCATGTAGATTGGGGAGAGACAAAGGGGAGAGATGAAGAGGAAGAGGAAAATGAAGAAGAATAGAGAAGGGAGCGGAGAGAAAGACCCCACAACCCCCACTGACGACATTCAGATCACGCCGTCCCCGCTTGGACGCCCATAGGGCTATTATTGTTCCAATGAGGCTACAACCAACTCTACGGAGTATATACCTAGGATCATACTTATTATCATTTATTCCCGCTGTCTTACCAAATCAAAAGATTGTCTTATGTTGTAGTTAATTTCGAGGAAATCTGATCCCTTCACATGCTGAATTTAGGATCGCCAGATCCGCTAGGCAGCAACAATCACGTACCAGCAAAACGAAGAGGTGCTGAGGTATTACTATATAATCTTCAGCAAACATATCCTGGTCTATTTTCTAATCTGATGGCCAGGACGAGATATAAAATACCGCTCTAGCAGTTCCGACTTTCCATACACACGCATCGAAAGGTGGAAATAAGCCGACGGACATAACGGTCTTGGGCAGTTGGTAAAGGAGAAGATGAAGCCGACACTAACATGCCACAGGCTTATATAGCCACATGCTTCTGCTGTCGGCCTCGTGAGTGGTCTAGTTTTTGCTTTCTGGATTCGCCGTCCATTCGACCTGTTCTGCTCCAGAAACAGACAAGACGTCCTTTCCTGTAATAGTTCTTGTAATCTGCTCCTTCTCATGATCAATGTACTTCTGTGGGCGTTTTTGGGAGATAGCATCTGGGTCTCCGGTAACGATGAGCGACGGGTTAGACCGGTAGTATGCGTCCATGTCCTCGAGGGTTCGGTTGGCTGCACAGGAACAATTAGCCAGTTGATATGGAGTATCAGTATAATCGCATACCTGTCTCAGGATAGAAAACTTTGGATAGAAAAATTACAGAATCGGGAGGAAGACCGCATTGGATACGGTCCAAACGATCCAGAACTTCCAGCCGATATTCTGAATTCCGATGGGAGTGATTTCCACAATGGCGAAATTCGTGATCCTGAGCATGCATGGTCAGATTGAATATAATGTTGCAGCGACAGTACAGACTCACCAGTCAGTGGCCGTGGCAACTGCAGCTCCCTTGGTTCTCATCGGGAGAGAGTTAATCTCCGTCGGATACAGCCAGGGCACACCAAGCATGCTGATACCAAAAGCGCCAAAATAGTGAAAGAAGAAAGCGATCGATACCGTGGCATATTTTCCACCGTTGGGACTTGACGCAGAGAAGTAAAGCAGGATGGTGATACTCAGGAAGCAGACGAACTGCTGAATGTAGAGAGAAGCATCAGACCTCTGCGGCCCATTCTCTCAACCAGTAGCACAGCCAAACCAGAGAATATCAAGTACGACACGGCGTTGCATGCGGTTAGCAGACGAGCAAGTTTATCCGGAAGGCCCACAGACTGCAGTAGTAGTGTTAGCTATACTTCGTCCCATGTGTTATGACCAAGGATGAGCTTTACTCACTTGCATTAAGCACTGTCGGCATATAATAAGACATAATATTGATACCGCCGAATTGCTGGATGAACTGGCTGCCAGCGCCTAGTACAAGTCTTCGGAGGGTCTTCGTATCGTTCTCCGTCTTCCTGAGGAGGTCGAACCAACGTACAGCGTTCTCCCGGAGCGGAAGCACGTCGTACTGATCAACGACCCAGGTTAACTCCAAGAAGCAACGGAGACCGAGTCATGGGACGGTGACATTGTCAATCCCCCATGGGAATTGATGGCGGTGAGAAGGTGCTAGGGAGCATGGCTCGTGAGAATACCGTCCAAAATATGGTAAGGTGGATTATAGCGAGAAATTGAAATGCTTGATGCTCTGTCTTGGACCACAGTCAAGCCCGCCAAAGCATTCTCGGGGTACTTGAATTGCGGAGATCACGGCCACAAAGTCGACACTCTGGCTCTCTCCCCGCGTGGGGGCTGGTAACCCCATAGAGTCCAACGTCGAGTGAATCGGGCAGTGCCTCGACATAGCATAACGTATGTGGTATCGTCTCCCCATCATCACTCGCCGCGGTGGTGTTAGATCGCTGGCTAGCACCTGGAGCCGCGTTCCTGATTCCATAACACACGATCATTCCATTGACTCTTCGGGTAGAGCGCTTGCTAGTGAGCCAAGTCTGTTTATCCCTTCAAACATCGGCTGAACACACGCGAGCTTGCCGGAGTGTCGGGCGTATTGTGAAATTAAAAACCGAATAGGCATCCCTTTGGATTATTCAATATCGGTCATTTTCGCTAATAGCGCGGTCAATCGTCTCCTCGCATCGTTCTCGGAACTCTCATCTTTTCGTCGAAAGTATCGCATTGTGATGGTCTGGATAGACCGGTAGCAAGCATACCTAGACAAGGGTCGTTAGCCATGAACCGTCTCATCTCATACAAGAGCAGCATACAGCAACTGTCGGGTCGTCCACGACCGGCTCCTACCCGACCAAGAGCCATAGCCCTCTAACACCGCAGCTGATGCTTCGTCGAAGATCTGAGCCATATATACATCTCCCCAGACGGCATAACTGAAGTCGACCAACCCTGATATGGCCTTGTCTTCGGGATTCAGTATGACCTGGGACGGACAGCCAAGATCCACAAGCACCAGCTGCGGCAGCGTTATCTCTTCGAGCGCCGGTGACAACCGGTGAATGTGGCTTCTGATCTCGGCATACGGGAGGTTCACAAAGGCGTCCTCCGCATCTCGCAGGGTCCCCTCGACGAGGGAAAGAAAAGCTTCCTTCCACGATGATTTCCCCCTTCCCCGTTCGACTTGGTGAAACGTTCCGAAGGATCTCGAGGTGTGCTGGCCGATCTTCCAAGCCAATGCACCCAACTGTCGGTCTATGACGTCCCGGTCCTGGTCGGAGAGTTGATCTTCCATTTCTTGTCGAGTGCGCCCGGCCACATGAGGACGGATCAAAACCGCCGAGTCTGACAGGTTAGTGTGCCTTTCATGATGCAGGATGGCTGGGATGAAGGGAACGCCGCTCTGCCGAAGGAGCGCAATCACTGTGATTTCTGTCCGAAGCAGGGACTGCTCGTGTCGTAGTAAGGGTGTTGTTGGTCTCGGTGGGCTCTTCAACAGGAGTTGGTGTCCGTTTGACAGAACAACAAGACATAGAGTATGAAGGTGATTTGGAAGGGAATAGACGTCTTTCACCCTAGCTGGAGCGAAGTGTTGTTTGACCACAGCGTCCAGCGTTGCAGGTGATTCAATCCTGGGTGGACAATGATCGTACAGGAATGGTGACATGGCCATATGATGGTAAGTGTGCTGCAAGAATGGAAAATTGCCGTTTGGAAAAACCCCAAGTGACATTGCGCTACTCTAGAAGAACGTGCCTGCAAATAAATCTAGGAATCGCCGGGTACACATGGACCCTGAGCACGCACGAAGTAAATGTAAAACGTCTATGAAACCGAAAATCGTCGAACGCCATCCAGGTGATGATTGGCCACATTTGCGATGAGAAGACACTCGGAATAGGCGAGTTCAGGGGCCAACGTAATCGATCGCAGTGAATATCATCCGCCAATGTATCCACGGTCTCGGTTATGGGACCGACTAACGGGATACGATATAGCGATGGGACTACCCGTGGCCGTTAAGCGAATTGCATAGGCCAGGGCCTCGGGGTATTGGTGGCCAACGTGGAGGCGACCATCGTAACCCTATGACAGGGGCGTTTGATTTGATGCACGGGTACATTGCGATGCCCAAGAAAGGACAATGAACGATTCGGGACGGATTGAAACCGGGGCCGATCCAGAAGACGTACGGAGTAAAAGACTGGGGCTCGCCTAAGGCTCCCGCTCTAAGCAAAGGGCCCGATGCAAGCGAACGGGATGTAACCAATCAGAGTGCGGCTTTACCGAAGGCCTGTCTGGATTTCAAAGCATCCAAATCAACTGAAGGGATAACAGCCACGCGGATAATTTCGACTGTGAGCTATTTGGTTCTAATTCGCACAATCGAGCGGTGGAGCGTCCCGCATGTCACTGAAATAGGCAGTTGTTGGAGCAATCAAGCGCGTCGTCGTCCATCGGATCGAAGGATCGAGGTATTACTTCGTACGTTGCATCAAATGTTGGATGCGTCTCCGCTGGAGAATTGTATGACAGCCATGCTTTGATGTTCATTATGTACCATAAATGCTTTTGGAATCCAAGAGACTCATGTGTATATCTTACCATGATGTTATCTCCCACATCACCCCATGTAGACGCCCCTGCAACGTAAGCATATTGGCCTGCGTTGACTCGTGTAGTCTGAAAATAGCGCGAAGGATCAGAGGGTGGTATCATTCCGTTGACTCAGTCGGCTCAGATGGCTTCGACCCAGTGGCCGGTTTATAGAGCTCCGCCAAGTTATACCTTTTCAGTTTGTCGTAATCGCTTCCAACAACACTCATTCCAATCACGTTCTGATTGTCGGTTAGCTGGAAAACAACACATTAACGGGTCATCGGGGTGTAAAACACCAACCTGGGCAACTTCAACCAGAATGAGAAGATCATAATTTTTCAGATCAACACTATGTCCAGGGCCGACTACCCTGGCCACTGTTTTGATAACATCATCTCGCTTAAACTTGGAGTTGGCTCTTATTGACGGCCGAATGGCAAACTGAAGCGTGGTCAGTGGATACTGTATTCGCCCCGAAGTCGTACAGTAGGAAAGGCACCGCATACCTTCCTTGGAGGACCTCCCGAGTGAAAGTGAGGCGCGAGGATATCCTTTGCAAAAACTTCCAGATCCACGTTCAGAGTCTTTCGAATCGAATGAACCGGGGTCATTCGTTGCAGAAAGCGAGTTCGCTTGCGTTCGGGATTCTCATACGCATCGATGCAGATATCATGCACCATCTTCTCCGGCGCTATTGACTTGTCGAACCGGATAAAGGTTACTAAAGGCCGTTTAGTTTTGAAGATCGGGACGGACGGAGCCGAGAGATCACGACGCACCACACGGCATGTCAATCCGAATAGCACGAAATTGAGGGCCCTTGGTAGCACCAGGCTTCAGACCCTCCACCTCCTTTCTGATTTGGGCTTCGATATCCTCGTCTTCTTCCTCGTCGGCGGAGTTGTTCGCGTCATTGGTGCCATCTTCCGAAGTTTCCACCCACTGGTAGATAGCATGTCAGGGGTTATGTTGGCCAAGGGCGAACAGGGACTTTTAATTTGGCGTGCTTGTATTGTGCGCAATGCGACACGATACTTACTTGGGAAAAGAGATCAAGTGTCTCAGCGATGCATTTCCCCTCTCGACCTTTGTCACACGTGACGAAGACACCCCAATCTCCGCTTTCGATGATGGCTTTGTTGGGCTGTTGGTGAAGCCATTTGCTCGCCCCCTATATAACCGTCTCAATCAAAATATGCTCGTTTGTACTCTGCCACAGCACGAGGCGGTCGCGAACCTTTCTCTTCTTCGAGGATTGAGCCGATGCACCTTCCGGCATGGGCCGTTTCCCTGTTCCGGCCATGTACAGACAAGAAACGCGTCAGATCAGCGCTGGTTGGTTCGGTCGATGATATGACCAGAATGGAGCAGAGACGGTAGTTCTCCGATGGTCTGTGGACATTCGCAGGTGGTGATGCTCCGCGGGCGGAAGAATCGATAAATTGCAGAGGAGCAGCTGTCCCGTTTGGGACTAGGGCGGGGCCATCATCCCACCCCGGCTCATTAAGGATGATTTTCATCCATGCCACCATGAGCTGACAGTCATCCGATGATCATGGATCCAATATACCAGTGGCTGGCTCCATTGCCTTTAAACCAGAAGGCTCTAGGCCCGTCGTATTGGATTCCAGACATCTGATCTGCGGGTAGCTGTGATGATCGGCCTACGTCCACAGGTTCGGTCTCACCACGGCTTCTATTCCGGCCGAATCACTACGGGCCGAAGTTCTACGGAGTACATAGGATGGACTTATTCGGGATGTCTTTATCGTGATAATTATAGCAGTTGCCTCAATCGTACGGTGTATACGCATGGTAACTCCCGAAGTATCACCTTGTTGATGGGGGAAGACACTCACCGGGGCATGACATCACGGTGTCTCCATGACGTACAACACAACAGAAAGCCCCTCCGAAAGCAGTATTATGGCTGACTTGCTATATATTCTCTCACTCACTCCCCTTCTCATGTTCCTTCTCACTCAGGGGCAACTTTCCATCTGACCCAAAATCTCATTCCCCTTTCCCAACTTATTTAGAAACCTCGTGATCGCGACTCCAGAGCTCTGTCTTCTTCCCAATGGCGACCGATATTGCTACGAAGGAGCTTCACAAGCCCGTTGACGTTGCTGAATATCTCTTCCGCCGTCTGTATGAGGTTGGAGTGCGTGCAGTGCATGGAGTTCCTGGTGAGTGGCCTGGCTTTCGTCCACCCAACATTGAAATTCCCATCGCTGTCTTGAACCTGCGGCATCTAACGTAGGGACTTCATCTAGGCGACTACAACCTCGCGGCCCTCGACTACTTGCCCAAGTGTGGCCTCCATTGGGTAGGAAACTGCAATGAACTCAATGCAGGTATGTATAAATCGAGCCGCAAAGTCTCGTTCTGTCAACTTTCCGTGTAGCGTCTAATGTCGGTCCACCTTAGGATACGCGGCGGATGGTTATGCTCGAATCAATGGTATCAGTGCCCTGGTAACCACCTTTGGAGTGGGAGAATTGTCCGCTCTCAACGCGATCGCTGGAGCCTACTCGGAGTTTGTTCCAATCGTCCACATTGTCGGTCAGCCTCATACCAGATCACAGAGAGATGGAATGCTGCTCCATCACACATTGGGCAATGGAGACTTCAATGTATTTGCCAAAATGAGCGGGGGTATCTCCTGTGCTATGGGCCGTCTGAACGAAACACACGAGGTGGCCACGCTCATCGATAACGCAATCCGCGAGTGCTGGCTTCGCAGCCGACCGGTTTATATTGGACTCCCCACCGATATCATTGTCAAGAAGATTGAAGGCCAGCGACTTGACACACCTCTCGACCTGTCACTCCCTCCAAATGACCCCGAAAAGGAAGATTATGTGGTCGACGTCGTTCTCAAGTACTTGCATGCAGCCAAAAACCCGGTCATCCTCGTGGACGCCTGCGCGATTCGGCATCGGGTGCTCGACGAGGTTCATGACTTGATGGAGACCTCGGGCTTGCCCACGTTTGTGGCCCCAATGGGCAAAGGTGCTGTGGATGAAACTCGCAAGAACTATGGTGGTGTCTATGCAGGAACTGGGTCCAACCCTGGAGTCCGCGAACAGGTCGAGTCTTCCGACCTTATCCTCAGCATTGGGGCCATCAAGTCTGACTTTAACACCACCGGATTCTCCTACCGCATTGGACAGCTGAACACCATCGATTTCCACAGCACGTACGTTCGCGTGAGGTATTCCGAGTATCCCGACATCAATATGAAGGGCGTTCTGCGGAAGGTCGTCCAAAGGATGGGCCATGTCAACGCCCTGCCCGTCCAGAGGCTCTCCAATGCTTTACCCGACAATGAGAAGGGATCGTCCAGCCAGGAGATTACTCACGCGTGGCTGTGGCCTATTGTGGGTCAATGGCTGAAAGAACGAGACATTGTCATTACTGAGACTGGTACTGCCAACTTTGGTATCTGGGACACGCGTTTCCCGGCGAATGTGACCGCCATCAGCCAGGTTCTCTGGGGTAGCATCGGCTACTCTGTCGGGGCTTGCCAGGGTGCTGCGTTGGCTGCGAAGGAACAGAACAACCGTCGAACCGTGCTCTTCGTGGGCGACGGTAGTTTGCAGCTTACTGTCCAAGAGATCAGCACCATGATCCGAAACAACCTCAACCCGATCGTGTTTGTCATCTGCAACCAAGGATACACTATCGAACGTTTCATCCACGGATGGGACGAGGCGTACAACGATATCCAGCCTTGGGATATCAAGGGCCTGCCTGTCGTGTTCGGCGCCAAGGACAAGTATAAGGGATACCGGGTCAAGACTCGGGATGAGCTGACGAAATTATTTGCCAATGATGAATTTAACTCGGTTCCTTGTCTTCAGGTACGTGATGAAACAAATTATGGCCATTGCTTTTGATCGATGCTAACTAGTGCAGTTGGTGGAGCTCCACATGCCTCGGGACGACGCCCCGGCGTCCTTGAAGCTGACTGCCGAATCGGCTGCTCACAGAAACGCTTGATCGGCGGAATAGTGTCGGACCCCCGGCGTTTTAAGCATCTTTTCTCTCTCCTCCTGTTTGTCTATCTTAATATGAAACGGAACACGGCCAGGGTATTACGCCCGCATTGTCATAGAAAACGTCTCAATCAGAACATCATGACCACCATGGAGTACAGCTAAAATGGAGCCGAGTTGAAAGCTCAGCATGGGCATGTTTACAGCTACTGATTAAAATTCATACGAGTTGATGCATCCTCTTCGCGTAGTGAAATATATATATAGGTACGCAACTGGGTTGTAAAGTTCCGATAGGAGATACAGGGACCTGAAGCCTTTTATCGCCTGTCCCCAGAAGCTCACCACGGCTTGAAAAGTATCGTGACGGCTTATTGTGATAGATCTTATATTAACTCTTCCTTTGTTTCAGTTTTGCCTCACCACTGCAAATACACAGGGGTTGCTTGGCATCTTGGGTACATTCAAGATTATTTTCTCCAGACTGTATATTAATCCAGAAGCTGCGATCCCCAGTCAATACAATTCTATCGTCTTACTCAGTTGATTTGGTGATCGTGATATCCGCAATGGCGATGATCTAGGTAATCGTCGGGCATGGTCACGTACCCTTGTTGGGGCTGTAGGGCTGAAGGAAACAAGACCGTTCGCAACTGACCGTTCTCAGTGGAGACTGGGTCCCTGATCCTCCATCATTAAAATTGAGATTGACGTGAGACAGCTGCGGATGAGAGGGAATAGTTAACTACCGATGACTGAGTGATGGAGACCTGTAGCATCGGATCAAGAATGTACGGAGAAGATACGGAGTACAGGCTCGCACAGAGAGAAACGAATGAAATGGAATGAATGTTCAGGCTGGTTGATGTTGAGACAAAATGGCCTTATCGGAGCCCACGTGACGCGCAGGCCCCTCAGGTGTCAAGGCACCACTGCTGGGTTAATTATTCCCATTGAAACGTTAGACTCGAACGAGATTGATTGATTGATTGATGACCCCGACCGACTTGGAGCCTTTGCGATTTCGCTCCATCTCATGAGAATCCAAAAAAAACCATCGCTCGCTTTTACTCTTGAATTAACTGTCGTATAACTGCTTTTGCCGTCCTTTCGCAGGTGCGTCTCGCTCTCTCTTGTCGGCCCTTTCGCGGCATCTTCTCCTCCGCCCACCCCTAGCATTCCTCTGCTATCAGGGGGCTCAGCGCCAGAACTCCTTTGCTTTCTTTTTGGCTTCTCGGGATCTTCGCTTACGGTGTCTTCTATTTGCTTAGATCATTTCTCCTTCGTGGATTTGCCAACCCACTGTTTTCGCTTTCTTCGCCTCCGCTCTACAAATCTCGGATTTGCGCTCGGGTGCCTGATTTCTACTTCGAACCCAACTCTCTGTCTGGTACGATAAGGCTTCCCGACACAGCTCGGGCTGAGACCGTTTGTCCGTACGCGTGGACATGTCGCTCTGTAGTCCGGAACTACACTCCCTGGAATATTGAGACCCTCCCACCGAATCAATATCCTCGGCGCAACCTTCAGGAAAAACAGCACTATCTGCCATGTCAACGATGCGCTTCTCAGCTGGTCCATGAGATAAAAGCCCAACGTACCTGGAGATTTGGGCACTTGACAAACAATCGCAACCTCCAATCACCCCGTGGACTTGTTGTCTACATTAATAGATTTCATTTGGGGATATCGCATCCATTGCTAGGATGGACGGCCAACGACAACAGCCATTCATGCCTGTTGCGCACACCTCGTCAACAGCGCAAC